AATACCTAAACATTGGTCGTTCTAAATATCGATACTTTTAAATTTAAATTGTGAAAAATCTTTTGTATGTGTTTTCAATCACTTTGCTACGGAAAAATTAGGACCATAATGATATCGAAGAAATCAAGTGGATCAAAAAGGAAAGTAAATGAAAGTATAGGGACTTGTCAGAGAAAATGTAACATCACAAATCACACCACATCAGGCAAGGAGGCAAAAGCAAACCTCTTTCCGTATTACAGCCTTTTTTCTTATTTATTTCACTTCCAATGTAAATAAATATCATTACCATGATTTTTTCGAAGAATATCACTTACTAACGTTTTTAACCATTTGAAAATAACATTTTTCAATCATAGTGAAAAAAGTATGGAAGAAAACAAGAAAAAGACAAAAAGGAACAGAGGATAGGTGCATGTTAGCGCAAAACAGTCTCGTAGCCACTGCCACTGGTTACAGACGTTACAAGTGGTGGTAGTAGTGAGTACACTACACACGTCAATTCTATGCATCTCTATTTTTACTTGAGACAAAATATAAAATTTATTTCCAAAGTTTGGTTACTGTGATGACAAGAGTATTTTGATCAGTGAGTAATTTAGTGTAAGAAACTTGGTGAGAGATACATCGAAATCTTCTCATTGTACTGGAATATCGAAGTAACTATTTTACATTTTGAAATGGATGCTTTTTTTTACCGCTGGTTATTTAATCACCAAACTATACATCAATGGTTTTGTAGTATGTATTTGATGTCTTTCTTTCCTTTTTATCAAACATGGAACAAGAATTTTGATTCTCATGCTTCTCATCCTATTGCCATCCTCACAAAGAAATCAAATTTTGACAAAAGAAACTTTTCTTTTCCCTTTAGGTTATGTCCTCATCCCATCTTGTTTCCTGCATTTGCCAATTTGCCACCCTTATTTATGTGTTAGAACAAGTTTTCACAAAATTGGCAAAAACAAAAAAAACTCAAAAAAGAAAAAGCATCCACCATACGGGTCCGTATCAGCTTTCCTACCTGATTCTCCCTCCCCACAAACCACAACACAACCTAAACTCTCTCTCCCTCCTCTCTCTGCAAATCCAGGAAATGCTCTCCTTAAATTCATCACAACACAATACATAATTTCAGTGCGTGCGAGAGACAAAGAAGAAAGTAAAGATTTTTTTTAATAGACCCAAGAAAAAAAAGTTTGTAGCTTTTGCTTTCTCTTTCTCTTTCTCTCTTTTTCGTTTTTTAGTTTTATTGTGGGCACAGAAAATCAACAAAGTAATGATTTTGTGCTTCTTCTTCTTCAGTTTTTTCCTTCTCCTTCTGGTAAACTAAAGCTCAAAGCTTTTCTCATGGTGGTTATGATGAAGATAACGATGAAAAATCCTTCCTTTCTCTTCTCTTTCGTCTCCTTCTTGTTACTCTGTTTCTCTACTTGTTCTCTCTCTTCGGAACCCAGAAACCCTGAAGGTAAAAAAAGATTACTTTTTAAAAATTTCTTCTGGGTGCTTAAAAATTCGAACTTTTTGTATCCAAATAATCGGTTTTTGTTTTTAACAGTTGAGGCTTTGATAAACATAAAGAACGATTTACATGATCCTCATGGTGTATTGAACAACTGGGATCAGTTCTCTGTTGATCCTTGTAGCTGGACGATGATCACTTGCTCTTCCGACAACCTCGTCACTGGCTTGTAAGTGGTATTTTTATATTTTGTTCTGTATTAAAAACTCTTTGAGGAATCTGACATTAATGGCGACAAATTCTTCTTCTTCTTCTTCTCCAATGGCAGAGGAGTTCCAAGTCAGTCTCTTTCTGGAACTTTATCTGGGTCAATCGGAAATCTCACTAATCTCCGACAAGTGTAAGATTACGACTTCGTCTCCTTTGTTTGTTTCTCCACAACATTACAAAACAAAAAAAAATCTCAGCTTTTTTTGTTTTTTGGATTTTGAAGGTTATTACAGAACAATAACATCTCTGGCAAAATCCCACCGGAGCTCTGTTCTCTTCCCAAGTTACAGACTTTGGATCTTTCCAATAACCGGTTTTCCGGTGAAATCCCCGGTTCGATTAGTCAGCTGAGTAGTCTCCTATATCTGTAAGTCTCTCTGAGATTGACTGATCAAAATGATGTTTTTCTTATAATCAAAGTTTCGTCCTTTTAACCTCGTATGTTTGTTTGTTTCTGTATTAGGAGGTTGAACAACAACTCATTATCTGGGCCCTTTCCTGCTTCTCTGTCTCAAATCCCTCACCTCTCGTTCTTGTGAGTGTATAATACAGACTTTCTGTTTTATTTCTTCTTACATTTTCACCTCTCTTCACTCATGTTTTTGATGTTTTGCCTCAGAGACTTGTCCTACAACAACCTCAGAGGTCCTGTTCCTAAATTTCCTGCAAGAACATTCAAGTAAGAGTTTTTCTTCTTTTAAGCATTTTTACACACTAATGTTCTTGACAAAATTGAGTTTTTTAATTGGCTTTACTGTTTGAATGTAGTGTTGCTGGGAACCCTTTGATTTGTAGAAGCAGCCCACCTGAGATCTGTTCAGGATCAATCAATCCAAGCCCACTCTCTGTCTCTTTAAGCTCCTCATCTGGTAAAACCATCAGTTTCCAACAGTCTCTCACTTTTCCTTAGATTTTTTTCAATCCATTGTCATGAGTTTGTTTACCATTTGGGATTTGTAGGACGCAGAACCAACATATTAGCTGTTGCGCTTGGTGTAAGTCTTGGCTTCGCTGTTAGTGTAATCCTCTCTCTCGCTTTCATTTGGTACCGCAAGAAACAAAGAAGACTAATGATCCTTCGCACAAGTGGTTCGTTAACTCAATCTTGAGGCTTTTTTCAGTTTGGTTTCAAGATGATTCTGCTGTTGTCTTAAGTGTCTTTGTCTGTTCTGTTTCGCAGACAAGCAAGAGGAAGGGTTACTAGGACTAGGGAATCTAAGAGGCTTCACATTCAGAGAGCTCCATGTAGCTACTGATGGTTTTAGCTCCAAGAACATTCTTGGTGCTGGTGGTTTCGGTAATGTGTACAGAGGAAAGCTTGTGGACGGTACAGTGGTTGCAGTGAAACGATTGAAAGATGTGAATGGAGCCTCAGGAAATTCACAGTTTCGTACCGAGCTTGAGATGATTAGCTTAGCTGTTCACAGGAATCTGCTTCGGTTAATCGGTTACTGCGCGAGCTCTAGCGAAAGACTTCTTGTTTATCCTTACATGTCCAATGGCAGCGTTGCCTCTAGGCTTAAAGGTATTCAGCAAAACTGACTTCTTGAAAAAAAAAAATCACATTTTTACTGAGTTCTTGAAATAAAAATCACATTTTTAACTGATTTCTTGAAATAAAAATCTCATTTTTAACTGATTTCTTGAAAACAAAATCACATTTTTACTGGTTTCTTGAAATAAAAATCACATTTTTACTGGTTTCTTGTTATAGCTAAACCAGCATTGGACTGGAACACGAGGAAGAAGATAGCGATAGGAGCTGCAAGAGGATTGTTCTATCTACACGAGCAATGTGATCCAAAGATCATTCACCGAGATGTCAAGGCGGCGAACATTCTCCTAGACGAGTTCTTCGAAGCTGTGGTTGGAGATTTCGGTCTTGCAAAGCTGCTCAACCACGCGGATTCGCATGTCACAACCGCGGTTAGAGGCACGGTTGGTCACATTGCGCCAGAGTATCTCTCAACCGGTCAGTCATCTGAGAAAACCGATGTCTTTGGGTTCGGTATACTCTTGCTTGAGCTCATAACCGGAATGAGAGCTCTTGAGTTTGGTAAAACCGTTAGTCAGAAAGGAGCTATGCTTGAATGGGTGAGCGAAACTTAAACCAAAATGTGGTTAAAAGGTATCTTGAAACTCTTTAAGAATGTGAAATTTTGGATCTTGCAGGTGAGGACGCTGCATAAGGAGATGAAAGTGGAGGAGCTTGTAGACAGAGAACTTGGGACTAGCTATGATCGTATCGAAGTTGGAGAGATGCTACAAGTGGCTTTGCTGTGCACTCAGTTTCTTCCAGCGCATAGACCAAAAATGTCTGAGGTTGTTCAGATGCTTGAAGGAGATGGATTAGCAGAGAGATGGGCTGCTTCACATAACCATTCACATTTCTACCATGCCAACATTTCTTACAGAAGTATTACTTCAACTGATGCTAATGGCAATAACCAAACCAAACATCTGTTTGGGTCGTCAGGGTTTGATGATGATGATGATGATCATGCGTTGGATTCATTTGCAATGGAACTATCTGGTCCAAGGTAGTAGAAAGAGAGAAAGAAAGAAAGATATATCCCCACATGAGTTCTAAGTTTTTTTTTTTTTTTGGAGATGATATATAGACATGTAAATGGTGATTAGCTCTATGATAATTGAGATTATGAGTCTAATGATTTAGTATTTTGAATGTATATATTATGGTTTTTTTTGGTAGGTGTTTTCTCAGTTTTTGTTTTGGTCTCTGTGTCTCTCTCCAATTCATTAATACTACTTTAATGTTAGAGAATTTTTGTTATCTAATCATATGGTAATTAAACTTTGTGGTCAACCTTTGACATGTGGTATTCTCAAAAATTTATATTATAAAAAACAAAACACAATAAAATGTTAGATGAAGAAACCTCACTAGTAAAAAGATGTGAAGTACATGATAGGTTTTACAAATATATAACGCCAACAAACTTTTCCCATTTACAGTACTCTCATGATCTTTGGTTGTTCTTCTTGAATATTATTTCTTTTCACGTTACCATCAATTCGTTATGCTTTGATCTTTTATATTCATTCTTCATATCACAGTCTTCATGCTATGACCTTATCTTAATCTTCATTTCATGTTACAAAATGGTCTCTCTGACTCTTCTTGATCTTAAGTTCCTATTCTGTCTCAACAACAATGGCAGGTTTTTCTCAAACATCACTCTTACTACTTCTCTTCATCATTCTCTCACACTCCATAGTCACAGAATCCACCAAGAAACCAAACCGAATGGCTATGAAGCTTATACACCGCGACTCAATGCCCCTTCTCAACTCAAAACCTAGAGCTCCAGCCACTCCAGAAGATCATATACAACACTTGACAGACATTTCATCAGCCCGGTTTAAGTATCTAACTAACTCAATAGACAAAGAGCTAGGCAACAGCGACTTCCAAGTAGATGTGCAACAAGCAATCAAAACATCACTCTTCTTTGTGAATTTCTCAATAGGACAGCCTCCGGTACAACAGTACACAATCATGGACACAGGAAGCTCACTTCTATGGATCAGATGTCTTCCCTGCAAACATTCCTTATCATCTCCACCTCTCTTCAATCCATCACTCTCTTCAACATACTCAGAGTATTCTTGCCACGATGGCTTCTGCAGGTACGGACCAACCGGGAGATGTGGCTCATCAGAAGAGTGTCTCTACGACCAAGTCTACATAAACGGTGCTGGCTCAAAAGGTGTTCTTGCTAAAGAACAGTTAACGTTCACAACACCAAACGGGAACAGAGTCTTGACAAGACCTGTTGGCTTCGGTTGTGGCCATGAGAATGGAGACCAGTTGGAGAGTGAGCTTACAGGGATTTTGGGTTTAGGAGCTAGACAGACGTCGCTCGCGGTGCAGCTAGGTTCCAAATTCTCTTACTGCATCGGCGACTTATCTAACAAGAACTACGGTTTCAACCAGCTGGTTCTTGGTGAGGACGCTGATGTTCTTGGCGATCCAACGCGTATTCAGACAGAGAATGGTATCTACTACATGAATCTTGAAGGGATTAGTGTTGGTGACAAGCAACTGAACATCGAACCGGTTGTGTTCACTAAAAGAGGGGAAAGAACAGGAGTCATACTCGACTCAGGGACGCTCTACACTTGGTTAGCTGATAGAGCTTACAGAGAGCTACACAATGAAGTGAGATCAATTCTTGATACGCAGCTGGAGAGGTTCTGGTATAGGGACTACTTGTGTTACCATGGGAGAGTAGGCGAAGAGCTTATAGGCTTTCCTGTGGTGACGTTTAGATTTGCAGGAGGAGCTGAGCTTGCTATGGAGGCTGGAAGCATGTTTTATGCGATGAACGAACCGGATGTGTATCAGAACGTGTTTTGTATGGCGGTGAGGCCGACGACAGACCATGGAAGACAGTATAAAGATTTCACAGCTATTGGGTTGATGGCACAACAGTACTACAACATTGCTTATGACCTGAATGAACAAAACGTTTATCTCCAGAGAATTGATTGTGTTCTACTTGATGATTATTCTCCATCATGATTAAGTTAAAAGTAAATATTATTGTACTACATGTAACAGGGATTTAGAGTATAGAGGATTTGTTAATGGTTAAAGTGTTTTCAAAATGTGATTCATCAGCCAAATACAAGCTCAAAGATTTTCAACATTTTTGTCATATTCAAAATCTCATTCATTACAAAAAAGGTAAGAGAGGGATTGTTTGATCAACTCATGACAGAAGAAGATGAAGATTTGAGATATTAAGCATGGATCTTGAGTAGATAAAAGCACAAGGACAATGTAATTCGCATATCAATCACATAGGTGGAGATTCATGGCAATCTTTAAGTACAAGAAAGAGAGAGTAAGCATGTAGACTTCTTACTAATCAAATTCATAGTAACTGCAAAGCTACCACCAAGTTTTCCTCAAAACAGAGAGCAAACACTTCTAGTGGATGTTACACAAACTTAAGAAGATCTGCCTACTGGTTCGAGAGCTTCAACAGTGACAATGCTGTTTCCTCTAATCACCTGCACCAAATCAAATCAATGGAGTATAGTTAAACATCAGTCAAGAGCAAGCAGAAGATTGTAGCTAAACTAACAAGAAGACGAGAGACTTACCACCATTCCGATGTCTGTTTTGTCATTACCGCTCACTTCCACGGTGTTATCAACGACAAGGTTCATGAACTGATCAAACCCACGTAGAGTTCCTTCAACCATTCTGTTGGCATTAAGCTTGACTGCATTACCAAATACAAATTTGATCAATCTCAAGACCCAAAACAAAAAGGTTATACATTGATAAAGAAACTTCCAAATAGAAACTACTCTTAGCTGAATATGAAATCAGAATGAGAGAAAATTAAAAGCAAGAAAAGCTACTCGAACACAAACTAACAGTACAAGATCCTTCAAAAACGAACTAAGAAAGGTAAAAATCAAGCTCAATTTGATTCAAAGACTACATAATCCAAACAATTAGCAGTTTAAGGAAGCGGAATCATCAAGACGAGACGACACGCATTATCTCGATCTTATAATCCATCTTCAAAGATATGAGCTAAAGGTTGCAATCAAATTTCAGTGAATATGAAAACAGAGATTTTCACTAAATAGATAAGCGGTTTGGAGGATGAAGAATATTGAACTTACTTTGGAGTTTCTTATCCATGTACCTGCAATCAAAACGAAACAAAAGAGAAAATCAGAAACATGAAGATACGGAAAACGAATCAAAAACCAAATAAAAATCCATAAAAGAGCAAAAAAATAGATAAAAGAGCTTACTTTTTAAGATCCGGAGGCTGCCCTGAGCGACTCATGGTTACAGAATCGGATTTGAGCTTACGGTTTTCGTTCTCAGCTAGAAGAAGCACGAATTGAGCACTGCGCAGAGAGAGACTTACAGAAACCCTAAATTTTTGATTTTTGAGAAGTCAAAGTGTATAAAAAGTCTTCATAAGTTTATACTCCTTTAAGCCCAATAACCTTTAAAGCCCAATTATATACGTTTTTCATCACAAAGGAAAGTTTTCTTCTTTGTGAACTGTAAAAACAAGTACACAAGAAAACGAATATTTACCACGATGAAAGAGCATAATCTTGGACGAAACTGTAATGCGACATTGTGGAGATAAGATTTTATAAATGTTTAAAGGTTACAATCATTGTCATAGAACCTTGTAAATCCCCACATCACACTGATGCAAAAAAAAAAAAAAAAACAAAAGTATACGAATCAAATCAGAAAGGTATTAATTGACGACTAGGCCAATACTCGATCTTCTGGAAGTAATCAACAGGCACTACCCCATCAACGCCTTCTGTCAAAATCACCTTATTCTCTGAAACGTAGAACGCAATCCCATCTGAAAATGGAGGAGCAAAATGTCAACCTCAAATATAGAATCTTTGGAAGGACATAGAAGTATAGTTAATTTCAATATAACTACCTTGGAGAGCTTTCTTGATGTCGAGGAAGATTAGAACATTTACATCTCTTCGCATGCCTAAACCCAAAACCAATGTCAAACAAAATGTTGCCATATGGAGGAACTATACAAAGATCAAATAAAAAAATCTTTACCACTTATCACTTGACCATCTGTTGGTAAGCCACAAGAGAAGTGAACATGCAGTCTATTCATTCGCTTTAACCCTGACGCTAAGATCGATTCCAAATTCTTCTTATAAGTTCCATGTACACACACTGCCATTACATAAATCCAAACATGAATACGAATGAATAACAAACTATGTAATATACAAAAGAGAAGTCAGAAAAAGTACACTGCTTTTTTACCTGGAGCTTCTTCCGGTGATAATATTGGTTTCAGTAACTTCTCGGACTCAACCGTCTGCAAATGGAAGATCAAATGGATTCAAAATACATCAACTTTCGACACACAACAGATCAAAGAGCAGATTTTTTCTAAGTTCTCTTTGTTACCGTAATTGAATGGCCTTGGTTTGCGCGAATCAAGAACTCTCCATTCTCTTCAATGAGGCTAAAACGTTGCTTATTGTCTCTTCTCACTGCCTGCAAGTTTTTAACATCCAACAGACGAAATCAAAACGCAAACGCACCACAAATCACTGAAAATCGACAATGTTTGAAGATAGAAAGAGAGAGAATTGAGACCTCTCTGATTTCATCAATCGTGTGTGACTTCAGCTGAAGGTTTGCAGTTGTTTTCAAATTCAGCTTAAGCAAGTCTTCAACTTTGACAAACCCATCACCTCTCATGCTCAATCTCAGCTCTGTAGCCATGTGTCTCAAGATTCTCGTCCTGATTTTGAGATTCAAACAGAATTAAGCTAAAATCTCACCAAAATTCTCGGAATCAGTAAATGATCAACACTTACAAGAGTCGTCCAAGCGCATCGATTTTATCTTTACCGCCTCCTCCTCCGCCGCCGCGGCCCTGAGGTCTCCGTCGGTCGTTATCTCTCTCATATCCTCTTCCTCTACCGCCGCTGCTAGACTGAGCGAAAGAAGAGAAGGAAGGTTTGCTGGAAGAAGAAGAATTGAGATTCGAAGCATCCATGGAAGCAGAAACAGGAGAAGATTTGGGGAAGATGCTCGAGGTTAGAGAAGGAAGACGAAGTTTAGAGAAACGCAGAAGACGACCTGTGTTATACATTGAAGCCATGACGAGAGACGAATCGCCAAACCACACCAATTTAATTCATAACCGGATCTCAATAACCGCTTTCTAAATCATAAACCCGGTTCGAATGTGAAACTAAATATTTTTTTTTTGGTAATGCAACGGGAGACAGAGGCCTCCCGTGGTTTTATTGAAAAAGTGATAACTATTACAAGATCACATCTCTTGGTCTTGTGACACCTAACTCATCCTCACTCAATAACAAATCTAGAGATGGAGGGACAGAATCAAACAAATGAAATCCAAATGGTAGTGAAAAAGCATGGTTCTCCAGCCCGTCTGCAAGCCGATTCGCCTCACGATAGATATGTGATATACGAACTGTCCAGTCCTTTGATAAATAGCCATGATACAAATGCACCAGGAAAGATAAGGGATGTGACTCGTTAATCCCTTTCTTCAAGAACCCCACCACCAACTCAGAGTCCACTTCAATTTCTAGTCGAGGCAGACTCCTCTCCCACGCAATCACCAAACCATAGTAGACGCCCTATAACTCTGCCAATGGCGCTGAGCATCTTCCAATATTCAACGCAAATCCACTGACCCACATTCCAGTCTCGTCCCTGATCACACCTCCCGCCGTTGCCGGGCCTGGGTTACCATGGGGACGCCCCGTCCGTGTTTAATTTAAACCATCCACTGTTTGGGAACTCCCAACCAATCTGCCTTTCCACCCGAGCTCTCGGAGCAACATGCTGCCCTGATGCTTTGTTTGCTCGCCACACCTCAGCCGCTAGTTCCTTTACAAACTGAACCCGGTCTCGGCACAAGCGCTTCTCACCAAATACATTCCCACATCTCCACTTCCAGCCCCACCAGACTCCCATGGCAAACATTATGGACCAAGGGGGCTCCTCCACATTCGTCTCTAGCTGCAGATTATCGAACACCCATTCCAACAGCGTCTGACTGAAGAACTGATGACGCTTTCGGGTTGGTACTATTCTCTCCCAAATCCCTAACATCGCTGGGCAATCTCGTAGAATGTGAATGAGTGTTTCAAAGTCTCCTTTACACACAGAACAGACATCCGTATCACTAAGGTGGCGTCTCCTCCTTTCCACATTTGTCATGATCACCTGTTGGCTAACAAGCCAGATAAAGACCCGCACCCTCTCCGGGACTGCCACTCTCCACACGCGATCAAAGAACGACTCCATATTTGGCAGGGGCAATGTTTCTCGTGTAACTAACTGATATGCTGATGTTACCGAGAACTCACCATCGGCGTTTCCCTTCCAGGCTAGCCGGTCGGAGGCTCCGGTAACATGGTCCACCACAACCGCCATCAGCTCCAGTTTACTGTTCTCCGACAAGAACGGCTCTATGCTGGCAAGGTCCCAGCCTGCACCGTCCCTCCACACATCTTTTACTAACACCGATGAAGCCATTGGAGGTAACTCCACCACTGCTTGATCTCCTAACGGTCTATCGGAGAGCCACGTGTCCGACCAAAATCGTATCTGGCCACCATCACCGGCAATCCATCGATGACCCGGCACCACTACTTCTCTTATTCCTTTGGCCACTCCTCTCCACAGGATTGACCAATTACTCTTAGGCTTGAGCCAACTCTGCTCCCTCAGGTCACCCACCCTGTACTTCTTCTTCAGTACTCTAGCCCAGAGCGAATGATCGTCTTTCAGTAGTCTCCATCCAACCTTAGCGATTAGTGCAAGGTTCATATCCTTCGAGGCTCTGATTCCAAGTCCGCCTTCCTTCTTCGAGCGGCATACTTTCTTCCAAGAGAGGAGGTGAGGCTTTCTCTTCTCCACACTGCTTCCCCACAAAAACGACCGTGAAACTCTGTCCAGATTTGCCAACGTTGACTGAGGCAGAATAATGGAACTCATTGAGTGAACGGGGACAGACGATAGCACCGCCTTGATGAGAGTCAAGCGACCCGCCATGCTAAGCACACAGCTCTTCCAACCCGTCAGTTTTGCCGAGTAATGTGAAACTAAATATTACAAGTCAACAATTTTACAAAGGAATTTTCTTCATCGTAACATAGAATTTACATATATTTTAAAATCACAAGAGAAGTACCAATTCATTTGACAAGAAAACGAATTGATTAAAACACCAAATGACTGATTCAAAACATGAATTAAGAAGAATGTGGTTTTGACTAGTTTTGGAATGAGAAAGAGTAAGAGCCAGTGTTTGGATCTTTAACAGATTTGAAGTTGTCTACACTCATCCCAAATTTCCCCAAGATTGTGTTTCCCATCTCCTTTAGCTTTGCTGTAAAAACCACAAAAACATTAACACATTATCAAGATTTGTGTCAAGAAGACTCAATAGTCAATGCAATATCCTCTAGAATCAGAAAACATAAAACAATGTCCATTTACCTATGGCTTCTTCTTTCATCTTTTCTTGTTTTTGGGCAATCAACGGTTCCAAACGCCGAATCCCTCTTCTCGCCTGATCGTTTGAAGGATCAAGTTCCAATATCTTCTTCAAGTCTGCAGAAATGAGAAGAGAGACAAATCATGATTTTGTTCTTTGTACTAAATACATTAACAAGCAGGGACAGCTTCTTAATGTAAACTGGGAGGACTTACCGTCGAGAGCTTCTTCAAAGTGTTCAAGCTTCTCATGAGCTTCTGCACGACGAACCAAAGCTTTAGTATAGCTCGGATTCAGCTCTATAGCTTTTGTGCATTCCTTGATTGCTTCTGCATATTTACACTGAGAAAAAACAGTACAGAGATCACATAAACACTCAGTAGAATGTAATTACAATTTCAGATCATATCATCATTTGCTATAGAAGATTTACCAATTTGAGATAACATATAGCTCTGTTTGAATGGCAAATCGATCGAAGCTCCAAAGATTCTGGAGATTCTTGAGCAAAATGTAGAGAAAGCTCATACTTTGACAAAGCTTCTTCATAAAGACCATTTCCAAATAGTTTGTTTCCTTCCATTTTAGCTTCGTTTGTATCTTCCAATGCTTTCTTCTTCCAAAAACAAAAAACACACGAAATGCTTCAAGCTAAACCGAATCGTAAGAAGTCAAAATTTCCAAATCGAAGCTAAATTCGAAGCATAGTGAAGAAAACTCGGATGTTTGTAGCCATTAATTGATAAAAGTTGCAGAGAGGTATGTAGCTTTTTCACCTGATTTGATCCGGAATCGTTAATGGCCTCCACTTGCTCTTCCTTAGTCTCCGGCTTAACGGAATGTTCTGATTCCGGTTTCGTTATCGCGTCTTGCTTCCTATCAGTTTCATCTCCTTCGTTATCGCTCACTTCACGTTCACTTGCAGTTTCAAACCCATCGGAATCATCTCCGTCGACAAGTTTCGCCTCCGTCGCTGTCGTTGTTTCGGGATGCGACGAGGAAGTACGAGATGGCTTTGGTGCTTCATTAACGGTGATTTCATCGTCGCTTTCACTTTCGATTAACACCATTGTTCAGCTCAGGAGCTTAGCAGAAGATTCAACGATGGTGATCTGATTGATCGACGATCTAGCTTTCAGAAATCAGAAAGTTCAAGATGTTTCTATGAAACCGGTGTCGTGTTGTTTTGTCTTTGGTTGTCTGGTAAGATACTACTAGGCCCAGTACCGGCCCATATACGAAGACCGAGTCACTTCTCCTTTGAAATTCTTGAAAAATTATCTGATGTTGTGAGTTTTCGTCGTGCAGAAGAAAATTATCTGATTCTTTGAAAAATTATCTCAATATGGTTGTGTTGTGAGTTTTCAAGTCAGATGCTTAGCATTTGAGTCGAACATGCTTCTTTTGTAAAACAGAGATTGCAAGCTCTTGTTTCAGTCTCTGTGACAATGTTCACTAATCACTACTGTTCAGCCAGTGATTGATACCAAGTTTCAAACTAATAAAGCTTTTGCATATTCAGAGGCGAGACTAAACAAAGCATGTTCGATCTCGAGTCATCTCAAACTGAGATAAGCATATTTATAGCCTCCAATGTTCTATTTTTTTTCTTTTTAAAATTGATTTAACATGTCAACAAAATCGGATTATCTTTGTAGTAGTTTTTGCTCAATTTAACACAAGTCCTTGTTAAAGGTATTTGTCATTTTATTACTACGATTATTTTTCTAGTGCTTCTACGCTTCTAGGATGAGATTACTTTTTCATCAAGAAACACATATTTTGCAAGCATGATGAGCTTACATACATGATACATCTTAACAAGAATTTGTAAATAAATTGCACGAAGAAAATCAACGCTAAGCTTGAGGATCTTAGAGCTAGCTTAAGAGTTTGCTGCGTGCAACATTTAGAAGACCAAAAGAAGACAAAATTTATTCAAAATGTTGAGGAACAAAAAGTGTATAAAACAATTGACAATTTGAGACTTGGCCCTTGGGAACCCTCTCCGGTCAAATAAATAAATCAGCAACTTGTGTCAATAAACACAAAACTTCCGTCAAGTTGCATCAGAATAACCAGATAACTAATCTGCTTATCACTTATTTGCTTTTACTCAGAAATCTCAATCGCTAAAGTTTGTTATTCTTGAAATTAGTTTCCCTTTTTCTTTCTATGGATCCTTCATCCACTTCTTCTTCTGCTTCCCAAACTTGGGTATATGAAGTTTTCCCGAGCTTTAGTGGCGAAGATGTTCGTGTCGCTTTCCTGAGCCACTTTCTCAAAGAGTTGGATAAGAAACTGATCATCGCTTTCAAAGATAATGAGATCAAGAGAAGCCGATCGCTCGATCCCGAGCTTAAACAGGCGATTAAGGATTCGAGGATTGCGGTGGTTGTGTTCTCCAAAAACTACGCCTCTTCAAGCTGCTGTCTTAATGAGTTGCTAGAGATCATGAAATGCAAAGAAGAGTTTGGTCAGATGGTAATACCGGTTTTTTACGGTTTGGATCCTTCTCATGTGAGGAAACAAACTGGTGACTTTGGAAATATCTTTGAAAAGACATGCCACAACAAAACAGAAGACGAGAAAATTCAATGGAGGGGAGCTTTGACCAATGTAGCTAATATCCTTGGATATCATTCTGTCACCTGGTATGGTTTTATGAATTATTTGTTTTTCTTAAATAATATTTAGAGAAATACAATGAAATAGCACAAAATGTAGTTTTACTTCCAAATCTAGCACATCAAATTTAGATATCTTGTATATTGAATTAATAAAAGTGGTTTCATGTTTTTGAAATGATCTATCTTGTTGTTAGGGGTAACGAAGCAAAAATGATTGAAGAAATCGTCAATGATATCTTGGAAAAACTGCTTTTAACTTCATCGAAGGATTCAGATGACTATGTCGGCATCAACGATCACATTGCAAACATGAGTGTGTTGTTACAACTGGAATCTGAGGAAGTGAGGATGGTTGGTGTATGGGGTTCCTCGGGGATTGGTAAGACTACCATCACAAGAATTCTGTTCAATCGACTCTCTCCATACTTCCAAGGTAGCATTTACATCGATAAGGCTTTTGTGTCAAAGAGTAAGAAACTTTACAGTAGAGCCACTCTGGCGGACACTAATATGAAGTTGCATTTACAAGGAAAATTCCTATCGAAAATCTTGGGAAAAAAAGACATAAAAGTAGGTCATTTAGGTGTAGTGAGAGAGAAGCTAAAGTACCATAAAGTTTTAATCGTTATTGATGATTTGGATGATCTGATGGTGCTACAAGTCTTGGCGGGTCAAACTCAATGGTTTGGAAGTGGGAGCAGAATCATTGTGGTCACTAATGATAATCATCTTTTAATGGCCCATGAGATAAATTGTATTTATAAAGTTAGCCTCCCATCTCAAACGGACGCCCTTGAGATGTTTTGTCAATATGCTTTCAAGCAAGACTCTCCACCAGATGGTTTGATGAAGTTTGCTTCCGAAGTGGTGCAACTCGCTGGTAGTCTCCCTTTGGGCCTCAGTGTTTTGGGTTCGTCTTTTCGGGGGAGGAAAAAAGAGGATTGTTTGAATATGCTACCTAGGTTTCGAAGAAGCCTAGATGGTAAAATTGAGGAGACACTAAGAGTCGGCTACGATGGGTTATGTAAAGAAGATCAAGCGATATTCCGTCACATTGCATGTCTTTTCAACGGTGTGAAAGTTAATGGCATTAAAGAACTTTTGGCATCCAGTGAGTTGGATATTGATGTCGGGTTAAAAAACCTCGTTGATAAGTCTCTCATACAAGTAAGGGAGGATACTGTTGAGATGCACCGTTTGCTAGAAAAAATGGGTAAGGAGATCGTCCGTAAACAGTCCAATGAGCCTGGAGAACGGGAATTTCTATTTGATTCAGAGGATATTAGCAATGTACTTGAAGATAACATTGTAAGTTTTTGCATACTTTTTTTCATATATCTCATGCTATAAGATTATAAGATTATAAGAACATCTATATTAGTGAGGTATTTGGAAGAGTATACTAATTATATAATATAGTTTACTTGAAAATGTGTCTCTCATGGGTTTTTCAGATTCTCTCTCTTTATTTTAACTACTAATTTTTTAACTAAGACTTGAGAGGCTCATTGAAAGACCCTAAACACATGTGCTTTTAAGCATGTCATATGCTAATTAATCAACTAGTGTGTTGGATGTTGATATTGGTGTTTGTTAAGTTTACTGGTATTATATTTTTCAGGGTACCAAAAAAGTCTTAGGAATATCATTGCGTATGAGCGGGATTGATGAGTTGCATGTACACAAGAATGGCTTCAAAGGGATGCCAAATCTTCGTTTCCTAACGATAAAAAATACATGGGAAAAAAAAGGCAAATTGCAGTTACCTAAAAGCTTCGACTATTTGCCCCCAAGACTCAAATTATTGTGTTGGGATGAGTATCCAATGAGACATATGCCTACTAAGTCTCGTTTTGGAAACCTCGTCTACCTCATATTGAGGAATAGCATGCTAGAGAAGCTGTGGGAAGGTGTTATGGTAAGTTTAGATCAGAATAACTAACTATTACGTTTTGAGAATGCTGCTTATTTCATTCTTTGGATTACGTACAATATCATCTCATGTGACGTGTAATTTCTTCCTGAGCTCTTTGTTCTTCTTCGTTTTGAGTGCAGTCTCTTTCATGTCTCAAGAAGATGGATTTGAGTCACTGTGGAAGACTGAAAGAAATCCCAGATCTTTCGATGGCCACTAATCTGGAGAAACTTTTTCTTGGGGGTTGCTTGAGTTTGGTGGAGCTTCCTTCGTCTATCCAAAATCTCAATGAGCTAACGGTATTGGACATGCAACTTTGTAGAAAGCTGGAGACTCTCCCAACTGGCATTAACCTCAAAGCTCTCGACCACCTCGATTTCAGCTACTGCTCAAATCTCTCGACGTTTCCCCAAATCTCAACCAACATCTCAGTTCTCCTTCTGGAGGGAACAACCATTGAAGAACTCCCTTCTAATTTGCGTGTCGGGAATCTCGTTGTGCTTCGCATGCAAAACATAAAAGAGTCTTGATGAGAAACAATGGGAGAGATTGCTGGTATGTACGTAGTCCCATACTTAAAGTTTTTCTAATTAACCTTTCTCTTTTTTAAGAAAAATAAACTAATACTATAAGGCTGGTTATTTTACTAAAACAATACTATATTTACACTAATAATGACAAATTGTAAATTTAGAAGTATTAATTTGGAGGTGATTTTTTATATAACATACTTAAATTTTCTTTTTGGTTCAGCCGTTAACGTCCTTCATGCCGATATTGTCTGCCTCTTTGACGACGTTAGAGCTCTTTAATATCCCAAGTTTGGTGGGGCTTCCTTTTTCAGTCAAGAATCTCAACAAACTGGAGAAGTTGAAGATTTGGTACTGCATGGGTCTGGAGAGTCTTCCAACTGGAATAAACCTCAAATCTCTTGATACCCTCAGTCTCGTCGGATGCTCACGGTTGAAGAATTTTCCTGATATTTCAACCAACATCTCTGAGCTCCATCTAGACAAAACAGGGATCGTTGAGGTTCCTTGGTGGATAGAAAAGTTGTCAAGGCTTAAATGGCTAGACATGTCGGAATGCATCAATTTAGAGATCCTCCCAACGAGAATTAATCTCCAATCTCTCAGTATACTTGACCTCAGTGGATGCTTACGTTTGAGAATTTTTCCTGATATTTCAACCAACATCTCACGGCTAGATCTCAGCCGAACAGGGATTAAAGAAGTTCCTTGGTGGATAGAGAAATTCTCTCACCTCTATAGCCTAGAGATGAATGGATGCAACAGTTTACAACGTGTATTCCTCAACATTTTTAAACTAAAACATCTTCAGCGAGTCGACTTTTCACATTGTTGGGCATTGGTTGGAGCTGATTTGACCGGCCTTCCAAGTGGGGTATATGCATATTTTCCTAAAGTCAATCTTAATTTCCTCAACTGCTTCAGTTTGGATCAAGAAGCTCTAATACATCAACACTCAGTTTTCTTCAAGTCCATGATCTTGTCAGGTGAAGAAGTGTCTCCATATTTCATTCACCGTACTAATGGAACAACCTCCTCTTTGAAGAACATCCCTCTACTTCACACACATCTCTCTAAACCATTCTTCAGGTTTAGGGCTTGCGCAGTTGTTACTTTCGACCCTATGCCTAGAAATCATGCCAATGAAGTAGAAATCCATGTCAACTGTCGGTTCAAAGGCATATTTGGGAACGTTTTTGATTCCTTTGGCCAGCCACATATGTTCTTCACAACTGACCATCAAGATAGTCATGTCTTTATACTGGAGTGTCATATCCCTCTGAACAAGGACATTACTCAGCTGAACTTCGATCATGTGGATATGCAGCTTCATGTAACGGCTGTCAATGACTCTAAGTTCAAAGTAAAAGGTTGGGGCATACGACTCATCTCTGAGGACTTTTCGTTACCTGAGAACCAACTTTGTAATCCGAACACTCTTACAGATGTTTGTGAAGCTGAAGAAGAGAATATCGGGTATACGTCTCTTCAAGGACTTGTTAATGAGACTGAAGGTGAAGAGTCTGGAGATAGCAATGCAGAGACAGAGAGAAGCAGGAAGCGAATGCGGGTACACACACACACACACACCTACTCGACAATATATACTACATTTCTCAAAACATTTTTGCAAGATTGATCCAAAAGTTATTTTTCTGTATAATAGACCATTGAGTTATGTTTGTTATCTTATTTTGCAGATATACTACAACTTCATATAAGTAACAGGAATGACTATACGCCTTTTCAAGGACTGTTCATCAGCTAAGAACCAACTTGGTATTATCCAGAAAGTTTACTCATAGTCGTTTTGCTGATTCTAATGGAACAAAAAAAGATAAAAGGAGGGTTGATGGTATAGCCGTATAGGATATGAAGCTGATTGATTTTATAAGAATGTGATGTACAAGTGTATGTATATGAATTACGTACACAAAAGATATGTAATAACAATAATGAGAATGAAAATACTGCTATCATAATTTGTTACACGTTTCACATTATACATATTTAGCAATACGCATCTAGCTATGATCTCCATTTTTCTATGTTCCTTCACGGATTCGAAAATCGTACTGCCACTTCAAAAAATTAATAGCAGCAAGATATGTACCTTGGCCATGACAACGGCATAAATATTTAGTTTATGTGTTGGAATTGTGGTGTCGTATTTTTCGACTATAACTGTGTTATTTCTTTGGTGACTTACAGTATGTCCATGTTCGAAACTAGGTTCCTACAACAACCTAATTGACACATCCATATCTAAGACAAATATAACTCTACTATACACGACTTTGTAACATTTTGAGAAAAGTGAAAATTCAAGTCCAAATAATTATTTCTTAATTTTTGTTGTTCTTCCTGAATTATCATCGAATACCTTATAGGCGCTTGATCAGTCCTGTTCTTCTTGTCTTTGAAAACTCCGCACGAACAAAGATGTCTATATATGAAGAGTAGATGACGAATGAGAAAAACAAACACTGTTTGTCTGTTCTTACTGAACACTCCAAAAGTAGAAAAAGATGTGTTTTTATTCTCCAACCGCATATTTCGCTTTTGTTGGCATCTTATTGTTCAATTAATTTCGTTAACCTTTTCCGCTTTCTACGTACTCCATTTATTACACGTTTCACATTAGAAACAAAATACATCATTGCTGTCAAAGAGATATTAGCATTCATCAAAACATTAGCTAGGAACGAACGATTGTGCAATACCTTTTGTTTCCTACGCGTTTCCACACGTATATACCAAATTCATTTCGTTTACTCAACAAAACTGAGATTAGGATAATCACTTACGTGTAAATGACATTGACACTTGAACTCTCACTTCAGCAATACGCATCTATGTGTGTGTTTCTTCATGGATTCGAATATTTTAGTCTCATATATATAGTTCAAAGTTGACATTAATTTATTAATCCTATGAACACAAGTTAGAGTATCATAAATATAGTATTGATGCCAACTGTATCCATAACGACAGGCTAACTGTCCATCAGCAACATTGTAAAACTCACCAGTAACTTAGTGGTATATAGCAAACTAAACTCTGATATACTTATTTCTTAGCTTATAAACGTCTAGTTTTGTTGCATCCGATAGATTCATATACCAAATCTCCAACGCTTTTAAAAGAGAAACAGTATACAGTTTGTGTTCCACAATTAAAAAAAAAAGAAACACAACAGTACATTAAATATTCAATTTTCTTTGAGAAACGTAACACTTTTTCTAAAATGTTCAATTCATGTAACAAAAAAAAAAAAAAAAAAAAAAAAAAAAAAAAAAAAACTGGATTGAAATTACAAATTTTAAATAAACAAATTATTTTTTCCCATAGCATACTTTTTTTGTTTCTCTTCAATTTATCATATTACTAATCTCCCATGTATCTAACAAGCAGGGCCAGCTTCTACCAGCTTGTTTAGTTTATTGTTTCTCAATCTCTCTTCATAAACTTCACTTCCTTGCATATCATTCTCATACCTGCCATAAAATTATAAATATTAACAACAAGTATAAACATTATACATTATGTTACGAAAAAAATGAGAAAATATAATGTACCTTGGTGGCATAGGAATTAAAGGAGATAGAACTTGAACAAGCTTGAGAGCTTCTTCTTCGGTATTCACAATTTGGTTAAAGCAAAAGTATCTACCACAAGCCGAAGTATCTTCAAATGCTCGAATGTGAACATCTGCTACAAACTCTACGTCTACGTACGCCAACACTCCGTTCTCATACATTTGCGCAGCTCCTGAAATTTGAATGGCCACCAATATTTGGATAATTGATTATAGATACTCATGACATATCTAATTACATGAATGAATATGCATACTTAAATACCTTTGAGGTAAGACATGGTAGGTCTAGGGTTGTATTGAGCCACTGAGGGTCCAATGATGAGTCCAGGGTTAACCGAGACCATGTTGACCATACGGTCCATGGCTAGTGCCCAAGCTGCCTTCTCTGATTGTGTCTTCGCCAGAGCGTGCCATAGCTGCAAAGATAGGTATACACACACACCACAAGTTTGTTAATAATAATATGATTAAAAAGTAACTACAAAGTTAAATAATACTCCAAGGGACCCATAATAATAAATATATATAGTTACTTAAATATTTCAGATTGATTGATGAAAAAATTGGTGATTCCAGGTCAAAACTAGTATCACATTTATAATTGTGGGTCCAATATGTTATCAGTCTGAATCACTTGAACTTTTTCAAAAAGTATATCAAAAGTTTTTATTTGTTTTTGGGATTAATTTCAATGAAAATAAAAAGGAGTTGAATTTAAAAAACCTTCTTTTTGAGACAAAAGTCAAGATCACTCCAACACTTCTCATCAACATCTTTCTGAGTTCCAATGTTATCTCTCCAAATCGCAGCAGTCAGTGAAGATGAGAACACAATCTTCTCAATAGTCTCTGTTCTTGCACATGCTTCCACCACATTAATCGCTCCTCTCACCTCCAAATCAACTTCCTTCTCCTGAAATAATCACAAGAGGATCATTTCGTCTCAATCTTCTCCAAAATCAAAAATGAAAAACAGAGAGATCTCAGAGAAGTGATGTGTGATAACACTAAAAAACTCACATCGTACCCTTCAGGATTGTCCAAGCAACAGAACACAGCATTACAATTGCTGAGAGAAATGAGAATGCTTTGGTAATCCAACACATCAACGTCATAAACCATTAGTCCCTCTTCTGTAGCTTGCATGTCTCTGATTTTCTCCTCAATCACACTCTCCCCTGTTTCCAAAACCATCATTAGATCAAAGAAGAAGAAACCTTTGCCAAGAAATTCTCAAATCAATTGGAAAAATCAGAACTTTATTGTACCCATTTGTGAATTGCCTCAAATCAATGAAGAAAACTAGAAAAAGGCTAAAACTTTGATTGTACCCATAAGAGAATTCAGAGAGAAAAACGAAGACTTTGCCATGATATCTCTCAGATCAATTGAAGAAAAGTGAGAAACTTTACTGAACTAATTAGAGAAATTCGAAAAGATTTACCGTTTTTACGGATGGCTGCATGAACAGAGTAGCCTCTGGAGAGCAATCTCTTGAGAATCCAGAAACCCACATAAGTGGAAGCATCGAGAACACAGCAACAAGACGTGGGCTTCTCTTGATTCATCATTTTCTGATTGAAATAAAGGGAGCTTTTTTCTAATAATTAATCTGTTTTTATGGAGAATGAGAGAGGTTCTGGGATGATATTAATCTCTCTGTTTTATAGATGACGGGAGAGACGTGTGGGAAAGAGAGGTAATAAATAGGAGAAAGGTGGGTGAACTATTTCATGTTGCAAGCTCCCAACTAACACTCATCTTCACCATTTTTCACTATGAGCTTCTGTAATTTGTTTTATTTGATTATCATATAAATGGTGGAGATACAGAACAAAAGGCCTATTAGCTCAGTTGGTTAGAGCGTCGTGCTAATAACGCGAAGGTCACAGGTTCGATCCCTGTATAGGCCATTTGTTTTTCGGTTGATATTTTGATTCTGGTATCGTTTCGTTTAATATACAACTTTTTTGTTTATCTTGTATAAGTTTTTGACTCTGGTGTTGTTCGTTTGACAGTCGGCTTTGAAATCTGAATATGACATTAATTAGTGAAAAAGAACTATAAATCAATATATACCCAAAATTCAAACTAATTTTTGAAACATATAAAAAGTCAAAAACGTAGAGTAATAACTAAACATTACTGTATATTATTTTTTTTTGTCAACAAGTGATATTTTTTTAAAGGAACCAAAGTACCAAACATATGTATGTTATCCTATAGTCGTCTTAATTAATAACTTGGTTATCCAAAACCTATAAGTCATGTCATATGTCCTGGCAGATTTAAACATGTTAGTATTTTTGGATCGCGTGTGATCGGTAAATACTCCAACACAGCAATGCAATAGTTATATCAAATTTTAATTTATCTCATATGTTTCAATTTATAATTAGATTACACAAAAATGATCCAACACATGTACCATCCACATTGAAGACACACATATCGCTTCTTCAAGACTACTCAAGACACGTCGGAAGTAATTAAGTACCATGTAACTATGCAAGACACACACACACACATCGCTTCTTCCGTATAATTAGGCAAGCCCCAAAAATATGGCATGCACGTAATTACGCGGACCCAAAATGAATATTCAAATATGTATATCTTGAATGCATTTTTAAAAAGGTGCCTCTAATATGGTTTTTAATTAAAACAAAAAAAAAATTACCAAACGATGCCAATACAAACGGAGGTTGGAAGAGAGGTAGGTTCGATGTGGCAGAAAGTTGGGCCACTAAATGCACAAGTCATACTCACACGCATAGCTGGCTTCTTAAAAAAAAAGACAAAAGTTATGTGTAGTATGTTGTAAATTAATAATGAAATTAACATTAAGTTTGCAAAAGTGGCTATAAAATTATTTAACAGAAATTTTACGCCTACATAGAAATATTTTGTAAATGATTTTACTTCAACGTTTTATTTTGTTTATTTGATGTTGCACTTGATTTAGTCGTTTAGAGTACCTTAACTTTTAGTCAGGATGTTCTTCTGGTCAAGCAATGATATTTTTCAGTGTTTTTAAAACCAGACCGGAAGACGAACCGGATTAGCATCCGGATCATGGGTCAATTTGGTTCGACCGGGTTGAACCCAGTTTATAAATAATTTATTTTTAAATATATATAATTTAAAATAAAATATAAATAGCTAAAAATTGATATATAGATATAAATATTAATATAACAATATTAGAAAATTATATTTAATTGTTCTAATTAATTATTTATAGTATAAACATATATAACTTAAAAAAAATTAAAAACACACAAAAGAAAATAATTAATTAATTGATCGTATTAATTGTTTTTAAACCAGACCGGAAACCCAATCCGGTCACATGTCCAGTTCATGGTTGAACCCGGTCCGACCACCGGGTCGATCCGGTTTTAAAAACACTGATATTTTCCCTATAAAAGTTCTTGTAAAATCATTGTTATATATGTCAGACGGAAAGAGTATATGTAGAATAAAATCAAAAGATGGTAACTAAAGCACAAAAAATGAAGACGAAAACAAACAAAAGGAAGAAAAATGCAAAACGTAATTTGACACTTGACAACAAAGTAGCTAGAATTTAGTAGGTAGCGATTGTGGTGGGAGATGGTGTACGATGCCATTGTAAGTAAGTTCCATCCTAGATTCTGAGTACTGACACTTGTCACAGAAAGTAATACAATCTAGAACGATCAAAATAAATTTATCATGTACCAAACAAAATGGTACGATCAGGCCTACCATATGGTTATTGTTTAAGCTCGAAATGGAAGTTTGGCATGGTTAGGAGATCAATGAAGTTGAATATGGCTTTCTCATTTCTGAGTCTTTAATTATTTCATGTTGACTTTTTAATTGTTTATCTAAGTTCGTGTTTAGTGTTTGTGTATATACTTAGCTTTCAAAACCATTAAAGTTAACCAATTGATTTAGACTAATTTGGATTCCACATTGTTAGTGACATAGTCTTTTGGCCCTTGTGGAATTCGATTATACGAAAAATATATTTAAACGGTGCATCGATTATACGAAATAGACATCTAAACCTGTTACATAGTTACATATAAGAATTCGATTCATAGACAACATACAGGATTCGGTGATTTTGGAAGATGCATTACTTGACGATAAACTCTTCTCGATGTTACGATACATATATTTATAATCATTGTATTAAATAAATTACGGAATTTGATCAATTCCACAAAGTTAATTTATAACTTCGTATAAGTATACATATTAAGACATGCAATTGCATGAACCCATCAGCTTTATACAATACATTAACAGCTGGGGCCATTTTCTCTAAGGGAATTAAGATACACTTTTCTTTTGTAACAAAAAAAGGTATACATATTACATATATATGATGATGAAATTAATTATATAATCTCCGCAACAAATCTTCTAAGCAGAGCACTTCTTCATGACAACAGATTCAATAGGAATCTTGTCAGTCGGATAAGCACAAGGACCTCCTTTCTCCGGCAACAAACTACACGGTGTCGGTGTCACCTTGCTCGAAACTCCGGAGATATCAGTACAATTCCACAGCAACTTCTTCGGCTCCTTAGCCAACTCAATCTTTATGTTCGACATACATATCTTGGTGAAAGGATCGTTCTTGAGCCCATCGAGCCTAGCGGGTTGCGTGACATTATCCGCGGTCATGTCACTGTAGTTAATGTTGGTAATCTCTGGCATAGCCTTGGGGTCATAACCCGAGGCAGGGTGTTGGTTATAAGCACCACTCATCCAGAAAATGTATTTCATTGTCTTCATTACAAAGCTCCTAGCAAAAATGTCCTTAACGTAACCTCCACGTCCGACCGCGGTTTTGATTCTGATAGCGGATTGTGTCTGGAGTAACGTAATGTCTTCCATTCTAACGTCTTTGATTCCACCGGACATTTCACTTCCGAGTGCTACTCCGGCACTATCGGGAGAGATGCATGTGAGCCTTCGGATGGAGAGTTGCTGAGTTGGCATTCCGACTTTGATTCCGAACTGATCCCAACCACTCTTCACGGCGATGCAGTCGTCTCCGGAGACCACGTAACAGTCTTCTATCAATGTGTTTGTGCATGAGTCTAACAAAGAATAAAAACAAAGAAAGTGTGAAAACAAAAGAAAAACAATGCCACGTGGGTATAACGTAACGCGACGTGCATGGGATATATGGACGTACCAGGGTTGATTCCATCGGTGTTAGGAGAATCGATAGGAGCAATAATGGTAACGCCTCTAACGATGACGTTGTTGCAATACACTGGATGAATGTTCCATGCAGGCGAGTCGATGATCGTGATGTTCGAGATCTGGACGTCTTTAGAGAACATGAGTTCGAGTGTGTAAGGTCTGGTGATATTCTTAAATCCACCACTCCTATACTTCACCCACCAGTATTTGCCTTGCCCATTGATCGTTCCGTTGTTACCTAATTAACCAAACAAATTCGATAAAATACATTATTCAAGATCTTGAAATTGAATTTTAGAAACTCTGAATCTATGGTCAACTTGTTCCAAAATATATTATATAGTTTTGATATTCTTACCGGTGATAACAACATCAGTTAGGTTTGTGCCAGAGATCAAACTGTTAAAAGTTGGTCCTGCTGCATCTCTTCCTTGTCCATAAGACGGCAAAGGTGCAACCACGGGATATTCAGCTTCATTCTATAAAAAAAAACCATATAAATGAATAATTTGTTACAAAAATGTTCATTTAAACTTTTAGAAAGGAAAATCATGTTCATACGTACCTGAGAAGCAAGAATAGTTGCACCTTTTTGGATGAACAAAGTAAAATGGCTTGTGAGGTTGAAACTTCCGGTGAGCCATCTTCCCGGTGGAACAATGAGCTGCACTCCGCCGTTAGCCGCCTTAGGAGCAAGCTTGGTTATGGCTTCCTTAAAAGCTTTTGTGTTCGATGTTTTTCCATCACCCACGGCTCCGAATTCGGTTAATACTGCGGTATGTTTTCTACAGTTTATCGCATCATACTGAATATTTGTCGATTCCATCATCTGAAAGCTACTGATTGCCAAAACTACTAATATACAAAAACTTGTCCGAGACATCTGTTGAGAAGAACAAACAAAATCATGTTTTAGATTCTCTCTTTCGAATTAATCGACCAGTACCAAAACAAATTTAGCATGTCATTGTTCAAAAATAACGTTACCTTTAGAGTTGAAGGTGTAAGAGAGAACTCCATTTTGATTTGTTATTTTTTCTTTTTTTTTTGTGATTTTTGTTTGACATGAAACAGAGTAATTTATAGAAGAAGAAGACGAAGAAGAAATATTGTGAAAGAGAAAATTATGCTTAAACTTTATCTAATTGACTAATTCTAGACCTTGAATTAAATTTACCAAAATAAGTAGAGCTAAAAAAGGTGCATAGAGAATTCAGATAGAGACCAAATATCTCCCGTTTTGGTAGAAAATAGTCCAACTTTTATAATCATAGATCTTAAATTAGGTAGTTATTTCCCGTTTTAGCAGGAAATAGTCAAAATTCTGGAATCATATATTTTAAATTAAGTAGTTGACTAAACAAAATAAGTATGTCAACAGGAATGAAAATTTTATCCAGAAAAATAAGGGGCTGAAATTGCTTGATTTTAATCAAAAAGTTTTCCGCTGCCGGGCTTCGAACCCGGATTTCATCATTTAAAATTAACCGGTGTGCTACAGCGGATCTGTTGAACATAATTCCATCAAAAATACTAATAACAAGATAGTTCAATAAATTTAATGTCACGAAAATAGTTAAACTATAATCAAAGACATTAGTTAACGTTTGATCGGCAAATAATGAAGCTTTTAGTTTAGGTGTTTCAAAGGCCAGAGGACAACTAAGAAGGTTTGCAACTTTTAAAATCTCAGATTCTTGCTGTCGCTGTTATTGATGATTCTTTGGGGTCAAATGGATGTTAGAGAGTTTACTACCAAATTAGTATCACGAAAATAATTACCCACGAAACATCTGAATATTACTTTCACCATAAACCAAAAAAGAAACTTTACCCTTCTCTCAAGCAACTCTGGGTTTGACATATATAAACCAATAAATGACCTTCTGTTTTTTGTATTTTCGTTTTAAAGAAAAACTATGCGATGAGCATAAAGATGTTCTTCAACAAAAAACATAAGAGCAGAAACAGTAATTTCTCCAACTTATGGTTACGAGAAACATTTGTATGCTCTCGCATAATTTTTCAATAAAAAGAAAACAATTGTTTTTTTTTTTCATAATCAGCACAGCAAAAACCCGAAGAAAGATACAAGAAAGAAGATTTGCTTTATTGCTGAAGAAGAAAAGAGACGAGGTCACGGGAGAGTGAGCGAGGCGCAGCGATTAAATAACAGAGTGCTATTAGGGTTTTAGTTTAAATAACAGAGTGATATTAGGGTTTTAGTTTATTTGAATTGTGTGCATGTGAATTAAGAACGATTTTTTCTACTAAATTGGTTTTTGGGTTAATTTTCATGGGCTCATATGTTTGGTAGGATCATCAACCCTATACCGAATTTAAACCATAATAACTTTTTGTTCTCATAAAACCAGTAGATATTAGATATTGTGATTTTTGTTGTTTTAAAACTACTCAAAAATAACTAATTTACTATCACTCTGTTATTTAATTGTACATAATTTTTTTTTATCAAACACAATTTAAATCGAGGATTAACATATACAATCACAGTGAAGTAGTGAACAGCTCAACTTGAACTCTGTATGCCTTCAAAAAAACTTGCACCATCTCTACAAAAGATTTGCATATTTCAGAAATCAAACAAAAACATTAATATCTTGGCCAAACTACAAAAATGATGTTTTAAAAATTTTGATAACAAAAAAAAGCAACTAAATAATGATGAACAAATTACAAGAAATAGATTCCCGAAAATATAATAACTTTCTCTTATTTTCAAGTGTTTAAACGAATTATCTAACATCCATTGAACCCCAAAAGAATCATCAGTAACAGTAACATCAGCAGGAAGAATCTAATATTGAAAAGTTGCAAACCTTCTTGTTGTCCTCTGGCACCTAAAAAATCCTAAAAGCTGCATTATTTTTTCGATCAAATCCGATTTTCCACCGATTTGTATAGTCAAAACCTCTCTCATGTTTTGAAAAGGTTTGAAGCAACCTGAAAGAAATAATTGATTTAGTATTGGTTTAGCTCCTCAATTCCAAAAAACCACATCAAAAATTTGACTCTTGCTTTGCATTTACCTTGACATGATGTGGCATGATCTTGATATCGTAAGGCACATGAAGCCAAGCTTCAGGTCGGTAAAACATAAAGTTCTCGGGTTTGCTGGTGTAAACGTCTGCGTATTGGTGGATGTGATAAGAGAAGGCTGATTCTTGACCAGTGTCTGTCACAAACGTAGCTCCGAATGATCTGTTGAACATTTGTTTCATCGTGTCTCTTGCCCTCTGTCTCGCCTTGTTCAGCTCGTCCAAGAGAGATTGGCATGCTTCGCTTCTCTCATTGTCTGATGCAATCGCGTGAAATCTACCGAGCAATTCTTGTATAATATGGAACTTTGCCTGAAATTTATAGCAGATGAAATGGTCTCATTAGACTAAACCAACACACAGTCTCTGCTTCAAGTAGAGTATCTACATTCTACAGCGTCTCTAACTAGTTATGGCTTCATAAATGTATAAATCCTACAAGCAGAAAGCTTTTGTTGAAAAGTAAAAGAGGAAGCTGTGGCTATTACCTGCTCAAACCGGTAGCTATCTTCATTTTGTATCTGTATCTCTCGCTGAACCAACAAACGTCACAAAGAGAACTCAGTCTCGAGAATACAATAAGCTAAAAATGTCAAATCAAGTATGATGAGCTAACCTCGAGCTCGTGAATGATGGCAGCAGTACGCCAACCAGCTTTGGAAGGGCCTCGTAGGTCACTAAATAAGTGATCTCCAAAGTAAATCACCTACGAAGAGAAGATGTTGTAGTACTCTTTTAAATGCATGAAGTTACAAATGGAATATATATCAGCTTGTAATGGTTGTAGAGAGTACCTCAGGGCCACGCCACTTTGTGATTTGAAGGAAGGATTTAAGACAGCCATGGTAGTAGATTTTGTTTGGGTGAAATGCATCCACTTTTGTAAACGCCAAAGTATCCCTCTCCTCATCATAGCAACTATACAAGAACGTAGCATAAGAAGTTGTTCCAGAATCTATCTTAAATTCTGTGAGTATGGAAGAGGATTTAGGAGTAAAGAAAACAAACCGGAAAGGGTGCTCAGATGTGTAAAACTCTGGTTTATTTGCTTTAGCGATCACAACATCGAAAAGATCCCTCCATGAGTCTCTGAGTCCAAAAGAGTCCTGATGAACACAGCCAAATAAAACATTTAAATCAGAGAATGTTGAATATCTCGAGTATTTCTGATGGCTATTCAATGATGCGAATCACCTCCATGAGATATCGCATTCCGCCATCGACAAAATGGTAAGGAGAGTTGGTCATCAGGAAGAGCTTCTTCCCTTTATCTTTAAGCATTCTCAGGAAACGCAGTAGCTGACCCTGAGAAGTGACAAAGTAACTTGCTGTTCAGAAAACATCAATCACAAGTAGATATATTCTTGATTAAAAAAGCAAGTTTATTGGACTTGCGCTTGCATTTTTAAGCAAATATCTGGTTGGATCAGCAAGTATCCCTCTATGGACCAAGCCACTTCTATGGACATGTTGAATAGCGCGATTCACATCATTGTAGATGTAGGACGCATCAAACTCAAGCTTCGCATCAACAAAATATTGAACCATGTCTGCAATAAGACACGCCTGAAAGAAAGTAATAAGAAACGTTACGTGTGATCAAGCAAATCAGAAATGACTATGCCACGGTTCTTGATTAACCCTAACCTCGCTGAAACAGAAGAAATCCATCAATCCAACAAGACCTCTCGCTTGATCACGACCTATGTGTCTCGTTCCGTACATGTTCTCTAGCTCCTCCCTACTTAGCTGCACAATCATAAACATGCCAAGGGCTCAAAGCTAGCAACTCAAACGAGCAAAGAAGAGTCAAGTATGGTTTAACAATACCTTACGACGACCGAAGTAGCAACCATCTGGCTCGATGGAACCAAAGAAATCCAATTTCATGAGGCATCCTTTTTGTTTATCGTAGTACAGTCCTCGGATTGGGAAAGTAGGATCATACTTAAACTTCATACAACTCTCAGGATATCTAAACTGCAAGAATCAAGAACCAATACTTCTCACAAACAATACTCACAAACTCGTATACAGCTCAGAATCACACTAGATTAATACCTCATTAACCATATGCTGCTTGGCAAGATCATAGATCAAACTCTGCAAATCAGAGGAGTAATGCGCCAATGTGTAGTCATAATCGAATCCGTAGACTTGTATGTTATCCAATCTGAGATTCTTATTCACATATATCCCTACAAGTATGAATCATAACCAATCATTGATCAAAGAAACAACACAAAAACCCAAAGAAGAAAATGTAAACGAACCTTGAGGATTCATCTTAGGCATACTATTAAGCGCTTCAGGGATATTGAGAAACCTCTGTTTCGCCAGCTCGAACTCATGCCGGATCTTCGCGATATCGTCCTCCGCTGTAGAACATTCCGGCACAGCGACGGCGCATTTCTCAGCTAGATTGGCCAACGCCGGCTCCGTCGAAGTGATAGTCCCGAATCCTCGGAAACCACTAAGAAATCCTGAGATTTTTCAGATAGTAAATACGATTTTAATTTGCCCTCACGATCGAGAGAGAAAGGAAAACGATTCAAATCACTCGAAAGAGCTAACCATTTCGGATTTGGCAGGAAGAAAATCTCCCTCTCTGCAACAACAACGAACTCGATCATCAGCATCAATCGAGAAGGAGGTAATTGATTCAATAAGAAACAGAAATGATGTATATTTGGGGGAAGGAGAGAAGGATTTTACAGTGAGCGATGCTCCGAGAGGAAGAAGACGGCGAGAGGAAGTCATAATTGGTGAAGAAAGTCAGCTTTTCATGAAAGGAGTGTAACTTTCCTTTCTTTCCTTTTTGTAATCCTTTATTTTGTTTTTTTGCTGCGAGTGTGAGCTTGGAAACTTGGTTTTGTTGGAGAAGATGATGACGTCATGATGATACGGTGGAATAGAGATAATGGCGGTTAGGGTTTAATCGTCGACGGCGTCACCGAGCGAGATAATTCCGGGAAACATGTTTCGGATGAAAATTAGTGTTGGGCCTTATGGGTCCAATAACTTTTAATATTTGGTTGTGGACCCAACTAAATTAAATTAGTCATTTGATTTATTTTGCCTTGCAAGTAAAAGAAATAATGTTTTATCGTGTGTTTTGTTTTGATGAGATTATCCTATGTTATAACATCTTGACGTACTTGTCATTTGTGAATTATGGAACTAATTTCATGCCAATATTTAAATATTTAACTCAAATATTTAATGAATGAGAAAAAATGCACTGAATTTTCACGGTAAATGAAGAAACATTCATGGTACAATGGAGGTGTTGAGTTATATGTGGATTATTTGGTTTAAAATGCCTTGTCCTTGAATCAAGTGAACGAATTTTGATGTGTATGAGTTTGATTCACGATTTCATACTAAATTTAATTGAATGTTAAAAGGTAAGGATGATTTGGATGCATGTGTAGATTTGATGTTATTTTGTTGTTGTGATGGAGATGACAAAGATTTTTAAAATATAACAATGTGACCAACAAGTAATTGGCATGCGACCTCTAGATTGATTGTCATACTCCAGAGAAATCATTATTAGTAAATGAGGTTAGAGGTCGTGATCGGAAGATCATCAATTATGGTTTGCATCGCCGTAGGATTTGGGATAATTATAATTTTCTAATTTCTGTTTTACTTGTGAATCAAGCTTGATTAAACACAAATCAGCCACTATTACTTGGATCAGAGATAAAAATCACAGAGATTGCAATGATACAAACTGGAGCATAACGTATCTAAAACTAGTTCTTTATCTGGTTCTCGATTTAAGAAGCAAGAAAACAAAACTAATGCAAAGGAAAACATAAATGATTTTAGAAACACACAGTAAAAGAAAACTGATTTGACAAAAGATTAAAAGGTGAGTACTTCCTCTTTTTTCCGTTCTTTTTAGTAATGAGAGCTATCCATGTGAGCTACAAAGAATACCTTAAGTTCTTTGGTCCAAATTAAACAGCTTAAAATGATTAAACTTGAATGTAGAGAGTGATTAGCTCAAGTGACAGCTAGAGACGCTAAAATCAAAAACTCAAGTGAGAGCTAAACTAATGTTGCTTTCTTCTTCTTGAAGCAATCTCAGACGCCCAAGCTTTGCCTATATCGGTCTGGAACTTCCCTGGATCAAACATCAACAAGATTTAAGCCTTTAAACCATATACTGATAACATCTTTGGATTGTGATTTACAAAGTACAATACCTGCGGTTGATTGGAAAAACTCTTCTAGATCTCTACCTTGCTCTGCGCAAAAACAAGCAGTTAAACAAAAATGAGTTTTAGTTTCTGCACACTGTCAAATCATGAATCATCAGAAGCTTTTCTCGATGCCATTACCTTGTTCGTATTCCAAAGCTTGTAGTATCATCTCAAGCTTATCGAAATCTTTAACAACTTTGGCTTCAGGTGAAGAGTTTGCTTCATATTCTCTCCAAAGCTCAGCGATTTCATTAGCTGCAAAATGACCATATATATATACATTGTCATGCAAACGAACACAAGAACATCGAAGATAATAATATCTCTATAGAATACGAGAAAAAGAAGAGAACATACCTCTTTCTCCTCCACCCAAGAGTTTGCACATGTGTTCAAGTGCTTCGCTTTCTCTTCGATTCTTCTCTTCCTTAGAGACTCCACAAGAAGGTGTAATGTCTCCAACAATGGCTGCTCAAATAACAATGATCAGATTCGACTATCACTGCTAAATAAGTTTTATACTCTCTATAAGTTAAAGAACAAACCTTCTGCAATGTCATGAACAATTGCCATTTTCATGCATCTGAAGAAAGAAATCATGAAAATGAAGATACTTTTTTCAAGAAGTTGAAACTGAAGAAAAGAAAGAAGTAACAAAGAAACCTTACTTGTCTCTGTTAACACCAGGAATATCTGAAGAAATCAGAGCCATAAGACCCATCCGATACATGTGATCAGCTATTGATTCTGGATTTTTCACATCTCTTTTAACCCATCCAGCTCTTGGAGTTGTCTATTTCAACAAGCAGGAAACAAAAACTCACTTAAGATCAACAGGACGAACAAAACTTTCACATCTATAAGAATTAGAGTAATCACAGATCATCAAAGTGACCACAGAGCTTGAAATCGTTTTCAATTCTAGCACGAACTGTATATTCCAATACAATCCATCAACAATCATCAACATATGCATCAAGCGTTTACAAATGCACAGATCCATCATACATTAGTACCAAATGTCGACATAATTAAGAACAACGCATGATCTTATAAACAGTGGAGCGTCAATAACATTGCGTTAACTATTCTACGAGATTCCGTAAATGAGAATTACGAGAGGAGAAATCGATTAATCACAGAAATCACTGGATCTTAGCGAAATTGATAGGCGGATCATCCAAAGCGAAGGTTACATTACCTTGAGACGAGTACAGAGCGTGAGGAAATCGATGGCGGATGAAGCGGAAGAAGCCGGAACCGCGGAGACGTCATCATTCCGAGACGGGGGAGAGACGGGATTAACTCCGCCGGCTACAGACGAAAACGACGCCGCTGGATCGGTCGCCATGCAGTGAATCGCTCGATTCGGAAATGAGGCTACGGCGGCGGAATAGGTGAATCGGAGCTGTGGGCGAGTGAAAGAGGGAACGAGGAAGACGAGAGAGAGTGATTTGCAGAAGAAGACTCGATTCATATTCCTCATTTTTCTTTCAGATTTCCTTTCCTTTTGTTTATCTTCCTGTTTTGGGAACTGTGTTGTTCATTGTTCTCAATTGTTTGTTTTGGCAGTTAAATTGGGCCTTTATGGTGTCAAGACCCACTAGTGTATTGGGTCAGGAAAAAATGGTTACACTTCATGAATTCAATGTTTTTTTTAAGAAATTTGACTATAGTTTGACCATTAAAATTTCTCGAGTTTCTTGTTTGCTTTTTTCTTTGTTGGACTTGCGTTTACGGAAATCTTACTTTCGTTGGCTTCTGTATTTAACACAATGTACCCTACAGAGAATTATTATCGTCAGATGACAGAACAAAACAATAAATCACGGACCAATAAAAGGTGTACGTTTACCGACAAGTCCTTTCCTTACATTTAGTAACGAAAGTCCATTTCATTACAGCTGAAGGTTCTTTCTTCGCATCATTTTTGGAGAAAATTCTTCCCAAACTCTAAGATCACTCACTCACCAGATATATGCATTTCTTCACTTCAAAAATAAAAAAGGAAAATTATTTGGAACTGACTTGGTCACTACTCACGGGATAAGAAGTTTATTTTCTTTGTTAAAGGTTAGGTTAAGGGATTTAACAAGGAATATAAGTGGCTGATCGAGTAAACATTCTCTCTCTCTCTCTCTCTTAAAAGTAACTTACTCACCGAACTCCTCCTAGCATATACCAAACCCACTTTTTTATAGTCAACGTAAATCATGAACTCTTCCCCAACTTCTTTTGTGGTCTTGTTCTTCATCGTATCCTTGTTTCACCAGCTTCCTTGTGATTTAAGCAAACAAGGACTTGGCTGGTGTGAAAATCTCTTTCAGTGTGGAGATATCACCGCTGGTTACCCCTTCTGGGGAGGAAATCGTCTTAAACCTTGCGGTCATCCATTGTTGGAACTTCACTGCAACAAAAACGCCACTTCTTTAATCATGTCAAACCAAGAGTACCATGTTCTCCAAATAGATCAACCTTCTTACACTCTTAGACTTGCAAGATCAGACCTTCTAGGTCCTTTTTGCTCCGCCAAATTCACTACAACAACCTATTTCCCCGAGGTGTTTGAGAGTAGAGGAGCCTACAAGAGCCTCATCGTCTACTACTTCTGCGACCCTCGTCTTAATTACGTTTCAAGTTTTACATGTCCTGATTGGGGTCTAGTGTCAATTTCTCAAAACCCTGATTACCAGTATTCCTGTCAAAACAGTTTCACGGTGCACGTTCCAGAGAGTTTCGTTCCAAATGAGAATAAGTTGAATTTGACTTCCCATTTGGAAGCTGTCCTAAGAGAAGGGTTTGAGTTAGGGGTGCCGACCGCTTACTATCCGTGTCAAGAATGTTTATCCTCTGGAGGAACCTGCGGTTTTGACGGTAGCAAACAGGTTTGCTGTAAGGAAACCTTGGCATCAGGAGTTCAATGCGAGATACCGTATTCTTTGGGTAAGTTTCTTATGAATCACTCTCATTTCAAAGCTAGCTTTTCTCTTTAACAAGTTGTACTAAAGGAGTGAAAATAAAATATTTTCTGAAACTGAAAAAGAAAATAACAAATTCCAAAATAACCTCCATATAGAGATAAAACAAAAACAAACTAGGATGGTGTAGAAGGGATTGAGAAGATATTTGACAATATTTCGAGCATTTACATGGGTAGTCTCTCAATGACTATCTCAAACACTAAAATAATGAAGAGGAAAAAAGTTGAAAAAAAGAAATGAGAATCAGTTATCTTTATAAATTATTTTGAGAAATCTTAAGATACTTTCTTGTTTTATACAAATCTTAATTGCTTTTATCCATACTCTTGCAAAGCTGCAATAGGAGTATTCACCATTTGCCAATTGATTGACATGCAAGGCAGCAACACAGAGAAAGTGTTTTGCAAAGACAGTGACATGGATGCAATATATATATATATATATATATATATATATATATATATATTTATGTGATTCAATCTTGTATTATCTCAGATGACGAGACTTTCCTCCTTTGCAATGCCCAGTTTAGCTGCGGCAATCAGGAATACACTCTCTCTTATCCTTTCTGGGTTCCTGGAAGAGAAGAATGCGGCCACCCTGACTTCAAGCTCAACTGTAGCAGAGGATTCCCAGAGTTTAACATTGCCTCCATGAAGTTCACAATCTTAAAGAGCGGTTTGCACAAGGCAAGTGTTGCCAGATCAGACTATATCAGCAATGTTTGTACCCTAGATCCTGTAGATGTGCCATTCAACTGGAGTGTCCTACCACTTTCTCCTGACACTGAGCTGCTTACGTTATATTACGACTGCCCTTACACTGATCTCCCAAGTTACGTTGAATCCCTTGGATGTGTAAACCATGGCTATAGTTATTATGTGACGAAAAACATCTCGTCCCTTCCATTAACTGCAGAATTAAAAAACATGCAGCTGTTGTGCAAAAGAAACGTCACTATTCCTGCATCTGGACCAGCGTTGATCACACTGAAAAGAGATCCAACTCTACCTAATCTGAGGAAGGCGATCGAACAGGGCTTCGTGTTAGGAGTTGACTCTGATTGTTCCACGTGCGATGATTCTTGGGGTGTTTGTGGATATAGTCAGATCTCAAATCGGTTTGTCTGCCGTTGTATGAATGGGTCGCAGGGCGATTGTCGTGGACCTATAGAGATAATAGATCGTGGTAAATCAATGTCTTTTCTTGAGTTTGGTCCATTTTATTGTGCGTATGTGTGTTCTTTACTTTTTTTGTCTTAATCGATTTTTTCATTGAGATTTTTCTCATGCAGGCGACTTTTCAGGAGCAGAAACAGGTGTTAAACCTTCTCATCATGTTCTTTCAAGAAACCCATGTTTCGTTTTCAAAACTATTTTTGATCTTCTAGCTATAATTAGAAAAAGTTCTTAACTGATTAATAATTTATTATATATATTTTCTGGTTTCAGGTTCGGTAACATGTGTTATTCTGTTTGCGTTATTGGTCTCATTGATACCTCATTTTCTACGTCTCCATGAGAAAAAAACACTAGAAAACTTGAGACAAACGGAACTCATGGCCCATATTCCGCTGCAACGCTATAGCTTTGCACAAGCGAAAACAATTACAAATTCATTTGCGGAAGAGATTGGGAAAGGAGGATTTGGAACTGTCTATAAAGGAACCCTTTCGGATGGCCGCATGGTTGCCGTGAAGGTCTTGAAAGACGCAAAGGGTAAAGGTGAAGATTTCATCAATGAAGTTGCGAGCATGAGTAGAACTTCACACGTCAACATTGTGTCCTTGCTTGGATTCTGCTTTGAAGGTTCCAAGAGAGCAATTATCTATGAATTTGTAGAGAATGGGTCTCTTGATAAGTACCTCTCAAGTAACATATCGGTGGCTATGGACTGGAAGGCACTGTATGAGATCGCCCTAGGAGTTGCTCGTGGTCTAGAATACTTGCACCATGGCTGCAAAACAAGGATTATACATTTCGACATAAAACCACACAATGTATTGTTAGATGACAGTCTTTGTGCCAAAGTTTCAGATTTTGGCCTCGCTAGGCTTTGTGAGAAGAAAGAAGATAAGTTAACAATCCTGGAGACAAGAGGCACAGTAGGGTACACTGCACCAGAGGTAGTCTCCAGAGCTTATGGGGATGTATCTCACAAGTCAGATGTATACAGCTACGGGATGTTGGTCCTGGAAATGATAGGAACAAGGAACAAAGAGAGAGCTGGTCAAGAATTGGGTTCTAACGTAGGTTCCATGTCCTTTCCTGACTGGGTGTATAAAGATCTTGAAAAAGGAAAGTATGGAAACCTTTCCGGGAATGAAATCAGCAGCGAAGAAGAGGAGATAGCAAAAAAGATGACATTGGTGGGTTTGTGGTGTATTCAGTACTCTCCAACAGATCGCCCACCGATGAACAGAGTAGTAGAGATGATGGAAGGAAACGTGGATGCTCTTGAAGTCCCTCCTAGCTCATTTTTGAAGGATATTCGAGCAGCACCTCTTTCAGAATCTACTCCGCTTTTAGAGAAGAGTTCAAGAACTTCAAACACCTCTGAGGTAATGTGGTCTGCTCAACAAAGGTTTTAAAAACTGTTGAGACGTACTCAAGTAATTAAACTGTATCATGCCCCTATATATTTTATCCTGAGAAATTTGGGACATTCATATTTTTGGCCTAAAACACTGAAGGCTCCAAATATTTTTTCTATTATGTTGGCTAGTATGTCAAATACTCATAGTAGTATTAGATACGTAGATAAACTGTTCAACCAAACGATGACTTTATGAATAAAAATATCATCCAAATTTTTGGAAAGAAAAAGTGTCTTCAAGTACTAGTTGTTTGATATGGATTTTCGAGATCCATTAATCAGAATGAGATAATGTGCTGCTGTTGATGTCAAATGTTTGGCTGGTGAAAAAGTGAACATAACTTGACTCTCGTCTTGGTGTTTAAGAAATGGTCCCTTCCCCTGTCTACTGCATGGCATTTTTGCGACAATAGCATGGTACTTATAATGATTTCACATAGTTTTTTCAATGTTCAAATCGACTGACTACATGCTTTTTTTAAGAAACATGCTTTTCCGAATGATTAAAATACAGTTGGAATGATATATGGAAAAAATAACATTTGAATGACGATAGTTTGTTGGTGGGTAAATCAGTGAGCTTTTTCCAAATGATACTAGTAAAAATTTATGATAAAGAAAAAAAAAAACTGAAATATGTTTTTATGTCTTACAAAAAAATGGTTCCAAAAGCATGATTGAGGGTTGTTAATCCAATCTTTATAGTTTTTGTTCTTAATTTCCATCTATATCTCTTTCACAGAATATTGATATTGGCGTTGTTCTTTAATGTTGACCACAACAACGTTTTGTGCAAGCAAATGCGTATGGTGAGACCGCGTATCGACGATTGTGTCGGTCTGCATTTTCCAACTCAAAGCAACATGGCACGTGTTGGACCGTTTGTACTTAGTCAACTCTCACGGTCTTAGGCTGCTCTTTAAGACCAAGTGGAAATTAAGAAGCAAATTTTATTTCCACTGAGAGCAATGTTGTTTCAGAATAAGAAAGGTGTGATTTAGACTAACTTTTTTAGGATTTAGAGACCTGGTTTTAATCAATGAATATGTTTATTTTATTTGGGATGATGTACATGTTTTACTTGATCGCCGCCATACATTTCCCAAATTTTATACCAAGTTTTAGTTTTGACAAAAATTTAAAAGATGACACGAAATCAGAAATATTATGTTTATTTAACGTGATATAAATGATCTATTACTTAGACGATAATTAGAATACTCAGAGCTTATCTTGTCATCCGGAAAAAACAAAGAAGCCACTTTTTTACTTGACAAGACATGGCTAATATGCAATTACCTTGCAACGTTCTTCAACAAAACTTAAGATTCAAATAAAATAAAGCCAAACCAAATTATTATCTCATGTAACTAAAATGCAATAACAAGTTATATTACAAGCAAATTAAAGGCAAAGATTGAGCAAAACAAATTACTATTATATTGGACATAACCCATTAAAAATTTTACAAAAAAATATATAGTAAATTATTTGTAATCGAATTTGATGAAAAAGTCCAAGCATCAAAATTATTTCTCTCAGATTGTAGTATGTTTATATCAAATAAATAGAAACAACATTATAATAACATTTTAGAATAAAATTATTGCTTCTATTTCATATCATACACTTCTTTGCCACACATCTTTCAACGTGATCCTAGACGACATCAACTTTAAAGATTGCAAAAACATTGGAAGGCATTGAACAGAGGAGCAAGAAGGTCACAAACTGTTCCATATAAGAACAACAGTCTTTCCGGCGAAATACCAACAGAGATAGGTAGTTTGAAACAGTTACTTTATCTGCATCTTGACAGCAATTCGACTTGAATCTCGCGAACAACTTTTTGACAAGGGATATTCTAAAGAGTTTAAATCAGATGGATTCGTTGAGCATGCTGGATCTCTCGAATAACAAGCTCAACGGACCTATCCAGGAGACTTTTCGTTGATCTGAAGCTGGTTTTCGTTGACTTTTCTAGGAATCAACTGTCTAAGATTAAAAATGTTCACAAACTGTTCCATTTAAGACCTCGGAAGTAAGAAGCAAAGAGATTAAAACTTGCCACTTCTTCCATGTCGAAAAACAGATTCCACTATTCATATTATTAACCTTTTTCATGTTTAAACGTTTAAAAACATTTGCTTTTATTTTCTGAAAATCAATATATGGATATGATACCTAATAAACTATAGATGATCCTTGATTTGGACCGTTTGAGATTAAACTTAAAAAATATGGAGCCATTAGTAACTTATACAAGTAAATGTAAAACCACTCAATTAGTATTAGTTTAACCAAAATAATTAGAAGGACGTCAATAGAAGAAAAAAACACAACCACTCGATGTAAACATCTCTTATAAAACCAAGCTCATCTAGTTTGAATAACTTCCCACTTCTCGATTATATAATCTACATATAAGAACGTTAGGTAGCCTCCAACAACATAAAAACAATTTGCAGTTTTTCAAGTGGTAATACAAGTAAAACAGTTGACGAAATCAAAAAGACTTTGGGCACCTTTCAATCTTTTTCACTCAAAATCAAAACAAAATAAAACAAAATTCAGACTTACGTTGTATATATCTCAATAATTTGACATAGTAGAAACATAGGATAAACCCATATGGAAATAACTTAATCACAAGTCCTAATCAGATTAGGCTATAACCCAAAAAATCCTCCACCACTCGCGTTAAAGCGCGTGGAAAATATTAAAGAGCACATTCATTGAAAAAATCAAATCACCACCGAGTCTTAAGTCTCTCAACTACTTTCCTAAGAGAAGACGAAGAAGCTATCCTTAAGCAATACGAAGAAACTTCTCTGCTATTTCCCTTCCTCTCACGCGTTTCAATTCCTCTCTATATAATACAATCTTTCTTCCTCCAAATCCACAAAAATCATCTCTGTTTCATCAAGTTTCAATCTTTCTCTCCAAAATCTCTCTCAGCCATGGTTCGTTGCAGCAACAACCTCGTCGGGATACTAAACTTCGTCGTCTTCCTCCTCTCGATTCCGATCTTAGCCGGAGGGATCTGGCTAAGCCAAAAAGGCTCGACGGAGTGTGAGCGTTTCCTCGACAAACCCGTGATTGCTCTCGGTGTCTTCCTCATGGTCGTAGCGATCGCCGGTTTGATCGGTTCCTGTTGCAGAGTCACGTGGCTTCTCTGGACTTACCTCTTCGTCATGTTCCTCTTGATTCTCGTCGTCTTCTCTATAACGGTTTTCGCCTTCGTTGTGACGAACAAAGGAGCAGGAGAGACTGTTTCAGGGAGAGGTTATAAAGAGTATAGGCTCGGAGATTACTCTAATTGGTTGCAGAAACGTGTCAACGATGGTGGAAACTGGAATAAGATTAGGAGTTGTCTTGCTGAGAGCAAAGTTTGTTCTAAGCTTGAAGCTAAGCTTATTGATGTTCCTGTCAACAATTTCTACAACGAACACCTTACTGCTCTTCAGGTAAAGTTTTGATTTTTTTTACTTTTGATTTCAAATTTTAGATATGATTGATTTGTCTTAAAGTTGCTCTGCTTTTTATGGCTTTAGTTAGAACTTTATGAATTGATTAAATTGTTCTCAATGATTTGAAAAGGCTTGACCTTTTTGATACTTAAAGTCTCCTTTTTTGTGTGCTCTCAAAAATCAAAACTTTTTTTAAACTCAAAAGCTTTACTTTTTGATTCTGTTTTGTTCTGTTTTGTACGGATTTCATTCGTCTTAGAGATTCTGATAGTTTTTAACACATTTTTGAAAAAGTTTTGTTTCAAATATTCCATTTTTAAAGTTCACTGAATTATGATCAATGAATCTGAACCAGATTCTTACTTAAGATGCAAGCTTTGTTCTGTTCTTAGCCCTTTTGTATGAATTTCGTTCTGTGTGTGAATATTAATACTCTGCCTTGAATCTGTTAACTAACTAACGAATCTTTGTTTTTGATTTGTGGTTACAGTCTGGTTGCTGCAAACCCTCAGATCAATGCCAGTTCACATACATAAGCGCCACAAACTGGACAAAGACAGCAGGAACACACCCAAATCCAGACTGCCAAATCTGGGACAACGCACCGGAGAAGCTCTGTTTCGACTGTGAATCTTGCAAAGCCGGTCTCCTGGACAACGTCAAGAGTGCGTGGAAGAAAGTTGCGATCGTCAACATCGTCTTCCTCGTCTTCCTCATCATTGTCTACTCTGTTGGTTGCTGTGCTTTGAGGAACAACAAGAGAGACAACGGCTATGGCCATACTGGATATAAGCCTTGAAAACGTTTTTCTTTTTAAAAACAGGTTTTAGGACAGAGATTCGTTCGTTGTTCTTTACAGTTTACTTGAGTTTGCTTTTTTTATGTTTTATCGTTTTTAAATCTTGGTGTTTTTGAGATCTATTGCTTTGTACAGTGCCTTCTGGCTAAACCTTGATATTGATCTATTTATGTTTTTGTTAATAAGTTTATTGTTTCTCTACATTAGAAGTCACGATTGTGATGATAACTATAACATTGGTCCAATGTGTAGTCAGTCCACACAAGTTGCATATAAACATTATGATTACTCGCTGTTCAACTCTATCCGATCCAAAATTGGTCCCATCAAAAACTGATGTGACCTGAAATTTGTTTTTGCTGATCTAGCCTGAATTTGATGGCTAAAAGATTATAAATTTTATTTTATGATTTGTTTATAATATCAAAGGCAAAAAGGCCAAGGACTAGTGCTATACGCTTGTCAGTTTAGCTTAGTAGTCAATATTTTATACACAGCCCATATTGTTGTTGTTCTTATTTAGAATGTTGTCGGAAATTATTCCGTAAAGTAACTTTCAACACGATTGTTAAGATAGAGGTTAAAGTAGATATCTCACTGAAAGTTTAGATTTTTTGAGCATAGATGTTCGTTATGCATACAATTGGAAACATAGATTGTAAGAGTAGTGCATATCCTCCTCATTACAATGTTGTGCTTTGTTGTTCTTATGGACTAAAAAATATGTTAGCATATGTATTTGAATTGAAATATGTTCTACGTCTTCTTATCTACAATCAGTGATAGTGCTAAGATGAAAAGATAATAAGAAGCTCATAAATAGCAAGCAATAGTGGAATCAAGTGAAACGTGATGGTAAGAGTACATTGTTTGAATATCAATCCAATTCACATATTCGAAATTTAGATAGGGATAGTCTAATGTATAAGTCAAGTTTAACTCTAACTAGTATGTTAACTTTTATGTTAAAGTCCAAAAACATGTGTATGAGTTTTGTCTCTTAGACCCGAAGAGGACAATCTCATTAATAATATTAATGGAGAATTGAACATGGATTTGAAAAGCTCAATATAGTTTGCTCACCTCAAAGAATGGGAAGAAGACAATTGGATATTGGATGGAGAAGTTGCCATATATTTTACTCGGGCCGGCCTATAACGGATCCAAGAAGGCCGCAACAACATCCCCACTATCAATAAAGGGAGAGATGGATGATAATACAGCACACTTCACGAGCAAGAATGGTCTACAGAACCTCTATAAAATAATATTCGATAAAGTAATAATCACTATAAGATAATAAATTTCTCCGGTCTCAACTCTGGCCAGTGTAAAAATAAGCAAAATGCGATAAGATGATAAGATAATAATATTTTTGAAACTTCTATGTAAAAATATGCCCCAAATATAAGTTAAAGTAATAATTATATAAAACTATACATTGTATATACCTAAAAAAATTATTAAACTATGAATTTAAATTTATCTATAACTTTTTATTATATAAAAACTCATAATGCAAATTTTCTATACATGTGAAATTGTTAAATATGTTCTAAACACATTATTTTCAACTTCAGCTATAATTTTTTCTAAACTTTTAATTTTTATCATGTATAAAAATATATATAAGCTAATCGTATTAACAAAGAAATTATTTTCAATTCTTAACACATTATCATATGGAAAATAATTTTTGAATATTATGAATTAAAAAAATATTATTATGAATTAATTATATTGAATTTATTCATAAAGTAATATCTCTATAAGATAATAAATTTTCAAAGTCCCAACATTATTACTTTATAGAGGTTTTACTGTACTTGGTTATTCTAATGTCAAGAATTTTCATTCATGGTATACAAACGTAAGTATCTTATACAAAGTATGCTATATAAGTTACATTAATGTTTTTTACATAGTTTGAATCTTTTGATAGATCTCGAATCTTTTTAAAGGCTACTTGATTATTATAATGTCACTCTTTCATTCTTTCCCAAATATGCTTTGCATTCCCAATACTAGGGTTTAACTGGACCAGCAGAGTAACAGCGAAACCTTTAAACTTACGAAAATCTGATCTGTGTTTTGGATCTTGTTTTGATATGTGTACAAATGAATATCTCTATCGCTTAGCTGGATAAAGACTCAATCAAACAATGTTAATAGAGAATAAGGATGTGAACTAGTAGTTTATAGTCTTTTATTTTTTTGTTATGTCATCAAGAGTTCGGAAATCGTTTATTTTATAGTTAAGATCACATAAATATTGCGTCTAATTGAAATTTAGTGCTTAAACACAATTAAAGGAAACGTGCAGAGAAGATGAAGCTGTCTCTCACGAGGTCCATGTTTCTTGGTTCTTGCTTTCTTTTACGTAATCGAGCACATGAAATCAGACGTGTTCCTTCTCTATTCAGCAATAACAAAGCGTTACGGGAAGATATCGTAAGCATCAATCCCGGTTTGGTTAATTACTGGATTTAGATCCAAAAATTTATTTTTCCGGTTGAAACCGGATTTGATTATGGACTACACTATGCTCACATTTATCTAATGTTAGATAGATAAAATGAGAATCAAGTAGAATTTAATCATATTAATACTGAAATGATAAGAAACTCCCCCAAACAAAGTCGTCATGGTTGTTAACCAAATCTGTTTGACATATTAATATTCGGCCATTATAAACACATATTCTATTGGATAATCCATACATAATATTTTTTTTTGTTTGCATTGGAGATTAGATCATGTAAATGTAGTCTTCCTCTCAACACCAAGACTCGAATTTGTAAGATTTTGAGACGCAATTGTTTTTGCAGAATCCTCCAATATATTAGTAAAAAAACAAAACCAAAATGTTTTAGAGGTTTAAACCGATCTTACGAACGTAAAAGGAAACCGAACCAAGATAGACCATGATCCAATGCATGAAGTGACGTTCTGTTAAAAAAAGATTAGCCACGTCATCGTCATTTGAACATATATAATCTCCATATAAATTAGACCACCAACGACAAATAACCCGAGAAAGATGTTTCATTTTGATGAAATGGACGCTCAAACTCTCCTCCTCTACTTCTCACTCCTCATTCTCTCTCTAAATTTCTTCTTCCAAAGTATCAAACCGAAGCTATCTCGTCTCCTCCAGCCTTCTTTGGAAACTCGAGTCAAGGCCGCTCTTTTGTCAAGAAAAGAAGTAGTCGAGTTTCTTGATTCTTCCGTCGTTAAACAAGAAGATGATGAAGAAGAAGACGAAGGAGATGTCTCTACAATTTCTAGCTCTACGTTTGAGTTTGATCCATACATGACGAGCAAAGCCGAATCAGTAAACAAAGCCCTAGACGAAGCCATTCCAATGGGGGAGCCACTCAAAATCCACGAAGCCATGCGTTACGCCATTCTTGCTGCCGGAAAACGCGTTAGGCCTATCCTCTGCCTAGCTTCTTGCGAGCTAGTAGGCGGTGAAGAGAACGCGGCGATGCCAGCTGCTTGTGCGGTTGAGATGATCCACACGATGTCTCTCATCAAAGACGACTTGCCTTGTATGGATAATGATGATGTGCGTCGTGGGAAGCCAACGACACATAAAGTCTACGGCGAAGGAGTGGCCATTCTCTCTGGTGGAGCTCTCTTGTCTCTTGCCTTTGAGCACATGACGACGGCGGAGATATCGTCGGATAGAATGGTTTGGTCGGTCAGGGAACTGGCTAGGTCTATTGGCACGAAGGGTTTAGTCGCGGGACAAGCGATGGATATAAGTAGTGAAGGTTTGGACTTAAACGAAGTCGGTTTAGAGCATTTGGAGTTTATCCATGTTCATAAAACCGCGGTTTTGTTGGAAACTGCTGCGGTTCTTGGAGCCATTATTGGTGGTGGATCTGATGAGGAGATTGAAAATGTAAGAAAGTTTGCGAGGTGCATTGGATTGTTGTTTCAGGTGGTTGATGATATCTTGGACGAGACAAAGTCGACGGCGGAATTGGGAAAAACCGCGGGGAAAGATCAGATCGCCGGAAAGCTGACGTATCCGAAGCTGTTGGGGTTAGAGAAATCTAAAGAATTTGTTAAGAAATTGACGAGAGATGCACGGCAACATCTTCAAGGGTTTAGTTCGGAAAAAGTGGCTCCTTTAGTAGCACTTACTGATTTTATTGCCAATAGAAATAAATGAAAATGGTGGGGATATTTAGAACTTTGATTATTTGTTTTTTGTGTGTGTGTGTGTTTCGGGTTTTATGTTTACATGCTAAAATAGTGTGTTTACTTTTAAAGTGTAACCACATTTTAATATTTTTATTTAAAGAAAACATTTGTAAACGCAAATCCATTTTCCTTTTGTGTACATTGATCGATAATAAGAACGAAGTCCTTTTCAACTATCTTTCTAAATATGAATATTTTTCTTTCATACATAGTATGTTTTTAGCCTTTAAAAGATGTTAAAAAGAAATGTGGCGCCATAGTTTCTCTTTGATGTTTGTTATGTTTGTGGTCGCCATATGTCCTCTATTTGTTGCATCTAGAAAACGAATAGGCCTAGGATGATTTAAACTCGGATCAAACATATATACTGCTCTCTATGAAAAAATCCTAGTAATACAATCTTTTTTTGTTTCTGAAATTTCGGTTGAGACATATGATTGGGTTTGGACCGTCTTGGCATGGCATGAGCCATGAATGATTGTAAAATATCCCAATCGTTATCATTAAAGTTATCTTTTTAACCTAAATCATCGAAGTTATCTTTTTGCTACCAAACCAAATCTCCATCCTAGCCATTCCTTTTCGCCACAAGAGTTCAAAAGTATAACACCAAACTTCTTTAAAAAGATCGACAGGAATCTTCGTACATTAGATTTTAGCGATTGATAATCCATTTGCCTTTTTTTGTTTGTGACCAAATGTCCTGAACATGCTCCCATTTTTATTAGTTGTTAGTAAAATAGAATTTAATTATTGGTGTATAATACATGGTTAATTGCATCCATCCGTTTTGGAATTTCCGTGTCTTAAGGTGATGGTAGCAGCAATGTGAACCTTTGGATGATGTCCTTTATTTCATATGTTATCTTTGATATACTTTTTATTTTCTTTTCATAAAGCATAATGTTTGTTTTTGTTATCCATATAACTTGTGATATATTCCAACATTAAACAAATGCAGTGAGCTCCAACAAAAAAAAAATATGAAAGAAAAGCAAATCGATAACTGTTCACGATGTTGATGCTCGAGCCACAGGATATGATGCCCTTTGGCCCCTTTCTTTTGGTAGCTGTTTGCCAAAAGACTTTGTCGTATACTCAAAATCTCTCATAAGAATATACTTTTTTGACGCTATCTTGAATATATATAATTAAAAACACATCAATGGATTTATATTATGGGCCAAACGAACATCATAGAAGGGACAAAATATACAGAATGAAAATGGTTAATGTGAAAAGACGGAGAAAAGATAACGATTGAAATGGTGTTAACTTAAAGAATTGAAATACAACCATTTAGTCAATGGGAGTATAATTTTTCAAACCGATATATAAATTGAGTTCTTCCATAATTTTTGAGAAGGATAAACATCAAAACCTTTATAAAGAAAATGAAAGTTTGCGAAGTCTCTATCCAGCTGATGACTTCTATTTACCATTTGCATAAACTACAAAAATGAATTTGTAGTCGTATCATTACTTCATTAGTCGGATGATCATAAATTATTCGGTCTAATTATTTAAGAGGCAATTGCCATTTGCTGGCATCACCATTAGGGCCCAAGTCAATGTTGATAATATAGCCAGAATTAATTACTTGTTAGACATTATTGACCATATATCTATCTAATTAATTCTGGTTACGTTTCTCAAACCTTTTGCTTATGTAATAAATTTAGAGTTTTTTTTCTTCTTGCCAAACTAGTTTGTCAATTTGTGGACATTGCTTGTCACCTCATAACTCATAAGTTTGTAACTGGTGGGGGTAATATTATCCACGTGTCACTATGTGACTTGCTAATACTATAACAAGTTTAACATAGTCCTCTCCTTTTCACTAGGTTGAGAATTATAGCTCCCAAACTTTCGGGACTTCTTAAAGCTTTCAGTAAATATGCCAATGGTATAAACTATCGTTTTAGTTGCATAATGTATCTTTCTTTTTGCGCTCAGAAAAGATATGCACTGAATAGTATACTTTAAAAAAATATATTAGCAAAAAAAGACGCATGAACGAATGGTAATTAAGTGAATATCGAATATGCTATACAGAAATAACATGGAATTCAAATGTTTTAAATAAATAACATGCAATATTTCAAAATCATCATCTATATTCGCTTTAAGAAGTACTTTTGTAACGAGTTCTCCAAAAACTATTTAACTTTAAATAAACCACTTGTCCTTTTATTCCCTTACGCCAAAAACCACTGTCTCTATGTTCCACTTGTTCGCATATTCTGTATGTTCATGTTCCTTAACCATTGGAAACAACAATTCTTTTCTCATCAAAAATTTCATTTTATAAAAAAATTGTAAACCCTTTTGCCAGAAAAATAATTACAGACAAATAACAATTCCTCCATTTCACTATGAAAGATATCAATTCAAAAGATTTCACACATACTAAAAAGTATCAGTTTCTTTATCGTACTATTTGTTACTACACTTTATAAATAAATCTAGCTATACTTATTTGTTACTAAAAACATTGAAATTTGTTTTTTAAAACTGCATTACAAATTTTTAAACAACAAGACCAATTATAAATAGAAAGAATATGCTGTCAGAAAAGAAAGAAAGAGTATTTGTTAAAGTAATCTAGTAAATCAGTTAAAAGTAAAAACAAATTAAAAAAACAAGAAAAATATGTGGAGACACGTTTGCGTACACGTAAAACACTGTTCGTTTCCTAGTTCTTCTGATCTGTTGCCGTTGTGAACAAATGTAATCGGACGGCTCTAATACCACCGCAAGCTATCGCCACTACCAACCCTAACACGTGTACGGCTGCGAACTCACACCTCCACAGTTCTCGCGAGAAAAAAAGAGCTTCGAAAAATCGAATATTCGGGTGTAATTCGTATAATGAATTTCTCGTGTACGTCCTGATATACGCTGACGTGTACGAGTCCTTTATTTTTAGAAATTAAATTTAATTAAGAGAATTAATGTTGAACAGAAACGTTATTACCATCCTATATAAACCCTTTTAGTCTCCGTTCATATTTTCATTCATATTTTTTTCTTTAAACGATTTATTTTAAATTTATTTCTTCTTCTTCTCCTTCTCTCTCTCGAAGTTTTCTCGAGGGAGTCAAAATTTGTTCATCAATGGCGATGAGGAAGCTTTTGTCGAAGCGTCTCTTCAACATCTCAAACGTAGCCTCGCAGAGTCTCATGAATTGCCGCATATCGTCTTCTTCGATAGCCGTGCGAACCAGAGTTCCGAAAGAATCGGGGGAGACGAGAATCGCTCCGGAGCCTGGAGATTCCGGGATGATGTCCCGGAGGTTTCTGCATAACTCCGCCATGATTCGGCCGGAGATTATGCAGATGCCGGTTGGAGAGAGCTTGATGGAGAAGCTCCGTGAAATCGATGGCAGCAAGGACCGGATTCGATTAGACGGCCTTGCTCCGCCGCCGATGTCGATTTCCGAGACGGAGACGCCAAGTTTGACGGTGGCGGACACGAAGAAGCTGATCAGAGCGGCGCAGATGGAGATGGTGAAAACGAAGCTCAGAGAAACCGGGAGAAGCTGGATGCCGTACGCGGAGTTCGTCGGCGTTTGCGGCGAAGCTTCTTCAGATCCAGATCACGGATCTCGAATCGCGAAGATGCTGGACGATTCAGCAAACGTCATCGTTTTGGGAGATTCCGTTTGTCTCAGGCCAGATCAGGTACTTACTTTCCCGATTTTGACTTGGAATCTGAAAATCAATTTCAAAATCAAATCAATTGAATCTGTGAATGAAATCAAATCTCTGAGTATGCAGCTGTTTGATTGGGAGAGATTAACAGAGAGATAAATCTCTCTAAAGAAAAACGAATTAGGTTCCCAAAAAAAAAAGTTTCTCTTTTCGATTTGATCTACCGAAAACTGATACCATTTTCATCGGTTGTATCTCTTTCTTTTGCTCCCAATTCAACAGGAAAACTCAAAACCTCTGTTACTACCAGAGTGTCTCATAGGAGGTTCCCAAGTTTGAGCTGGTGATAATGACGAACACTTTCTTCAGAGACCACAACTTTTTTTTACCCTAAAAAACCATCGATTTGATTCTAAAAACCAAAAATTTCAAAAGAGAGCGTGTTTGGAAGAAGCTTTAGGTTTACTAACATGTTCTTGGGGATATTAGGCTAATAATAGTGGAAAATTTGGAGTTTATATGGAGTGCTAATTGTGTCATTGATCTTTGTATTGTGTGTGTGTTTTTTGAGTGCTAATTGTGTCAACAAAGAAAAAGGTGGTGGAGGTTTTGTTTTACCGAGACGTTTTCTGTTTTTGTCTTTTGCTCTTTGTGTCTGCTCAGGTTACGAAATCCATTGAAGGGTTGCTTCCTTTGCCAAAGATCATTAACCCGAACGACCCGAGAAGGATCGAGCTGAGAGAGCTCGAGGCAGAGAAGGCGGTGATCGATTCCAAAGCGCACTCTCTGGTGCGGAAAGAGCTCTGGGCGGGTCTCGGTTACTTGATACTGCAGACCGCAGGGTTCATGAGGCTAACGTTTTGGGAGCTCTCGTGGGACGTGATGGAGCCGATATGTTTCTATGTTACCTCCATATACTTTATGGCTGGGTATGCTTTCTTCCTCAGGACGTCGAAAGAGCCTTCCTTTGAAGGGTTTTATCAGAGTAGGTTTGAGGCTAAGCAGAGGAAGTTGATGGATGTGAATGAGTTTGATGTTGAGAGGTATGATGAATTGAAGAAGCTGTTTTCCCCCAAGGCTTCTGGTCGTGTTTCCAAGGTTCTTGGAGCTGTTGAGTGTTAGTGTTTTTGGATTTTAGACAAAGAAAAAAATGATTTGTTTAGATTCAATGTTGTTGTCACAAAATGGTGTCTGATTTTTTTTGCCTAACTAGAGAATTCTACCAAAAGGAAAAGAAAAAAAAAAGAATAGGTAGATGAAGTTCTCAATTTTTTTTCAGTTTCTCAAAAAATTATTGTTCTATTTGATGCCGGCTTATGTAACATCACGGAAGAGTTGTATTACTGTTTTCAGTTTTTTTTTCTTATATATGATCAATTTTCAATTGTAACATCATGTAAATATTTGTTTGAAATGTTATAGAAAATTATATTACAGTATTTCTCAAAATTTGTTGCATACAAGATTCCTATTCCTAAAAAGGTCAACGTGACCACACTGAAGAAACTTTCTGATAAAGACGATCGGTAACTCGATTCAAAGTGGGTAAATTTTCAGGTAAATATTTCTGTCTGAGTCTTGAAATTCTAGTTTGCGGTGAAAACAAGATTACTGTAGCTTTGGATCTACGACGACGATGTTAGAGCTAAACAGGCCCAAACTTTTTGCTTAGTAAATCAATATAATTGGCCCATAAATAAGTCAAAATATCTTACCAAAAATTAAAAGAAAATATAAAACGTAAAAAAGAGAAAAAACGAAAAGTCAGAGCTTTCTCTTTCTCTCTCTCTCTCCAAGGACACACCATTTTTTGTTTTCCCGACAGTACAACTCTGTTTTCCCACGATGTCTTGTTTCCTCTTTAGTTCTGTTCGAATCTCTACTTTTTAGGGATTTTGTTATTGTTTCTTGCTATAATCAAAAACCCTCAAATTTTTATCAATCTCGACGAAGAAAAGGGTAAGTTTTTTAACTCTCCAATCTAAATTTAGCTGTGAATCTGAGAATCGAAAAGATTGGGGCTTTAATTCGCAATGTTGGTCACTGATCGATTCATCTCTGTCGGTTCGATCCAATCTTCTAATTTGGGGGAAAATTTAGGATTTTTGGTATGCGAATTAGATTTTAGGGTTGAATTGATTGGAATTTCGGCCTAGGGTTTATAATTTCGTTTGATTTTTTTTTACCAGGAGGAAACTTGTTAAAATGGTGGATGGAGAATCCACAAGCACGTCCTACTCTGACAACAACGGATCAAACGATCAAGATCACGACTTTGAATGCAACATCTGTTTCGAGCTAGCTCAAGATCCGATCGTAACTCTCTGCGGTCATCTCTTTTGCTGGCCTTGCCTATACCGTTGGCTTCACCACCACTCTCATTCCCAAGAATGTCCCGTCTGCAAAGCGCTCGTGCAAGACGACAAGCTCGTCCCTCTCTACGGCAGAGGCAAGAACCAAACCGACCCGAGGAAGAAACGTTACCCGGGAATGCGGATCCCGAACAGACCAGCTGGTCAGAGACCCGAAACCGCTGCTCCTCCTCATCCTCCTCATGGTGGTGATGCTGCGGCTGCGAGTAACTTTTTCAACTACGGTATTGGTTTGATGGGAGGGTTTATGCCAATGGCGACTACTAGGATTGGGAATTTCAGCTTTGGAGTTGGTGGTTTGTTGCCTTCTCTGTTTAACTTTCAGTTCCATGGATTCCCCGACGCGACGCTCTATGGGAACGCGCCGGGGTATCCGTACGGTGGTTACCATAACGGCTTCCGTGGAGTTCCACAAGAGGGTGGTAACAATAATCAACAACAACCTATGGCTCGTGGAGGAGACTTGAACCAAAGCGATGCGTTTCTGAGGAATCTTGCGTTGATCATTGGGATTTCTTTGATCTTATTCTTGTGTTGGTGATGAGACTGATGAGAAGGTTTTGTTTCCAGGTATGTATGAATCAAAGCTCTCGTTTACTTGGTTTGAAAACAATGTTTGTAAATACAGTTAATTAGCTGAGTATTGTGTCTGCTATTTCAACAATTGGTTTTTTTATATTTTTGCTTTTGTGTTTTGTCTCTGAATTCTTGTGAAAAACTAGTTGTTGTTGAATAAGTGTTGCAATTATTGTTTTGAGTTATTGACATAAGATTGATAGATGCTTGTGTCCCATATAGAACTGATTTTCTTCTTCATTACTCACTGATAAACAAAGAACACACTATCCAGATCAGAAAGTAACATTAGGGATGAGTTCTAAGATCATTTACTTGCTTCCACTACAAGTTGCAAATATGAACATAACTAGATACAACCCATTTTCAAGTTGTGAGTTTTGCCTAGGACGTTTCCTTGTTTGATTTGATTGTATTAAAGGCTTTCAATGGTGGCCACAGTTTCTCCAATTTGGATCAACTGTTTGTGGTCTATAGTAGTAACAAGACAGAGTCGATGAGTAACTGTCGGAAACCAAAATCTTGTCTTGTTTCATCCTCTTGAGTCTTGAGTCGTCTTTGGCGGCTTTAATCAAAAAGGTCTCTCTTCCTCTCAACTCGCCATTGTAGAATAATATCTGATACCTATATCAATCGTTTGGTAGGAGTATAAAGATGTGATGTGAATTATATAATATAATATCCATATTAATAATCTAACAAAACTATACAATATTCAATCGTGACGACCATTTCCCAATCGTCTTCATTTTGACTTTCCAGAAACAGTTGACTTTCTTCCTACGACTGCTTTAAATCCAATCAAAAGCCTTTCCGACGAAATCTTGCAGAATCACAATGATCTCCGACACGAACGCTGTTCTTTTTCGTATCTTCTTCTTTCTATGTCTCTTCTCTTTGGCAGCGGCACAACAGCCTTACGTAGGCAAATCAACCACCGATTGTTCCGTTTCCGACAACTCAACCTCCGTTCTTGGCTACTCTTGTAACGGCCTCAACAAAACCTGTCTCTCTTACGTCACTTTCCGATCAAAACCTCCTTTCTCCACCGTCTCTTCAATCTCTTCCCTCTTCTCCGTCGACTCATCTCTCGTCTCTTCCCTCAACAACGCCGCAACGACCTCAACTTCCTTCCCTTCTGGTCAACAAGTCATCATCCCCGTAACTTGTTCTTGCTCCGGTTCCTATTCGCAAGCCAATCTCAACTACACAATCCAACAAAACGATTCATACTTCTTCATTGCCAACGACACTCTCCAAGGCCTATCGACGTGTCAAGCTTTGGAGAAACAGAACAATGTTTCCTCTCAATCTCTGTTTCCTGGTATGAGGATCGTTGTTCCGATACGTTGCGCGTGTCCCACGGCTAAACAAGTCAACGAAGACGGAGTCAACTATCTGATGAGCTACACGGTGGTTTTCGGAGACACGGTGGACATCATCAGCCAGAGATTCGGCGTTGAGACGAACAAGACTTTAATAGCTAATCAAATGTCTTTTGAGAATGCTGGTGTCTTCCCTTATACAACAATTCTGATTCCTTTAGAGAATCCTCCTTCACAAGTCAACTCTCTGACTCCTCCTCCTCCTCCTCCGCCAGCTCAATCGGTTTCTCCTCCATTGAAATCGAAGAAAACTTGGGTCTATGTTCTTGCGGGAGTACTAGGAGGAGCTTTGGTTTTGAGTGTGATTGCTGCAGCCATCTTCTGTCTGGTTAAGCGGAAACCGAAAACGCAAGAAGAAACGAGAAACTTCGATAGCTTCACGGCCAAGAAACCTCCGAAATCCGATCAAGATCAAGAATCAGAATTCGATCCTCTAGATGGTTTATCAGGGATGGTGGTAGATACTTTAAAAGTATACAAATTCAACGAGCTGCGATCAGCGACGAGTGATTTCACGTCGTCTAGCTCGATCGGAGGATCAGGGTACATCGGAAAAATCAACGGCGATGGAGCAATGATCAAGAAAATCGAAGGAAACGCATCTGAGGAGATTAACTTGTTGTCCAAGCTAAACCATTTCAACATCATTCGTCTCTCAGGGTTCTGTTTTCACGAAGGAGATTGGTACTTAGTCTATGAACACGCTTCAAATGGAAGCTTAAGCGATTGGATCCACTCTAAATCGCTTTTGAGCTCGACTCAGAGATTGCAAATCGCGTTAGATATAGCCACGGGGCTTAACTATCTACACAACTTCGCTGATCCTCCGTACGTTCACAGAGATTTGAACAGCGGGAATGTGTTTCTTGACTACGAGTTTCGAGCCAAGATTGGTAATTTAGGGTTAGCCAAATCGACAGGAGAAGGAGAAGGTTACGTTTTGACGAGACACGTGGAAGGAACGAGAGGGTATTTAGCTCCCGAGTATTTGGAACATGGGTTAGTCTCGACTAAGCTTGATGTTTATGCTTTTGGAGTGTTGTTGTCGGAGATTGTTACTGGTAAAGATGTGTCTGAACTGAAGAAAGAGATTGAAGAAGGTGATGCGATGGAGGAGCTTTTGGTTCGTGGGAGATTCTTACCTGAAGGGTTAGTGAGTTTTGTGGTTAGATTGGTGGATGATTGTTTGAAGAGAGATCATTTGGATCGTCCATCGATGGATGAAATTGTTCTGTCTTTGTCTAAGATCTTGACGGCTTCGAAAAGCTGGGAATCATCGTACTAAGGCCCGATGTGTTTTGGGCCAATAGATTATACGAACCAGAAGATTTGTTGTTGTTCTTGTTGTATACAAAGTCGAAAGGATTTTAGATGTTTGAAGCTTATGTTATTGTGTTGGATTTGGTGACGCACAAAAGGTTTGATGTGGTAATGTATCAACAAAACAAGACTCTACAAAAAATGAAAAGAATATGCATTATTTAACCAAAAGATAAAAAAACGAAACATAGATTTTTTTAAACAAATAATTTATTATATTATTACTCAACAAAAATTATTAATAATCTTTCAAATCACACAAAAATTATAGTATCATTTACTTATCCACCATAGTTTTTTGCCAGTTTTTTACCAAAATTTTGACTATTGATTATTTCAAAATATATTGTTCTAAATTTATGAAGGCAGGGTTAATTTCAAATTCAGAAAGAAAAACCTTCTCATTATTTCATTTTCCGGATAATTAAAATGGATAAAGCAAGGGGAAATAAAAAAAAGGAGGGAATGGGAGAGGAACGACTTGAGAAGTTCGAAGCTTGGTGGTGGTGGTGATAGAGGAACAGGCTGTCACGGTTGGGTAGTCAAAACACGTGGCACTTTAAGACACGTTGATTCCGACATGGACCACAAATCCCACGTGGCCATGACCATCCTTGCTTTGCCACGTGGACCCTATATTAAAGTGAGTTTGTGTTTTGTGTTCCTAGGACCACTTTTGTTTATGATAGATATGAGCAAGCATCCAATCATCCACATAAAACACATTACATAATACACACGGCGTTTTTTTATTATTTCTTGTTAGCACATTACATATGATCGTGTTTTATTTTTATTTTTTTGGGTATGAGTATATGATCGTGTTTGTCTATGGTACATGTATATGAAACAAAATTCCTGAGCATATATCACATATTAATCTCTGTTCGCAGTTAGAGCATAACATCATATTATTTTATTTATAATATCACAGCACAAACGATTATATTATATACGACTACAAACTCTTCCGATTGTATAATTATGAAATAATATTGATTTTGTGACAGTCCAATTTAAGGTCTTTTTTTCACTCATTGTTCATGCATGGTCCTAACTCCTAAGGATGTGAAAGGCATGAATTTAACTGATTTGGATCTGTTTTATTCAAAGTCAAAGTTTGCACTTCTTTATATATATGGACCCTTTCGTATTAGCTACAACTCTGAACAATCTATCTTAAAGATTGATAGAGACATAATAACAACACATTTATAATTAACATAGCAATTTGAACCTTACAAGCGTAAAATAATTAGTTGTGATCATGCACACGTATATAATTTTTTATTTAAGTTTTTACGATCAAAATCTGTAAACTTTAACGTAGAACGGTCTAGCAAAGCTATTCCAATCTTGAAAGGACAAATGCAAGAAGATATTAGTAAACAAATTTTAAAAGCATGTCATGCCTAGATTTTGAAAGTTTCCATGCACAGTGGCACATATATAAGTGTTAAAATATATTCATATTGATACACAAATAAATGGGGAAACCGAAGACATATAGTGAGCTTGTGGTCACACCACTATACAAAGCACTCTTAAGTTGCAAAAATTGAGTGTGCTTAAAAGGCGGGAATAAAACAAAACAAAAGCATCTAATAGCTAACACAAAAGCTAGAAAAATTAAGAGAGAAAATAAAACCACCTTCTCCACTAAAAAAAATCAAACAAAAAGAACAAACTAGAAAATGATTACAATGTTTTTTTTAAAAAATTAGATTAGACACATCAAAGAGCTAAAAAGAGGAGATCAGAAAATAAATAAAGAAGAAAGAAACACTTTGATTGACACCAAATGGACAAAAAGTGAGAAGGGACCATCGCCTCCATTTTCAGAAGTCCCTTTGTGTTTGTGGTATCACTTACCAATTAACTAAAAATCAAATTTACTCGCATATCACCCCAAACAAATGATTACAATTATGACTTAAATGGTCACTACCTGAAGAAGGAGAATAAACCGTGTGAGCAGGCGATATAAAATTTACGCACAAATCATAAACTGAACATTATGATTTAAATAGTAACAATTGAACTATCGGTATGAATCAAATGGATCTGGTAAACTGAGTGGAACAACAGAAATAAAAGTTGAAATGGTAACCATATTTTTATTTTTATTTTGTGCAACAAATGGTTACCATATTAAGATCTTGATCTTTGATGATTATTTATTTTTGTTCGTGGCCTAGTGCAAACATGTAGTACAACATATTTACTTTATCAACAGTTTTTAGTACTGCATTTTGGTTGAATGGGAGATATAATGCGGTTATGATGACAAAAACAAAAAACAACAACATCATAACAACGTTGTACCACAATCTCCATTAATCAAGGCATGAGTCGTTTTTTATTTTATTTATCGAATGTTATACATTCATTTCACAAAATGATTTAAATATTCATCAGCTCATTCTATTTTCAATCGTGTATTCATGGAACTTGTCCAATTCCTTCATTTAATTTGATTGAAGCTCAAGTATATATAGTAAAGGAAACAAGAGAAAGCGAGAGACATCGAGGTATCCTCGGACAAGCGTTCTGCTGCGCGTACTGTCTTGTTACAAATGTTGCTTTTCATTTTCCATAATTTTAAAATGTTTTTTTCGTTAATTTTGTAGCTTACCTTTTTCTGTCGTACCTAATCCGATCTTCTGTTCAGCCTTGGATTATAGTTCTGTGATTTTGAAAGAAAATATTAAAACCTTTTTCTTTATCATCACAACAAATATATGTTTTGTTGTAATACATACAATTTTGAAAGGTATGTGTTAGCAAAGAAACAAGATGCATTATTAAACTGGACAATGAACGCGTGTGCCGATCGATTCCCTCTCAAAAATATTATACTACCCGTTTTGTTGTAATACATCCACGATTTTGGAACTTTTCTAACCTCGAATTTGATGTGAAACAACGGAAAAAAAAGTAGAGGTTTTGGATTATGAATGAACACACTACTGAATGGATTAGTATTGATAAGATAACTACGTATTTGTAGTTTAATCATTTAATGCCTTTGTCCTGATGAGCTTAAGAGTTTCTATATATATATATATATATATATATATATATATATATATATATATTACACATGGCATTTTAAAGAGCTTTTAATGACCTACGAGACGTGTAAGTATATATGTATGTCTATATTAACAACCATACGTGAACAAGTGACTCAAATTTTCTCTTTTTATTTTCAACTAATTCTCTAACTACCATCCTAAATATCCATTCGTCAATGCTTAAGTTAACATGAGGATCCCAGTCCATATAAAATATATAGGGGATTGGGTCACTCAGCTAGTGTACGAAGTATTTGTATTGGGAGAGACGAAATTGACCAAGATTGAATGATAGAGATTATAAATAGTGATCAAATGCGTTATAAAAATGCACAGTTCCGTTCCAAAATTGTGTGATGTTTTCCAAAAACATGTCCAATGAGCAGATCAAAACTATAATACTGATCAAATGTGTTTGTTGTAGTTTTCTTTATTGTCTCAAAAGCATGTTACTAACCATACTAAATTAAATATTCAACTTTTTATTTGCATAATTTCTAAACGTGTCAAATGTAAATTGTGTGGAAGTTATTAACAAACCGCCTTTAGTTGTTGATAGTTGCACACATAATCTCCCGGATCCGTTGTTCGACCCAACAACCGGGCCGGACTTCGAGCGACATGAACCCTCGGATAAGCTTTTAGTTAAGGAGCTCACTAGAGATTTCGATATTTCAAATTAGTTATTGACTTATTGTATATTAGTACTTGTTTGCTATATGGTTTCCTCCTTTATTTTTGTTCTTTTGTCACTGTTTTTTAGTTGTAAAGGAAAAAAAAAAAAAAAAAAAAAGGGGAAAAGTTGTAACTTCTGATTATGAATTTATGATTATAATAAAAATTCAGTGTCAAAAATATTGACGTATCTCTCACATTAAAAAATGAACAACTATAAATATCGTGTGCCAGTTAATGTCCAAACTTTAATCGTTTTCTTTAAGCTCCAAAACCTAACATTTATAGAACCTAGAGTCATCAACTCGTAGCATTTCATCGACATTGTTTTATAGTATGTATATTGAAGAGATCGGTGGATGTGAGGACGAAAGGAAAGTCACGTGTACAAATAGCAACAAACAGGTTATGAGGTTAAATGAAGATGCAAAGAGATGTTTGGAAGATTTTGCAACCACCATTGAAGACACAATAACCAGAGGATCCCTAACATGTTTTGAGTCGTCTAATAAATGCGTAAAGGAGGATAAAGGAGACACCCACACCGTGTGAAAAAGGAGGTTCCGCACGTGATAGATGGTTGCGCATACGTGTGAGTAGAGGATGGGATTCACGTGAGAGATTCACCCGACCAAAAACTTATTTTTTTTCATAAATATAAATTTTGTTCTTCTTCACAAATATATAAATAATTCGAAAAGAGAAAGATATCATAAAGATTTTAAAATATAAATAACTGGTAGGAGTGAAGAAGGTTGGGCTGTCAACTGTCAATTCCCGTTTGCAGTTGCAACAAAAAATATAAAGATTAAAATTAAAATCATAAAGTATATTTGGAGAATTTTAATGTAACTTCTTTCTTCGTTTTCTGTTTTTAATTTTCTGCTATTTCAAGGACATGAGCGTTGAAAATGAAATTTTAGGTGGCTGGAGAACTATACTGATTTTGGTTATAAACTTACCAAAAAAATTTCATAAATTGTGATATATCTCAATGAAATTTTAACCATTTTCTTGGCTGCCCACGAATCACGATTTACAAACATAAGCATTTCACTTTAGCAAAAAAACATGATTAGGGTAGCTTAAATCTTGTAGAGATGTACTGAGGGGACTAAAAATAGCAGAAAATTGGCAGAAGTGGTAGAAACAAAGTAAAACAGTTTTCTACTTAGGAAGTAAATCAACTTTTTTTTTATAGAAAACTAATCCTTTTTCAATGGCAATTTGCTAAATTATCCTTAGCGAAATAAAAATTATTGAGGTACCACTTTACTTAATTTGGATTTAAGTAAAAAAAAAAAAAAACCAAATTATGGGTGCTACAAAGTTATTGATTTGGTATCTGATTCTGACATGAGAGGTTCCAACATAAGTCTCCATATATACAAGTGGGCTTTAAACTTTTGCTTTCGAGCCTTCCATTAATTATTTATCCCATTGTAGATTTATAACCTACATTGCCTATATACAAGATGTCCCTAACCGTTTGTGGGATGGATACGCACGTCAAATCGATTCTGGAAATATATAGTTTTAATATATAATTTATCTAAGGTGGTGATCGTTAATTTTAACATGAAATTATGATCTTTACATTGTTTTGTATTTATACATCCTTATTGTAATTTATGGTCTGGACTGACTGGAGTATACGCTGGACATATGTCTGGCTCGATCAAACAAGACCGGTTTAGCTTCCATGGTCTTGGCCAGTATACTGATCCAAAATATCAAAAGGGTTTGGCAATGAAGATTGGTCGAAGCGGATCAGTCGAGTAACCAAGAGAAATTTGACATTTACAAGTTACAAGATATGTTATCAACCAATTACCAAGTTTGTGTTTTGATAAACAATTTATAATTTTAGTTATATTGGGATCTCATCTTTGCATTAAGAAAAAAGTATGTGCCAATTGAAAAAAGTAGTCACGTCAACAACAAAAAGTAGTCTGAAATGACATAGTTGACCCTAACAACAAGTACACTCGCGAAATGGAAAGAATAACTGAGAGGCCATTATTGGAATATTATTATGAAGATTATTTATTCTCAAATGGAGATATTATTTAAGCACAAAAATATGTTGAAGTATTTATGGTGGTGGTTTGGGTCAATGAGATATGACCTTGGACTCACCTTATCTTTGTATTCTTTTTAGTTTGCTTTATTTAAATTTTTGTTTTCCAAATTAACTCCTATAAAATGTTGATTGCAGCCGACATTTCCGTGATAAAAAGTTTTATTTATTATAAAAAATTTGGCTGCATTTATAAATAAATATCGTTGACAAAGAAATAACAAAAACTGATATGGACAGTTTGGTAATTTTCGGATGTATATAAGTTTTGTCTTTCTTCTTCATCGTTACTGATATGGAAAAACAACTGCGGATTTTTTTTCTTTTCTTTTTAAATAAGAAGTTATAAAACTATTATTAAAAAAATCAATAACACTTTCATTTTATAGAAAATAATAATAAAGAAGATTGGTGGGTTAAAAAGGGAGGCGAGGAAGAAAGAACAGCGACCTCTTCTAACCTCTCTCTTCCTTTCTCTTTGGGAGAGATTTTTTATAAGTTTTTCTTTAATCTCTGAAATGGTTCTCAGAATTTGCTGAATAAACTCTCACTACCAGAGAAAAAAAAAACGCTCAAGAAAAAGAAAGCTAGAAAGAGAGAAGATAGAAAACGATAGCTAAAGCTCAATCTTCTCTTTCTTTAATTCTCTGCAACTCCAAGGTACTCTTCCTTTGCTCTCTCTCTTTCTCTCTCTCTCTTCCATATAATACATGTAGATGATGACCGAAGCTGAAAGTGAAAACCTTAAAAGAGATACAAGAAAGAGATGGAGAAGAAAGAAAAAAACTGTATAATACCTAGTTGACTCCTTTCTCTCTCTCTTTCTTTTCCTTAAATTTTTTTGTTATATAAGATTCTCTGTGTCTGAATCCTTACAGGATCCAAGAGCTTTGGAGAGAGATATAATGAATAACAAGAATCAAGAACTGATATGGGTCTAGCTCTTCTTTCTTCTTCTTCTCATCATCACAAGACTCGCAACAATTCAGATTCTATGTCACAAGATTATCATCATCACCAAGGTATCTATTCCTTCTCTAATGGATTCCACCGATCATCATCAACTCATCCGGAGGAAGTAGTGGAGGAATCCGCCGTCTCCGGAGCTCCGATCCCGGTTTATGAAACCGCCGGTATGTTGTCAGAAATGTTTAGTTTCCCCGGCGGTGGCAACGGTGGTGCCTCCGGCGAGATTCTTGATCAGTCTACTAAGCAACTGCTAGAGCAGCAAAACCGTCACAACAACAACAACAACTCAACTCTTCATATGTTATTACCAAATCATCATCAAGGTTATGGTTTCACCAACGAGCAACAACATCACTTCACTTGGCCATGTTCCTCCGATCATCACCACAACCAAAGTCAAGGAGACATGATCGGGGCCGTACACGTGGAAGGTGGAAAGGGTTTATCTTTATCTCTCTCATCTTCATTGGAAGCAGCAGCAGCAGCTAAAGCAGAAGAATATAGAAGCATTTATTGTGCAGCTGTTGATGGAACAACTTCATCTTCTAACGCATCAGCTCATCATCATCAATACAATCAATTCAAGACTCTTCTTCTTGATAATAACTCTTCTCATCAGCATCATCAAGTTGTTGGACATTTTGGGGCACCATCATCATCTCCCATGGCAGCTTCTTCTTCCATTGGAGGGATCTATACGTTGAGGAATTCGAAGTACACTAAACCGGCGCAAGAATTGTTGGAAGAGTTTTGTAGTGTTGGAAGAGGGCATTTCAAGAAGAACAAACTTACTAGGAACAATTCAAACCCTAATACTAGCGTTGGAGGAGGTGGAGGAGGATCATCTTCGTCGGCTGGAGCAACCAATGATAATCCGCCTTTGTCTCCGGCTGATCGGATTGAACATCAAAGAAGAAAAGTCAAGCTACTCTCTATGCTTGAAGAGGTAACGTTTCACACTATATTTTCTCTAACCAATGAACTAATTTCCCATTAATTTTTTTGATATAATTTAATGAACCGTTCTAATGATTGAATTGATCAAATAACAGTTTCAAATCAATCGCTAAAACGTTGATTTTTCTTCGTAATTTTCTTTCCTCATATTATGATTTTAAATCCGTTGATAGTTCGTAAACTCTTGAAAAGTTATTTAAATTTTTTTAAATGTATAGAGAATGACCGACTGGTACAAGAGCACGACACATGCTCTAGTTGGTAGAGCTTGATTACGCAATCCTACCATCACTTATATAATTTTTCTAACTAATATCATTATACTCGTGTTATAGTCTAATTTGATATATATAAATGCATATTTTGTGTGATGCGCGCGTTTGGTGGCATCGCTTAATCAACTTAACATAAGAAATTAAATTATGTTTAGTTAAGTGATTTAGTCTTCAACAAGAAAATTTATAATTAGAGTTTCCTTCTCCATATAAGCTACCTTCACTACGTAACCAAAACTAGTCCTTGAAGTTACTTAATTATTTATCTATCTTTTATGGATTTTTATTTTGTAGTTGACATTATCTTATTTCAAGATTTATATCTTTAGCTAATTTATGTTCTAAGCTACCATAAATTGATAGTAGGAAAACACAACACACTGGAGTAGTGGTATATATTCCGTATTTCCTTATTTGTCTATCTTTTGATGAAATTTTCTCGATTTGTGTTTTATCTTAACAAACGTGCTAATAATATAATAAAACAAAAACTATATGATATATTGTTTTTTTTTGTTGTAAACAAATTTTTAGGTGGACCGACGGTACAACCACTACTGCGAACAAATGCAAATGGTAGTGAACTCTTTCGACCAAGTAATGGGCTATGGTGCGGCGGTTCCGTACACGACATTGGCCCAAAAGGCAATGTCTAGGCATTTCCGGTGTTTGAAAGATGCGGTGGCAGTTCAGCTTAAACGCAGCTGTGAGCTTCTAGGGGACAAAGAGGCGGCCGGGGCTGCGTCCTCGGGGTTAACTAAAGGTGAAACTCCGCGGTTGCGTTTGCTAGAGCAGAGTTTGCGTCAGCAACGAGCGTTTCATCATATGGGTATGATGGAACAAGAGGCATGGAGACCGCAACGTGGTTTGCCTGAACGCTCAGTTAATATACTTAGAGCTTGGCTTTTCGAACATTTTCTCAATCCGTAAGTCTTTTTTCTAATCCCTCATTCAATTTTACATTACATTTATTTATTTTGACCGCCAATATTACATATCTACTCTTATTCGATACAAAAAAATTCAATCTTCGTGAATATTACATATAGAAAGTAGACTACCACTATACTTATGTTTGTATTGACAAGCATAACGATGCATTGACTTTAAGTTTTTCAAGAAAATTGTGTGATTGTGCATATTATACTGTGTGTATATGTTTCTGTGTATTAGGGTGATTTGCATGGCAAAGGGATAAAATTATTAACATAGTAAAAGAAGCTTGCAGAGTGAGATCACAAACTTTTATGCTTTGGGATCATAATAGCATCCTAAGGGTTTCTCTGTCTCTGTCTAAAGACCTTTCTTTATAGTTTCTTCTTTAATTGGCTTTAAATTTTTTCCCTACACTATTATTAAAAGAAGTAACAATGCCATTAACATAATTACAAAAAATAGGTCTCAGATTTGTCAGTGGTGCAGTGTCATTGGTACATTGTCTCCCAAGAAAGACAGAAATCAAAAGAGAAAAATGAAAACTAAAAGCTGAGAAAAGCAATTTCCTTTCTTATTATTCATCAGTACTTTCTTTATTTAATGTCTGCCGAATTTTACTATTTTGTTGTTAGTGAAGTAAAGAAGAGAAGAGTAGTACAGTTTTTTGTTTCTTGTACCTCTCTCGTTAAAATATTTGCTTTATCATGACAAAAAAAAGTAAGAAAATAAAATCAAAATGCTTCTTCTATTCTGTAATCAGCTTTTTCTTTTGTCTCTTAGATTCTCACGCCCTTGTAAGAAGAAAGTTTGTACCTTTTCTTGTATCTACTTGATTGTGTTTTACCTATCTCTCTCAGTATATACCCATTTATTCAAAATATAATAATAATTATTGGGTTTAGGGTTCTAAAGATTGTGAAGTCATTTTCTGGTCTCTTTCTCAGGTACCCAAGCGATGCTGATAAGCACCTCTTGGCTCGACAGACTGGTTTATCCAGAAATCAGGTCAGCCTTTTATAATAGATATATATGCTCCTCTTAATTATATAGTACTGATCATACAAGATCCCTTTTAATTACTTATTCACATTTACGTACTTAAATTTATAACTTATTTACCATATATGTCAATCATTTCATCATGCAAAATCTGACAAATTGGGTTTCATGTCAATTCTCTTGCATGGATTTTGAATATGAAATCATTTTTCTTGGGGTACGTTTCTTCATTAAATACATAATATATACGTACATATACACAAGCATATTATAAGAGAGAGTGAGAGATAGAAACAGAGATATAAATAATTAAATACTCAAACTAGGACCATATTTCTAATGTACATGAAAGTTTGACACTTTAAATTCAGTTATAGCGATAAGATCTCAAGTTACTCTTTACATTAGCTATCATAATACTGCATATATATTTCATTAAACATCATCTTAGTTTAAATAATTTTACGTAGGAGTTAAAACTCATAAGAGTGTTCTAGTTTGTTTTTACATATCCATAATAGTTACACAAAATAATCATTTCCTTAGTAATTAAAATCTTGTTTTTTTGGAGAAATAATTTATTAAAAACTATTTCATGGTTTGTTTTCATGGTTTTTCAGGTGTCAAATTGGTTTATAAATGCTAGGGTTCGTCTATGGAAACCAATGGTTGAAGAAATGTATCAACAAGAAGCAAAAGAAAGAGAAGAAGAAGAGGAGGAGGAGGAAAATCAAAAAGAAGATTATCAGCAACAAAGAAGACAGCAACAAACAAACAACAACGACACGAAACCCAATGAAAGCAACTTCACTCTCGTTCAGACAATAACTGCACAAACTCCAACAACAACAACAACAACAACAACAACGACGATGACGTCGACACCTCATGAAAACGACTCTTCATTCTTTCCTCCCTCCTCCGTCGCCGCCGCTTCTCACGGCGTTTCAGACGCTTTCACCGTCGCCACGTGTCAACAAGACGTCAGTGACTTCCACGTCGACGATGGTGTGAATGTCATAAGATTCGGGACCAAACAAGCTGGTGACGTGTCACTTACGCTTGGTCTACACCACGCTGGCAACATGCCTGATCATAATAAGAACCCTTCATTCTCCGTTAGAGACTTTGGAGATTTTTAGTCTGCTCTCGTTTCTCCATTTATATAATTAATCAATTTATTATAGTGGATTTTTTCGTTTTTGTTCGTCGAAATATATGTGTTTTTTTTCTGCCTCTACAGTCTACACATACCTAAGTTTATTTTTTTTTATTTTTTTCCCTCTCGTAAGAAGAAGAGAAATACATATATAAAATGATACCCGAAAATTTCTATAAATTTGTTTTATAGATTGTAACTATGCACATTTTTTTTTTTTCCAAATTGATGTCCTTGCTGAATTTCTAGAATTTATTTTAAAATTATCATTATTTTAGATTATGATGTGTACATATTTTTAATTTGAAATTTTGAGTAGTACTTAAGGATTCTTCCATTTGACAAAACCTTGTTTCGCATCTCTTCCATTTGATTCTACTGATAAACGACAAAGTAGTAGGAAAGCGCCATGTCAAATTAATTAAGTGAGATCACTCTGCTTGTATAATCAAATTTATCACCTCAACTAATCCCTACTTACTACAACTATGTGCTACTTAGTTTAGTGATGGCAACAAAACATGTTTGGGACACTAGGTCGACTTATTCACAATTGTATTACTTTTCAGTATATTTATATTAAACTAGTTTGAACGTAAATTGAATTCTTGTTTGGTCAATATATTTTCAGTACCTTTTAAATTTTTTTCCCTCTACCAACACAACTTCCCTAAAACTCCAAAAATTTGGTTACACTTACATGTCATATTGGGCATATCTCAATCGAGACGGTGACATTGTAATTCCCCAAAAGAGCATTAAGCTCATTCCATGGTGCTACTCATTACTTTGTTTATAATGGGGACTCATTGCTTAATTTGTTCTAAAAGGGGGTTTCCTTACACCTCACTTCAATAAAAAAAATTTAGACAAGAACGACTATACGTTTTACCTAATCCCGTATTGATAATGAATTTTATATTCTAAGTATACATACTCCATGATCCCAGAATGACCCGGATATTGGCAATATAAATCTTACACGATTATTTGACATTTTAACTTTTCGTAGATAATTTAGTGCAACCAAACAATAGGGAACATGATGTCATATTATCAATATGAATTATTTACAAACTAATCACTTATTTCGTTCATGCGGTATATAATTTCGTTCGCTTACTTTGTCAAATTAATGTTTGTACGTTTTTTTTTCTATGTAAGAGAATCAAGGAGGGTCACTTTCAAAAGTAAGTTTATTTCATTCGTCATTTGGAGGTTGAAAATATTCTACCGCGAAAGTGAAGTTTCATATGGACATATAACTTGTATCAATTTTTTAAACAGTCCACTTATTACTTAGCAGTCTTTTTCAGTCCACTTTTTGTGTGGAGATTTGCCTCATTTTTTTATGTGTCGAACAGTCTTAAGCCTGTTGAGACTAGCGAATAATGATTTTGCACGAACAATTACAATTATACTAAAATGATTCTGTAAAAGCTTAAGTAATTTTCTGAATAAACAACATTCCAGCCTGACCTTATAAATTCATTAAATGCATATGATATTTAATTTACTATGAACATTTATTTCAATCATAGTGGTCCATTTTTTAACCCTTCTTGTCTGACCACTGTCCTTTAACTACCATACTCTTAGAAAAAGAATTTTAATTAGAACATTTACATACTGATATAATTCATTATTATCTTTTGGCTGGTATACAAAAATTAAAAATATCAATTACTTTTGTCTTTTGTATAAAGAAAACATAAATATACGTGACAAGAAAATCCATATGCATGAGTGTTAGATTCTTGGTTTTAATATTGGAGGGCCTGCCTTTTGATAATCCATATGCAAGTATATATATGCTGTACTGCTGTCAAATTATGTTTGTCTATGTTGATATATATTGCATGGTTTTAACATGCATGATGGAGTTTTTATGTCATGCATACATAAACTCTAGAATTATTATATTTTTCATGTGAGCGGTGAGTGTTCAAGTGGCTAAGCTGGCTTTGAACATATGGGTTCGTGACTTCGTGTTACCGGTTGGATGTTTTGTTTGTTTAAGAAAAAGTAATGTATGTTTTTCGAACCTTTTTAATGGGCTGAGACTTAATTAACTCTTGAGTTTGTGATGAAATTCAATATACAAGTCTTGCGATAATTAATCATTCATTTTTACGTACTTATGTTTTCTTAATCTATGATTACTAATTCATGCGCGTGTAGAAACCGTTTAATAGTCATGGTACAAAATAATTTATCATCAATAACAAAGTATGAATCATGATTCATAATAGACAATAGTAGTATTCTACTAAACCGATCGAGGAATAAATTGAACCTATGAATTGCAGTAACTTACATTTGTATTTTGAGAACTAATTAGAAAGTTTAAGACTCATAGTCGGTATTCTGTCAATTACTGTTTAAAGAGTGCTTCTATGATGATAAATATGAAGTCATAGTAAGTATGTTTTGTTCTTGGAGATATATTTAGGATTAGTATTTAGTAGTAGAGAAGAAACCAACTTGTGTGGGCCCTATGATTTTCTCCGGTCTAAGAATTGAGAAAATATGTGGGGCCGATTTACAATCGTATTGGGCTTGGGCCCATGATTTAATGTAATTTAGCGATCGCCGAATCCGATGACTACCCATCACACAATCATACTTTATGACCAAATAGGTCCCCTCACTAAAATCAACAACAAAACTTTGTTTTAAATACTCGACCACACAAACATAATTACATATGAACAAATGCCTAAGTTTTGGATTTAGTCTATTTTTGGGAATTTTATTCTGTATAACGAGCACATGTTAAAGTTATGAATCGTACAATAAGACAAGAACTGCTATGATTTTTTTTCTTCTCAAGACACGCTATATTTATTTTTTAATAAATACACTTGTAACTATGATACGTTAGTTTTTAATACAGTATAGCATGCTTTATTGCTATTCATACACTACACGATTCACACTATTCATTAAAATCATCCATTAAAAAAAGTTCTTTAATTACAGTTTGCCATTTATTTCCCCGCAAATATCGTAGCAAATAAGCTCTATAGAAACAATTAAGAATTTAGGAGACATGTGCTGGTCGACATAAATACGTTGTAAAATGAATACGTTATATGTGTGCATTAATGTAAATAATAAGTATACAATAAATGTATTGGGGTTACATAATAGAATGATTGGAGATCAGTGAAAGGTACACTATCGTTGGAATAGTTAATTTAGAGGATAGTCCGTATCTTTTTGTTGTCTCATCTCCATGTGATGTGAAGTGTGGCCTCCTAATCATTTTTCCAATTAAGAAATAGTCCGTGTCTACATAATTTCACACAAACACTATTCACCGAATGGATAAAAGTCGTTGCTATTAAAAATAAAGTTAACTTGTTTCAATTTCTACCTTCGCTTGTCACATAATCATCCACGAAACTGTTGACAAGAAAAATTACATGCTCTGCCTACTGTTTAACTGTTTTGTTTAGATCATTTAGGTGCATAATTTGTGTCAAAAGAAAGTTTCTTAAGGCACAAACTGTTTTAGTTGGTTTATCTTCATATTGACTTATAAATTTTGGTCGTTTCTAAATGGGAAAACTTCATATCGCGTTCCTTTTATATACACACATAATTGATAGAACTTGTTTATCATATATAGTGTTTGTGATACAATTAACTGACGTGGTCGGATGAAATATCAACAAGATCATTGGAATGAATCCATACATACAACTGACATTTGAGTTTTGAGTGATGCATGCTCTTCTTTCTCATAGTTTTCTGTCCTTCACAGATTGTTGTTACGGTATAACAACTATGATTCTGATTAACACGTTATCCAGGACATTTGCGCGGATTTTTTTCAGTTTCTTAATCTCGCTTGCAATCTTGATCATCACGTCGAAAACAGAATAAAGCAATAACTAAACCTAATTGTTTATCAAATCTTTTTTAAACAAAACCTAATTTGAAATAAATAATGAAAATTAAAACCTTAGTACTAACTGGGCTTCTGGGCTTCGGCCTACTTTCATTCTCTTGCACTTTCTCTACTATTATCAAAGAGAACCGGAGGAAAAACAATCAAACCGGATTTTAATTTGAATCGGATCGGTTATCTTATCAACCCTGCGATCTATTTCCACAAAACAATCTGGATTTGACCTTCAAGATTCTTGAAGAAAGTTATGGAAAAACCAAGAAATGTTGTTAGGGTTTGCTCTCTTTTAATGGCGATTTTGTTTGCTTATTCTGCGTCTGTCCAGCTTAATGATCCTGGTACTCCAAAAAATCATTTACTTTCTTCTTCAATCCTCTACAGATTATGTATAATTCCACAGTTTCTGTTTCTTGCAGATTGGTACTTTTGGTTTCCTCTGTACACACTGGCTTTTGCAGTTAATCTGATTAACTGCAAAAGAACATCGCATTCGAGAAGAATCAGACAGATTACTAAAACAGCTCTTAGCTTGGCTCTGTTCTTGTTAGTTAAAGTAGTTACAGAGGATGTCATAACAGAGAAAGTCGGAGTCTTTTCTTTAGATCTCACTCACAGAGTGGTCAGAGAGAAGATCGGAAACGGTTTGGTGATTGCTTCCATGATTCTGCAACTACAAGCTTCTTCTTCAAAATCCAAACAGAAGAAGAAATTCATTGACTTTGGTAAGAAGAAGCAGAAACATAGCAATCTTATAAAGAGTTTGAAACAACATTTCGGTTTTGGTTTACTTCGGTTAAGTTTGGATTAGATCATAACGGTTTGACATTTTCAAAACTTGATTTCAGGGATGGCTACAACTGCAACCTTTGGCTATGGACTTCCCTTTTGGTTCTTCACAATCCAGAAAGGAGAAATCAAGATTTGAGCTGTTACATTTTTCATGTAATGAATGATGATTATGATAAATACTGAAGAAATTGCAGAATTACATTATCCAAAGCTGTCTAAATATTCAATGGAGGGAGAAAAAAAAAGTAAAAAAAAAAAGCTAAAAGGAAATTATTGAAACAAATTCGAAAAATCTGCAAAGAATGTAAAAACCTAGAACCAAAAATCTAACAGAGACGACCTCTGCAATTTATAGCTCTACAATGGCATTCATGTTCATTTTCTTGTCCTTGTCTGCGTCCATAGTCTCTCGTAATCTCCTCTCCTGCAGCTATCTGTTTTTACAAACACAACAATGATCAAATTTGGTCCAACACTTCTTTCAAGCAAAGAGAGTAGAAGAAGAAGAGTCTTACATCGACACTTGCATAGAAACCGATATGAGCAAGAGGAGCTTCCATGCTTTCCACAACAACTTGGTGAGTTTCAAGATTCGGAGAGCAGCTGTAGAGATGGAAAAAGATTTGAAATCAATTAGTCATGTTTATGCTTCGGTTAAAGACCGGTTTCTTGAAACTCACCTGTGATTGATGAATCTAGAGACATTTCCATGAGCAGTAGAATCAAGAACATAATCAGTATCTCCTTCGATTAATCTACCAATGTCGTTCATGTTGGCATCAATGTCATGTATGTAGCTACAACCTTCTTTTCCATACCTATAAAGAAACCAAATAGTATGATTTTCACGTTTTTGCTCCAAAATGTTTCAACAATGGAAAAAGACGATGAAAAACGCTTACTGGTTTCGCCTCTTGGTTCCTTCTTCCTGGTCAATAACCTCTCCAATGAACTCGCAGACGAATGTGCCGCGCAGTATATGTTCACAAGCTCGTAACCCCCATCCCTGTGGATCAAATCATTCATAGATATTGAAAACTGAAGCAAAACAAGATTTATAGCGCCTCAAAGTGATTCACACCTTGCTTTCTGTTCTGAAAACTTCAAGCTTCACGCGAATCCCGTTCTGCAAAACTCGGTTCTGACATGTTCTAGGGCATCCACAGAGCTTATTGCATTCATAAACTGGATAACCTTCCTGTAACATTTTCGGAAACATTCACAGTTTGACCACAATATCATTGCCACTTCCATAGATAGATAGAGAAGTAACGAAAGGTTACCTCCAAGATGATCCGTTCTTTGTCATCATATGGGAATCTAAACCTCATAGACTTTCCAAATATGTCTCTAGCGTCCTCAAAGTCGTTACCAAAAAGGTAAACATGATCACAAGTTACAGGCGAGCACACTGCACCCCAACAGCCACACTTAAGCTGCAGATTCTGAATCATAAACAGTGAACAAAAGGTTATAAAACATTTAGTCACAACTCTGTTTCAAGAACTCCAATGAGCTAAGAACAAAGTAAGATAGATACCTCTTTAGCCACATCCATTGACGGATGAAGCAATGATTTACTAACATAACTAAAACTTTCCCAAGGATTCTCATTCAGCAATTCCGAATTCAAAACATCCTCATCGACGACACAAGATATAGGAACTGGCTCCTTACCAAAGCTTATATCACTGCACAAAACCGCAGACTTTCCAAGCGGTCTCTTACTGAAATGATGACCTTCCATGATACAATGACACTCATCCACTTCCAACTCCTTATTAGAAGCTTCTCCGACGTCCATAGCCATCGGAAACCGGTCATTCTCTTGCCTTGGAACCAAGGGAGTGAGAAGATTCGGATCTTTAAAACGCTTACATCCATTAGAGCATACGAATCCTTCCTGATGCCACTGCACTTGTACACCATTCTCACCGCAGAGTTTCGCTGCCTTTAGATAAACCCTCTCAGGCAAACTCCCGAACTTAGCTTCCAACGAGGTCTCAAGACTCACCTTACAGCAAGCTGATCGAGCAGCAGAGAGAATATCCAAGTTGTTAGGACGGTGCATCACTTTCTGTGCCTTTGAGAACAATATGTTCGAAACCACAGAGCAATGAGCATCTGTTGAAGCATCAAAGCTCCCATTATCATTCACTGGCGGCGAGAGTCCAGTTTTTCCTTCTGCGCCGAGCGGCTTTGAGCCTTGCATCCTCCTCCTGTTTCTAATCCTGTAAGAGACTGCTCCAAGAGTTTTCTTGAACTTGTTCGGACGACTGAGCCTACCAGACTTCATCCTGTAGGTATTAAGCCTCAAACCTTTCTTTGGACCGCCACGAGAGCTGGCTTGTTCCGGTCCCATGTGTTCTGCTTGATGGTGACGGCCAAGGTCAGGTAACAAGTTGAAATTCAACCCACAGAACTTGCAAACATACTTATGCACGCCTCCTCCGTTGTTTGCATTTTGGCTCGCAACGATTTGCGAATCAGGTTTTTGAGACGACTCGGAAGCAGCAACTGTTCTTGAAGGATGCACAGCTTGAACATGGACAAGCAACTGTTCTTGATCTCCAAAGTTGCTTCCACAAGGAATACAACGAAGAAGCATACACTTCTCAGCAAACTGGACATGGTGTCTCTCCTCCACATGAATCTCCAAAAGCTTCCTGTTGACAAAAGAGTCTAAGCAAATAGCACAAGCAAATCCACCAAAGGACAAGTTATGTCCGTCTCTGGCTTCCTCGCCTTCTTCATCATCATCCTCATCTTCATCATAAGAAAACATTGATGCATCTTCTTCTTCATCTTCATTAGCACCGAAACCCCATATCCTAGCTAATCTTTCCTTCTCATGAGACACTAACTTCATCAAGAACTCACCAACTCCAGCCTCAGCCTCTCTCGAAGCTTCTGATATCGCCCACTGAAGCTGTAAATCCATCGGCACAGGGTTTCTTAAAGACAACAGACTCTTGAAAAGCTTGTAGAAGATCTCACAGGCTTGATGTAGAGGCAACTTCTCCTTCCGAGATGAACAGCTTCTCAGAAGATCTACAAACACTTCTTTCGATATAATCCGGCTCTTCCCGTTCCTCGCACGCTTGAGCCAGTTCGGAAGGTGCACCTCGCAGTACAACGAATGCTTCGTAGCGAACTCTTGACAAGAAACGTAGCTCTTCCCCGAGCAAGAACCTACACACAAGTTATCCTCGTTGCTACACTGCTTAAGCATCTCAGTGAAGCTCGTGGCTCCATTGGACACGCTGCTTCCTCCTTCCATTTCTCGAAACGGCGCTAAATCTGGTTCAAAGCTCGGCATGATCTCCGAGACCTTTCTCTTCAGCGGATGAGAGTGAACATGTTTCGCCTCAATCTCCGAGTGAGGACGGTGTTTCTTGCAGTGCAACATCCCGGGGAGAGACCGGTGCTTGCATTTCGTACCAAGAACTGTAGTGCCTCCACACATCGGTGTCTCAACAGCAGGAGATCCCTCGTTCTTGGCAGACTTCGGCGTGAAACGAGAAGCCAAGTGCACGCAGCAGTAGATATCTCCTTCGTTCGCCCACCTCACGCACTGTCTTCCTTTCGCTTCGATGAACGCCGTGCATTGCTGGCTCTTGTTCCCCGAACCAAACGGCTTCTTCACCACAACCGCCGGTTCGTTCATGACCGGGACTTGTAAACGAGACGGTTGTTCATTCACAGCCTCTTTGGCAGCTTCAACGACAATGCCGTCCCATAAGTCTAAACCATTCTCCGGCGTCTTCATCACACTGTCTCGCTGACTAAAGAACTCAGAGTCAATCGCAGGCAGTTCTTGCTGCGGCGATGCGTTTGTAGTCTCTGCGCGTCGAATCTCGAGCTTCGGTCTTTTCCGGCTAGCTTGAACGTCCGAGTCGAAGACGCTTTTGCTGCTATTGCTCTGCTCAGCTACTTCTCCAACAGTGCGACGAGATATCGAGAACCATTTCCTGGTGTCGTGCTTCCACGTTTTCCATTCTGATAACACCATTAGCTGCGTCTGAGAAGAAGAGTCAGAAACTGATTTGACTTCATTCCATCTGATACAGTTATCAAGTTCCTATACAACAAACAAACCAAGATCAAAAATGGTCAAAAGTATGAACAAGAAACAGAATAGAGCCGTTTTGTTACCTCATTCAGCAACTCAATGCTCTCAGCATTCACTGCATCGTTACATTTTTGTATCCATAAGCAAAACGAGTTCTCGAGCCAGTTTTGATTCATGTATCGTTGCAAAATCATCTGAAAAAACACGAAACATTAACACAAGAAATCAAAACAAAAACAAGTTAAGAGCAATGAGAGAGCTTCTTACACTATGAAGCTTCACAAGCATTCTTCCAAGATCATGATAGCTTGTGCTACGAGAAGCTTCCATAGCAAACTCTTTCCAGAATATTATATCTTTAGCTGCTTCAACCACAACCTGCAACAACATTCGAAAAACATCTTAAAACCAAACACTTCTTGTAATATTCCAAAATCAATACTTTTAGTTTCTAAGCTTCATTTTACCTCATAGTGGAACTGATCAACTATTTTGAGCATCCTAATGGTAAGTTTTCGCATAATGTTGCGCCGAGCGACGGTTAAATCTCTAACCATTTTGACTCCGATCTTGTGCGACTTATACGCGATGGGGTCAGGGAACTCGTTGATGGATCTAACGAGCTGCATATCCGCCCACGAGTAGTTCTTCGTGTGCGGGAAGAATATCACAAAATACTTCTTCCTCTCGTGCGTTGGCTTCCCTCTCAATGTCGTCAACGGCCAATCCGCTCTCGCACATCTTATCCCTGCCTGCCACTTCCCTCTCCACTACAACACAACACAAAGACAAAAACAAGAAACCATTTGAGTTCAAGATTACAATATTCTGAGACCATATGCATTCAAGATTACAATATTCTTAGACCATATGAATTCAAGATTCCAAGTTCTGAGACCATATCAAATTCAAGATTTCAATGTTCTGAGACCATATCAATTCAAGATTCCAAATTCTGAGACTATTTGCATTCAAGATTTCATGTTCTAAGATTCCAAGACCATATGAATTCAAGATTCCAAATTATGAGACCATATGAATTATTATGTTTTACCTTAACCCATAAAGCTATAGGTTCGTCTTCTTGTAGCCATTTAGGCTCAGAAGGAGAGTCGTCTCCTTCACCATTATTATTACTACGAAGAGGTTCAGGTTCTTCAATAACCAAATCGGTACTAAGCTTCTCTGCATTTGAATCATCTGGCTCAGGCTTCAGCAACATTTCAGTAGCTTTTGCCTCCTCAAAATCAACGTCAAGTAGCAATTCATCCATAACGATACCACCAGAAGTTGTTGATATAACTTCCATAACCACCACTTATAGATTATCTCACTTCTTTATTAAACCCAGAGTTTGACAAAATCACACATTCTGAAGAAGAAAGAAAAAAAAAAAACAAGAATCAATGTAAGAAAAAAAAATTAACAAAAAAAACAAACAACCTGTATCAATTCTCTTCCTAATCGATATGAATCAAATTTTTGACATTAACCCACTAGAAATTTCTTCAGAAGGTAAGATTTTTTTCAAGCAATTATTATTATTACATAACATTAGATTGATAATCTACTAATCAAGCTATACAGAATTGATCAGACCTTAAATGGGGATGAACAATTAGCTAAAGCCCTAAAATTCCACAAGGAAAAATCATCACACAGAAGAAAAATCGAGAATTGATCTAAACCCTACATTACAGAGAATTGGTTGAAGTAAGTTCGATAACACATAGAGAGTTTAAAGATATAAAAAAAAAAGTGGGTCCAATTCCAATAGAGATCAAAGAGACACAGAATAGATTAGAGATAGTACCAATTCGAAGATTCAACTAACATGACCAATCAAACCCAGGTGCCCATACAAAAAAAAAATGTTAAAAATGCACACAAAACACAATCTTTCGCATAAAGATCTTATTTTTATTACTCTAAGGTCAGGTAACACATGGAAACAGACATGGCGGAATCAAAAAGGCTAGGTCACGAAAGAGGAACCAAACCAAACCAAAAAAAAAAAGAACAAACGATAATGCCCGAAAAAAAAAAAGGAATTATATAAAGTGGGGAAACACATCATGTATGTGACATAAGTATCGAGAGCAGAAAAGCAAATGTTTTTACCCTATAAAGATTTTGGTTTTTGGGCATGGAAGGTCACACCTCTGTAGATGCAAAATTAGAGAATAGAGAAGGTTGTTGAATCTATGGAATTTGAGATTTATGAAACTATTTCATAGATTTATTAGGTCGAGTGCATCGGTAATTGGGCATATGTAGTACCATGGACAGAATGTCGAAAAAGGCAAGATAAAATTTCTATGCTCTAGAGATAACTTTTTTATTATTGTGTGGTTTATAAGTTGCTTACTGATTTAAAATTAGAGTAATCTATAGGAAAGGAAAATATATATATATATGCATATATCTATATATATATGTATACATGTATGTATACATCTGCTTACAGGTATAATGAGACCGAGTTAAATGGGGGTGGTTTTTGTTATGTTATGGGTTAATGCTTAGCTGGTAAATTAATTATAGACTGATTTATATTTCACTTCTTCAGTATTTATCAATTATAAAAATATAACTGGTCTGCCTTTTTTTATATAAATAAATATTAGATTGTGAGGTCTGAAACAACCTGAAAGTACAATACTACAAGCATCACCAAAACATGGAAAAGGCAAAGAAAGTAACTACAACAAACAGTTCCTGATTAAAACGAAACTGAAACCCAAAGACAGAGCAGCCTTATTATACATACAAATAGAGATTTACAGTCTACATATTTCACTGATTTTTCACTGATTTAAATCACTATTTCTAATTGAATGACAGTCTACATATCATATCACTGATTTAGACTTACATGTACCAAGTTTTTTTTTTTTCTTTCGATTCCACATATTCAAAAGTGACTTATATATATATATATATATATATATATATATTGATTATGATGACCTTCAAGTCTCCAACCACCGACCAGTGTAGTCAAATCCCATTCTACAAATTGATTAGTTGTGTGATTGTGTCTAAACCAGAGGCTTCGGCTTTCTCTTTTTAAAAAGCCCATTTACTATGTCTGAGAGAATTTCTTAAGGCCCATATATGGACTATCCACCAATTTGTTTTTTGTCGGCTTATCCACCAAACATTCTAACATTTGTTGACATGCAGTGAAATCTGAAATTCTTATATTAGTATATATCTAGATTTTGTAACATTTGTTGACATGCAGTGAACTATAACCGTAACCAAATGGAGATAGGTCGCAACAGAATCTCTCATATAATTGTCTCTTATGACTTTGTTTGTGTAACATCCATCCAGTTCTTCTCAAACTTTGTTTAGATATGTCGAGAATGAGACTCTGTTCTTCCTCAAAAACGTATGGTATACATACATTGGGCATCAGTAGTGATAATGTTTGGAAATAAAATGTGCTTAAAAACACTTCTTGTAAGAAATAAATTGTGCTTAACAATTTGGAAGACAAAGTCCCAATTCTTGTTGGATGCTTTCACCAAACAAGTGATTATGTTTGATACAATTTATTGGACCCATTACATCTGGCCAGCACCCATATTAACTTTATTTTTCTTTATAGTTGGTAGAATTGCGGAACAAACCAGATTAAAATCCCAATTTCCTATTTAATCACGAGCATTTACAAACATTTGTTTTACCATTTTACGTTTTCATATCGTTGATGTATGAACTATGAATTATACTCCTATTTAATAATGGTTGGTAAATTTTAATGTAGTAAAAAACATCATCGTGTCCTTTACACATATAGGGCAAAACCAATCATTGAAAATTGATATACATATTTTTGACAGTGAGGAGGAAGCTGACTCTGGTAGTTGACTTGTTTTTCATTTTGACTTCAGAGAATATATATATGTGTGTGTATGATTGTATATATCTACGAAACATAAGAAGAAGTCACCGCCATTCTTTTGGAGAAACAATCTATAGGTTTACAGATTAATTTATGATTTATAATGAATTCATACAGTGATCTTAATCATGGACATAGTGAGCTGGTGATCCTTAATATTAATCTGAACATCCATGAGAGTATGAGACCATGACATCCTCCCGTTACTAGAATTAGAAGGGGAAAAAACATTTCGTATAGTATGAGATCATTTTTATATAAAAGATGCATGGGATAATAATATTATTGCAAACTACATTATGGTCTTATGGGTCAGACAGTGTCACGCGAGAACTAAATAAAAATATTAAAATTTCTTGGTTTTGTAGAAATGTTTTGCAAGACTTTTTACTTGTGTACTACAGTGTTGGTTAAAGCGCGTGAGTTACAAGTGAGCAAAAAGTGAAATTAAAGGTGATGTCTTATTTTTGCTAGTTATGATTGGCATTGACTCTCTTGTCCAATTGCCTTTGTAAAGTTCAGCTTTTTCATCTCTTATTTGTATGATTCCGTTTTCAACCCCTTTTTATTATTTTAATCTCAAACTGCCCCAACTTTTTGTTTTCTATTTTTATAACCCCCAGGTCTCCAACTGATAGTTCTTAATCATATTGTATAGTAAAAGATATATTAAGCTCGTACGAAGAAAATGAATTTTTACGGCACGATGGAATTAAGAAACCAGAATCCAATATATTGACCAAAATTTAAGTAACTAACTTCATGTGCATCATTTAAATATTTGAAGACGTTTTGTGGTTGATATCTAAATCTGCAAATTTATTACACTTCATAACTCAGAATGTATCTTAGTTTAAGTTTCATTAATAAAGCATGTTTGTCTCTCTCACCTGCCAAATCTTGATATAATCTTTTCGCATTTAGCTCTCCACATGCCATAAATCACCGATCTCATACTTCTTTTGTTATTTTTTCAAATAAATTATTATAAATACCCATCATATTGTTCTATCTTATATGAAGTCCCCATTATATTAAAAAGGAACGGTGTTTAGTGGTGAAACGTGAATTTTACCGTAATTTGTGTCCCCGACACCGTGCAAATAAGAAGTTGTAACACTATTACCGAGCTCAGTACCTTGTCTAGATTATCACAAATTATTACTATTATAATCAATCAAAATTTAAATTGGTCAATCTAACGATCACTTCTGAATTCACTAGCGTCCAATTTGTTTTAAATATATAATCGACAAGCTTTTTGGCCTTTTCTTCAATCTCTATGTAAGAAAAGTTTTGGATCTTTCCAGTAAATTAATGTTTGTTAAGCGAATCACCTAAACGATTTAGAGCTAATTTAATATCTGAAGACCGGATTGTTCAACTCCATACACTTATGTACTGATATAATGTGTGAAATACTAAATTTCAAGCTTCTAAATAGTTATATGAGAAAATGGAGTTTTCAGTTCATATTTATTTTAATAAAAAGGAGTAGCAAGAGCTGACTGTTGAATTATATCACCAAATAACACAACACTAGTAATAAAATTCCTACTCTTACTTTTTATTATGGAGATGTCACCTTTTTGGTTTTAAAAATATAATTTTATTTTTCCTGGGATTCTTTGACAAACGTTAGTCTTCTTGGCACTGGAAGACAATTCGGGTATCAGGCTATTTGACGTTAATTCAAAAAGTAATTAAAATACAAAAAGTGAAATAAAAGAAGAACGAAAAGAAAAGTAAACTTGTTAGCCCCATTGCTAAGTTTTCCCTTTACAGCAAGCATCCTATGTCTCTTTTCCTATCTGTCTCGGAGATAAACAGTTTTCTGGAGGGAAAATTGTCTATATATATGTATTATAAATAGACTATGTGACTATGTGAGAATAGTTTTTCTAGTTTTTTTAATATTGTTTTGTTTTTTAACAGTAATCTAGGCGAAAATATTGAAATAATACTTTTTATATCTTGTTTACCAATCTATTTTCACAATCACGGGTATATAATTTTTTTCTTCTGGTTTTAACTTTAATCACGGGCAAACAGTTATCTCAAGTTTATAGACTGTATGTCCAATAATTAAATTGAATTTTGATCCCAAAAGCTTGATTGATTAACAACTCTCAGATGTTTTTACTATTTAGTACGTATGATTCTTACAGCACAATTTTGTACATTAGTTGACGACAAAAAGGAAATCTAATGGTTATGAAATAGTGAGCAAAGATTGTCAACCAAGTGGCTACGGACTTGTCAATAATTAAATTGTGACCAAGAAACATTAAAACGTCAAATCATTTGGACAAATGTATAATCGTGGTTGTTCGGAGAGTTCTTGTTTGGAGAGCTTGAGGAAATATTACCATGAACCTAAGTAGTTTTTATTAAATTTCTGGCTAGTGGTTTAATAGTCGATGTAATCTTTATTAGTTGGCCTAAAGCACCAACGACTCGAGTGAGATGCAAATTTATACTATAATCTAGATTCTTTCTTAAGTTTCCTATGCAATCTATGTTGTTTGTTTATTTTCGTCTTTAGCTCATTTTTTAATTGGACTCAGGTATATAGTTGGCTACCAAGCTCATATACATAAGATAAGATAAAAAAACCTAAGAAGAATAGGTATGTTTAGAAGTAATTAAACATTTAGGAATAAGTACAAAAGATAAGAGAATGTAACAAGAAAATAAGCAGAAAACAAAACATACCCTAATAATCCTATGAGGCAGAAGAAATAGAACGAGACAGTGTGCAATGCGATAGTTCAACAACTCCCACTTAGATTCCAACAAGCCCATACTATTGTTTCACTTTTTTAGTAGCTCTTCTTTGATAGGTCATCAGCAATGTATATTTTTGATTTTAAAAATGAAAGTCGTTCAAATGTTGACAAAAGAAAAGATATGTATAAAATATTTAGTTTTGTCTCCTTTTGTTATCGTTTCTTTCATCACAAAAAGTCCCAAGATTGTTTTACCCTCTGGCTTGTTTTGTACATGTTATTTTCCGCTAATTACTTTTGTTTACTAATTATCAAAGACTTCTTGTTTAACCACCGCCCCTAACAGAATAATTTTGTATATACAAAGTAAAAAAGTGAGTGAATGACGACCATTTTCTTCACTCAACCAAAACATTTTTTTTGTAAAAAGGAAGTAGTATTATTTAGCAAATCATGAAAAAGTTTTAATAATTTAATAATCGTTTTACGTATATCGATATCCCACGTAAAATGTTGTGCTTTTAATGCAAAAGAGAGTTTCTAAAGGTTGTTAAAGGCTAAGAGAGTGATGATGTGAGATTCTCTCTCTAGGGTCAAAAAGTTAAACCCAATTCTCTTACACTCTTTTTAAGCTCTTCTCTGTGTGTATATCTCCCTGTATTTGCGCGCGTGAGAGAGATAGCTAAGGAGAAAAACATCAAATCTTTGCTACATATCTTTGGCTGTATCCGTATATATGTTCTTTCTTCCATAGCAGAGAGAGGAAAAAATTAATCGCTATCAGAAGAAACTCCTCAGATTTGTTTTTCCAATGGTGGAAGAAGACAAGTGATGGTTGTTTCTTTTGGAGTTTAGTTTCTTAATGATTCACAAATCTGAAGAAAACCATCAAATCAGTTGTTTCTTCCTCTGTCTCTAAGCCAAAGACCCATTTTCACAGATTTTTTTCTTCTACTTCTCTCTTTGAGATCATTACTAAGTAAGAAGCTTTGTTTCTTCTAAGCTCCAGTTTCTTATATTTTCCTGATTTTAAAACTTCCTTGCTTCAATTGATCAACGATTTTACTTAATTTGGTTTCAGAAATGGGATTTGAAGACAAGAAACAGAGTCACACTCGGTCCAAGAGGTTTGTCAATTTTACCACTTTCTTCTTTAGCTCTGTTTTCATTTTTTTTGGGTGAAGTTCTCAAATTCGAGAACTTGGGTAGTTGAAAATAAAGTAACTTCGATGCTAGATGTGTCAAAGTTTGGGTCTTTTGTTGTCGAATTTAGGTTTTAGGACTAAAAGATTGAAGCTTTATGTAATTACCACTTTCTTCTTTAGCTCTGTTTTCATTTTTTTTGGGTGAAGTTCTCAAATTCGAGAACTTGGGTAGTTGAAAATAAAGTAACTTCGATGCTAGATGTGTCAAAGTTTGGGTCTTTTGTTGTCGAATTTAGGTTTTAGGACTAAAAGATTGAAGCTTTATGTACTTCTCATACAATGTTTGGTTTCTGTTCTAGTTTTACTCAAAATCTCTGCTTTATCTTTTCTGGGTTTCAACTGATTCAACTTTCAACTGTTTATTTTGATCACTTGTTTTAGCTGGACTATTCCTGAAAAGAAAAAGCTTGAAGAGGATAATAGCATTGATCCTTCTTTAAATGCTGCTTCTCAACGCTTCAAGCTTGTGAGTTAAACTTATAAACTCCTTTTGGTTTATGATTTACAAAACTCTAGAACAACAGGTAATTCTTAGTTTCTTTTAACTGTTTCTTCTCAGGACTTACCTCGTTGCTGTGATAAATCTGTTGAACCAAAGAAGAATCTATCGCCTGATGTTAAAGTCCAAAGCTCTCTGAAGCAAGAGGTTTGTGTTTAAACTTCTGTGTAGCTCTCTCTACTTTTGTATCTGTTTCACACACATAATTTGGTTTCTTTACATTACATTCAGATTCAAGAGCTTGAGAAAAGATTACAAAACCAGTTTGATGTTCGTGGCTCTTTAGAGAAGGCATTAGGCTATAAAACACCTTCTGGAAATATCAATGACTCTACTCCAAAGGTAAATTACTTAACATCTTGTGTTGAAAATGTTGAACTTGTGCAGCTCAATGAATGATTTGATCTTATATGTTCTTGCTTGCAGCCTCCAACAGAGTTGATCAAAGAAATCGCAGTGCTAGAGCTAGAAGTTTCGCATTTGGAACAGTATCTTCTATCTCTGTACCGTAGAGCATTTGATCAATCTTCTGTGTCTCCAACATCGAAGCAACAGAGCTCTACTTCACCTAAATCCACTCTCAGAGGCAAACGTCTAGACTTCTCAAGAACACCTGAGCCTCGGTGTTTCTCCTTTGACAACAGGCTGAAGAGTCAAGAACCAGATTCTCCTAGTCTTAGATGCAGACAAGAACTCTCAGCCACGGAGTCTCGGTGTGTCTCATTTGACAAAAGACTCAAGGAACCAAATTCTGCTCCTCAAGAACACTCAAGAACCGATTCTCAAGGCTTCTCCTTTGACAACAGACTGCAAGAACCAGTTTCTGCTGCTCGGAAGTTCAATCAAGAAAACTCAACAATCGATTCTCGGTGCTTCTCATTCGACAATAGACTGAAAGATCAATGCTTTACAGAGAAAGAGGACATTGACTCATGTGTTCGCCGTTGTCAATCCACTCTTAACCAACGTTCCACTTTCAATAACCGAATATCTCCACCAGAAGACTCATTATTCGTCTGCCACTCCCAACCATTGTCCATTAAAGAAGTAAGTCTAATAACTTCAGTGGTTCTATAATCTTGTATTGGCATTAGAGTTTATAAAGTCTATAACTTTTGACGTTAGAGTTTGAAAAAAGTTACAATAAAGTAAGTCTCATTTGCAATGGTTTCTTCTATCATCTTGTATTGACATTAAAGTCTCTAACTTTACTTGCTTTTTGATGCAACAGTACGTACAAAATGGATCAAACACTGCAAGTCTTGCAGAGCACATGGGGACTCGGATATCAGATCACATCTTCATGACTCCAAACAAGTTATCAGAGGAAATGATAAAGTGTGTATCATCTATATACTCCAAGCTCGCTGATCCTCCATCGATAAACCATGGTTTCTCGTCCCCAAGCTCATCTCCATCATCAACAAGCGAGTTTTCGCCTCAAGAACAGTATGATATGTGGAGTCCAAGCTTCAGGAAAAACTCTTCTTTCGATGACCAGTTTGAATTCAGCGGACCTTATAGCTCAATGATAGAAGTGTCACAGATTCATCGAAACCATAGGAAAGGACGTGAGCTTGACCTCATGAATCGGAACTTCAGGTCAGCCTTAAAAATCACAGCTGTCTGAGTTTTGGTTTGTTCTTGCATTCAGTTCTTGATGCTGATTGTAGCCATTGGTTTATACTTATACAGCTTTCTTATTAAGCAACTAGAGAATGTTGATCCAAGAAATCTTACACATCAAGAGAAACTTGCGTTCTGGATTAACATACATAACGCTCTTGTGATGCATGTAAGTGGTTTTTCTCTCTTTTTCTTTGATCTATTTTTACTGTTATTATTTTACCTTATGCTGTGTTTTCACCATCACAGACATTTCTTGCAAATGGAATTCCACAGAACAATGGCAAGCGGTTTTTACTGCTCTCTAAGGTAATATTATCTACACTTTTCTTGGTTTTGCTTCAAGAAGACGACTTAAAGTCTCAAGATTTCAAGAATGATACTGAAAGTTTTTGGTCTCTGGTTAACATTTTGCAGCCAGCTTACAACATAGGAGGTCGCATTGTTAGCGTAGAAGCGATACAAAACTATATTCTTCGCATCAAAATGCCTCGTCCTGGCCAAGTAAGACTCGCTTCTAGTTGCGTATCTCAAGACTACAAATTTGTCAATGTGACTGTGTTCTAAAGCTTATCTCTTCTACTTGTAGTGGCTGAAGTTATTACTCATTCCAAGAAAGTTCAGAACCGGAGATGAGCATCAAGAATATTCACTTGAGCATTCCGAGCCGCTCTTATACTTTGCTCTTTGTTCAGGCAACCATTCTGATCCAGCGGTAAGTATAGAGAAACCTTTCATTTTTGTAATCCTCTTTGGAAGATGATAGATCTTGAATGTGTTTTTTTCTTTGGCTATAGATTCGTGTTTATACGCCCAAGGGAATATACCAAGAGCTAGAAACAGCAAAAGAAGAGTACATTCGAGCAACGTTTGGGGTTAAGAAAGATCAGAAACTAGTCTTGCCAAAGATCATTGAATCTTTTAGCAAAGAGTCAGGTTTGAGTCAAGTGGCATTGATGGAGATGATTCAAGAATGTCTTCCCGAGACAATGAAGAAAACTATTAAGAAACTTAACTCGGGGAGATCAAGAAAGAGCATTGTTGAATGGACGCCTCATAGCTTCGTGTTTCGGTATTTGATATCAAGAGAACTTGTTAGATGAAGGAGTTTTTTTTATGTGTTCCTCTTGAAAAGGGTTTTGATTTGCAGGAGTCTTATTTCTTTTAATGTATTGGTGAAGTGTATAGGAGAATGTAATGTAAGTGTAGAGAGAGTAGAAGAAGAATAGAGATAGAAGGGAAAAAACTGCTTGCCGTTTTTCGGCTACCAATCCGGGATGATGTTTTGGTTTGTGTTGTCTTTTGTTTTAGAAGAATTAGTGTACTGTGTACATATATAAATCAATTCCCTTATTTATTTATTTATTTGTTTCCTAGCACTTTGGTGATTACTACTAAATAATTGTAGTTTTGGTGATTATTTTATACCTTTTCTTCTTATTTTGTACATAAAGCATAAAGAAAATAGATGAACTATTTTGAAATATTAAAGACAAACTCAAAAAGCTTTTTTACTTGAGGGAATAAACAAACTTTTTATAAAACATTGGCGGGTAGCTTTATGAACGTAAAACTCTTTTCTTTTTCTCTATCTTTTTTCTTTCTTTCTTTTCATGTTGTTTGGTTTTTTGTTAATGTACACTTTAAAGTGCTCCATAAGAGTACAGTTTACATTTCATTGGCGTTTATATGTTTGGTTTTAGCTTTTTGACTTTTTCTGGCGTAGTCTGCTAATTTATAATTCTAGTAGAGAAATGATGGTATAAAATATAAAATGATTTGATTTTATTAAATTTCTTCACGTATATATACACAAGAAACAAAAGAATAAGTGGGCTTTTAAAAGTAGGCCCTCATGGTTTGGCACCGCACGTACCGTCTCATTTAAAGTCTACTCCGAACTTTATTACTCCCACTCCCTTTTGTTTCCCTCTTCATTATAGTTCTAAAGCATTTGCTATGTGTAGTTCACATACAAGTGGACCTAAAGATAGCAAAAGAATAAACCGAACCAACAAAACCAAACCGGGTTACCAATAGTATATAGATATGCACGCAGTACGCCATAAGAAATCTCGCATCAGGAAAATCTATCGCGTGATGTGGTGCCAATCGGATAGTTTATCAATTGCAAGAAAATATATCAGATGTCATCGTAATCTCAAGAAATTGACTTTGTCGTAATGCACCAGCTGGGACCAAATCGGGTGATGCGTCTCAGACCTAACCCCTAGCGTGTAGGGCCACTCAAAGTCTATGTGATGTTTCATTACACTATTACAACTGTAAATAATGTCAGTATTAAATTAGAGTTTAGAGTTAGATCGGCGATATCGTAGTCATTACACGAAATGACATAACCTTTTTTTTTTGTTTCATTTTGTTGTTGTTAGTCTAAATCATAAAAGGTTGGTGACATATCAATTGTTGTTAGTGACGTGATCAGTAAAAGGTTATATAACCGGATAATCAGTATGTTGTTTTGCTTAACTGAATATAAACGTTCATCTTAATCTTGGAGTAAATGTGTATCTAAGTTTTTGGCACCCTTGTGGATTGTTATTTTCTTATCACCAACGCAACTATTGAGTACTGACAATAGTTTTATATATAGATCATGCGAAATGCCAACTTACAATTTAGATACAGTAAATGTGGGTTAACTGACAAAAAATCTTCTTAATTTTTTGAAACGGATTTCATAACTAATTTGGTGTTTACTCCATGACTCATCGTGTTATAAATACACTATTTTTTTTCCTTTCTTTTTTTGGTTTAGTTTACCTTCCAGTCAAGTTACGATAATTAGACACATGGTCCTTTCTTATCCACGAAATGTAGTCTACTTGGATTAACATATGGCCCCTCTTATTCTTAATAATATGGATCAACATATTAAGCTTAGCGTTCACATAGAGTGATATGGGAACATGATAATCTTACCGGATTGATCATGAGATGCAAAAATGGTCGAGATTGAATGAATTATAACGTATGTTGATTATTTTTCTTAAATATTTTGAATGCCGCATATAATTAGTTTTGAATATAGTATTCTTGATCAATATATTATGTGAAGGTAACGTTTGGTTTGAATACAGTTGTAACGATCAATAAAATCGCGGCAACTACGATAAGGACTCAAGTTCTTTGGGACTTTGGCAGCAGCGCAAATTTCCGGATTCCGGTGTTTCCTATCGAACTTTTACTGGATTTGCTGTGATGTGTGTTTAACTTATTGTTTGTTCGCTTTTTGTTTTGACTGTTGTAACTAGAGTCTCTTCTTGTAGTTTTTCGGTCTTTCTGTCTTCTTGTTATCTTTGTAACTTCTGTCTCAAATTTAAAAATGGTATAAAATCTTCACATTTTACCCAAAAAAAAAAAAAATTGTAACTCTAACTCATAGCATGAGTTTTTTTTTTTTTTTTGGGTCTGAAATATGGGATATAAATCAGTTATCCAATCATATGATGATAGTAATTAGTAAAACCAAGTACGATAAACTTTTCCCACGTTTCAAAATGCAATTTGCATCTCCTTAATAGCTAAATATTCACAAAATTTAACCCTACGATAATAACTAAATCCCCAAACTACCCTTTACTCCTCCTCTATCTTACGCAACTTCGCCGCATACTTCCTCCTCCCGCTACCACCGCCGCCGCGTCTTTTCCCGTTCCTCGTCACGCCGCTGGTTCCCACCGCCGCCACTCTACGGGCGGAGAAGATAACCGGGGTAACACATTTCCGACGACACCGGCATTTATCTTGGCCGCAAGAACCACCGCTTCTCATGAGAGCAGAGCTGGCTTTAACAGCCAATGCAGCCATCTCCTCCGCTTTAAGAGAATGATGAAGCCAGCTGAGAGGTAAAGCGAAGTAAAGCTGTCCAAGCTGAAGCTCCTCGTCGGCGCTAATGGCGGAAACGGCGTCGTCGAAATCCATATCGTCTGAGTTACATATGAAACACATGGGATACTTCTGTAGAACGTAACCAACTTTGACCGGAGTTGTGAACTCCATCATCCTCCCGTCTTGCAAGATCAGCTTCGCCGTCGCCACTTGTGTCGACTCGTACGAGCTGCATATACCCATTTTGGCTCTCTGAGTCGACTCGGTTTCCGGTGAACAAGGGGAATAGTGTGGAGAGGAGATGATGAGAAGGGAAATGTGTTTTTGTGTGTAATTTATATAAAAAGATGGTCACACGTAAGACTTTGTCGTCTTGTGATTATGTTTTTAATATTCAGTTTTGAAGTTTGAACGACCAGTGGGGGCAATGACAGGCTGTAAGTAAGTTGGGAGGATGACAGCTTTATGTTGTGATTTAGTTTACCCTTACTTTTGTTCTGTAATTACGAGCTTAGGGACTGTTTTTGTGAATCAAATTTTGACTAATGATGTACTATCTTATTTCCGTTGTTGGACTGCATGTTTATTAATGACAGATAAATGTACCATTTGATATGAGAATGTAAGTATGTTTGTCGCAGAACAAATGTTTTCTGAAAGTTTCCTAAAAAAGAACATTAGTAAAATATTGCATAGAGAAGTTTTGTTACACATTAGAAGAACAAAAGTTAGTAAAATGAGTTATGGTTTACTTTGTATTACACTATGTATCTCTTGGTTGGTGATGTATTTAAAATTTTGTTAAAACATAGTGTATGTAGTATGATGGTGATATGAAGTGGGGATGTGTATAAGTTGCATGATCTGAAATTTATGACTTGATAATAACATAATACTAATAAATAATAAAAGAGGACCATTCATTTATATGGTTCCCCTTTATTGTTAAGTGGCAATTTCCTTTAACGCATCTTCTTTTCATTTACGTTTTGTGAAGAGATGATTAGCTTTCATATAACTTTAAACCTATGATTTTGATTGGACAAGAAGCTACGAGATACATTTCTTTAATGCCACTTAAATTTTGTTGTCGAGTGTGTAGGGATGGACACTATAGGACGACTTGGCATATTTAATCGCTACGCTATGATTCAATATTTCTTTCGATGTGATCCGATTATGATTCAAGTAACTCAATTGCCCAACGTGATCTTAACGAATGTTGTTTTATTTTCTCTTTAAGTTGAATTTGAATTCGAATTCGAATGCAAACAATGTTATGCTTAATTAAGTGATGAATCCGACACGTTGATGAATCTTTTCCACCTTTGATGCATGTCAAAACAATTGTCACAATTAGGGTCGAATATCAAAACTAAAAGAGCGTTTTTTTTGGCTTTTGCATGACCAAAATCAAAAAGAAGAATTTGAGTTTTAAACTAAATAACGGACGACAGAAAAAAACTATATAGACGTGGCTTTTGCATGACCAAAATTAAAAGAAGAAGTTGACAGAGAAAACAAAGAAAAAAGGAATTCGTGGCATTCACAGGACGGTGAGGATGGTGACAAAAGAAAAACGAGTGATTGGGATGTGTGATGTGGCCAACTCTGCCATGTGGCATAGTGGTATAGAGATGTAGTGTCAAATCTAATATGACGTGTCAAGTCACATATAAATATAATTGCTCGGTCTCTTTTCATGATTTTATTATATATCAAGTTAAAAAAATGTATATGGTTGAATTGGATAATGTTTTTTGGTTTTTAGTTAAATTTTTGATCGAAGTGTAGTGTACATTGATGATTGTTTTAGCTGCTATTGAGTTTAAATGATGATATGATGGGTCAATGGTTAATTGTCAACTAAGCACATTGATGCCAACCACAAGTGACTTGTGTTCCCTATTAAATCTCTCTATTTCTCTATTTTTAAAATCTAGTTTTTGTATTCTACACACTTTACGGAAACTTGAACTTCAAAATTCAACCCTAACGATGGGTTACAAGTTGGGTTTATGATATTAATAGATGATTAACTTTTTCTGAGTTTTCTCGTGCAATGTAAGGAGAAACAGATAGGCATTTTGATGATTTGAAACTTAATTATTTTAGTGTTGGGTTTGGAGTGTCTAATTAATAATGCTTGTTGGCTATAATGCACTTGCTCGTAGCCTGTGTCTATGTATTTGTGTCGTGCATACGTGTGCTTAATTTATTGATTTATTTGTGCATTGATATTTCCGCAAAATATTGGGTAACTTAATCTTAGTTTGAGATTGATTTTCACTAAATACACATACTTGCTCTTTTAAAAACTCATATCATACGATTTCTAACATTGATCTGTATATCTACCGAAAAACTTTGAAACCAAGAACAAATAGCAAATTTATCTGTTCTTAAATAGTCCATTATTTGTCGGTTGGTGTCTTCCTACTAATTCCTTGGACAACTTTGCTTGTTCCATATAGCTACAGCAAAATTTCATAATAATATTTACACGTTAGATTATATGCAAATCATGTTTAATACTCTGAATTATTCCCAAGGTGAGCTTTGACTAACGTTCCGGATCTCAAACCTCGCAAACACGTGATCTAACCAGAGATATTTGAGTTGGAAATTGAAGTCTCAAATCTCTTTTATTTCATAGCCGAATAAAGTAAGAACTTGTTAAAAAAAGGGAATTTAAAGATTATTGTGCTTAAACATTTTACCCTCTTTGGTCTTACCCTTTTTGTCCTTGTGAAGAGTTTGAGATTTTAGAAGAGGTAAGCAAATGCGGACCAAAGAGGGTAGACAAAGAGTAGATAAAGACAAATGGTGCAAGTGATTTTGTCCTTTTGAGTGAATGAGTTCTTGTAACCACCACAAGCTTTAGTGTGTTTATCAAGAAGGTAACCGCTCGTGAAAAGGCACACGTTTCCTACATCTCTCGTTCTCAGATTGTCTCTGAATGATTCCACGATGTCATTCGGCGCAACCAGGATAAGCAGAAGCGTTGCACCTGGAATCTCTAGCGATTCTGCAAGTTCTTTAAGCAAATACACAAAACACCAACCAATTCTTAATACTATGGTCTTTTCTCTAACGTTATTACGTATATGAACATTTGATGATTAATTATATTATAGTTAAAACTATCAAAGGTACCATGGAATTTGTTTGGGAGGAACAGTCTAAGAACGACAGTGACGAGAGCGATCCATTTCCCAAATTCTGTCCTGAAGATACAAATACAATACGAATTATCGATCGGATCATGCATGCATACTCAAAGAACAACAACAAAATTTTCTTTTGTTATTTTGTATATTGATTGTTACCTGAAGAGATGGAATATAACAAGAGGAAGGCTAACGAAAAGGTATGGAGCTAATAGTGAAGTCAACATGTTGGTTGACTTCCATTTTGTTCGATCCAATATCATCACAAGACTTCACTCAAAAATAAAAGAAAAGAAAGACTTAATACATATATCAAAATGTTTTAGACAAGACAAGAAAAGATGACTAACATTGCAGCGAAGGACACGACCCATTTTAGGAACAACGTGACCATATCTCGGAACCCATAGCTTTGGATCAGCTTCTCTGCAGCAACTTGGAGCTCATTCAAATACTCAAACTTTTCCATTTTTTCCAAATATGCAGAATGGAATCCAGAAACAGAGGAAAACTCAGGAGTTGCAATAAGGAGAGACAGAACAAGAAGACCCGAAACAGAAGTCTTCGTGACAAGTTTTTTAAAATTATTCAAAGATGACCCAGTGTATATTAATATATGATTCTGTCATTGTCTTGAAATCATGGATGGTTAATATGATTTTCTTTCTTATTATTAATTAATTAGCCATCCCTAGTTGAATAGTCTTGAGAAGAAATTTCTAAAGCTACAATTCAATATCCTAAGAACTTCAAAGGCAACCAAAGCTACTGGTTTCTAAGAACATTCTATTTACCTTTACACAAGTTGCCATCTACTGCCACACCAATAGATGTAATCTTTATAAAGAAAAACACCAATAGATGTACAAGGAGGAAAAATGAAGAGCAGAGCAAAGACAAATCCCTAATAAAAAACAGAAAAACACCCACAAATCTCAAGTTTAAAGTTTAGCAAACTTAAAAAATAAAGTCTCTCTTGAAGATGTCCCTAACAATCAGAGGCAATGTAGATTATTTGGAGGTGAAGCAATGTGCCTTATTGCTAAATTAATAATTTTGTGTGTAATAAGGACTTGATAAAGTGACTTAGCATCTTTGTGTGTGTAAGGACTTGATAAAGTGATCATATATGCTTTTTTTTATCATCTTGCGACCACTACTAACAATCAACTTGTGCTATGGATATCTAAAATTAACTAGTCATGGTCCAAAAAGAGCTTCTGGTCGGATACAACTTGACATTTTTTTTGAATATCATAAAATATAAGAAATTTTAAAAGAACAACAGATCTTGCTAGTTACTACTAGCTAAATCATCCGAGCAAAGATAAATATGAAATCGGAGACATAAATGAAGAACCTGCGTTTAGGGACGAGTGTTACTTCTTCGGCCAAACGTCAATGATAGAAGTCACGGTCTGGATGAGAGTCATCAGCAACAGCAACGTAGCGGCTACGGTGGCTGTTCCACTCCACATGTCACTGCAATACACGCGCTTGAGTATGGCTCGTGAATTATTGTATTTGCCATTGTAGTGACGAATGACCTGTTTTGCGGTTTCAGAATAGTAAGCGCCATCTTCAGGAACTCCCAAACAAAGCTTGTTCACCATTTTAGCCACCGCTTCATGGTGTCCAAGCCAGTTCGTTATTATCTCTTACAATAAGGAAAAAAAACTATGAAGAATCAATACTCACTCACACATGTATAATCTAAATAAATAATAATTTGATAGATTAGGTTAAATAGGTTACCTTTCTCCACAAGCAACTCAACATCTTTCTCGGTGTCGATGAGGAAATCTAAGAACATGATGTAGCTGCATACGTGTGCGTCGAATGGGTAATGGCATTGCTCAAGGGCCATTATATTTCTAATGATAATCTCCACATCGTCATCAGCCTTGAAAGGTGGTATCTCCAAGCAACCATTTTTACGATCAAATTTCACCCTCACCGGAAACTCTTCTTCTAGGGCTTTGATTTTCACTCCTCCCTTGTCTAGCTTATGAGCGTTATGCATTATGTACATTGGTTGGAAATCCTCATGACCATAATCCGGAAATGTCTCCTCGTCGGCACTCTCCACGCGGACACACCTGACAAGATCAGTGAAATGCCTGAACTTTGTGTCGTCTCCGATCTTAGTCTTGTCCATGTTAAGAACGTAGTTGATAACTAGTTGACGTAAGGTCTTGTTCGGGTTGAGTATTTTGACGACGGGATCGAAGAGTTTCTCGAGGATGAAGTAAGGAAGCTGGTTCTCGAGCATGATGAGATCTCTCTTGATTGTTTTTTCAAGACAAGGTGAGTCCATGAGATGATCACCAATCTTCTCTGCTCCTGTTCCAAAAAACCTCAAAATGAGCTCTAGTATGAAAACAGAGTCATGCAAGATCATCTCCACGAACTCTTGAGATTCAATCCAGGCCGTTGATTCTGAGTAGCTTGCTCTGATCAAATCTTCATCTTCTTCGATCATTGTTCTGAATCCTTCAATGGTTTTTTGCCCTTCAAGTCTTTCAGAAAATTTCTCTACGTAGATCTTCTTATGCTCCTCCATGTTTAAGTAGCCCATAAACTTTGTGCGTCTTATGTTTCCACGAGCCTTGAGAGCTTGAGATTTTAAAGAATGGTGAAGAGGGCCAATAAGGATCAGCTGAGGAGTGTATGCTTCTGGACTCATTTGACGCATACTGTTTGGGACTCTGTAGATACAACAAAGGTTGGGGTTTGTAGGAAACCGCCACATCCCAGGAGCTTCTTTGTTCCACTCATGGATCGTTCCTGATTCAAGATCCAGCATTTGGTCCATTGTGTCCGGATCTGAGGATCCAAACTTGTCTGCAGAATCTGAAACCTGCCTTACAATTGGAAGTGTTGATATAACCATGATAGTACAAGCAAAGGAGGAAGAAAGAAAGATAACTTGCTTTAGAAGTTTTAGTACTAAGAAGGAAATGATTTATATTTATAGCAAACCAAAGGAAATGATGTATATATAGGCTATGTGCTTAATCCGGATAGATAAGGATTGAACTGATTCTAAAACATTAATCACATCCTAAATTGGTTAAAATATACATACTTTTCTAGATTCCAATAGTATTAGTTTAGATTAAAAAACGGGGGTTTCGACATCAATTATTTGTGGTATTCAAGTTAAATAATTCAACTTGAAATGTTATTAGTAACCTTAATGAGAAAGGTATCAGATGCAGCTTTCAAAAACCCATACTTCACGACCAGTATCAAGTTATCAAATTATTATGGGTTTATAAGAAAAAAGGTCACGTTCAAGCATTTTTTAAATTACTTTCTTATGTTCATTGCAATTTAATATGAAGTTACTTTGTTGTTTTTTTTGGGTTCTGCATCTTTTTTTTTTTGATTTTTGTTTTGTTGGTTCTGCATTGAAAACGTTTGCCCTCCTACTGATTTTTTAAGAAGCTAGATTCGATTCCGCATCTCTTTTTTTTTTTTTTTTTATAAAGTTTGTTTCCTGGCCTAGCCTCTTTGTTCTTTTCTTTGATCGAATATTGGAGAATTCTTTAGAAATGTTGCCGGGTTCCGATCATGTAAGCTCCTCTTCTTACCTTTTTTCATATTTGTTCTAGCTATTTCTTACATTCTAAATTATGCGTATATGATCACCAAAATTATAATTCGAAAACTTCTTTTGATTAAGAATTATACTATATCATTGAATGATCTTTGACATATGTTTTAGTAGTTTTGAGGAAAATAGAAATGTTTACATCAACTTTTTATCTCACCTTTTTTTTGTAGTCCATTTGGCCACTTCTCAACGGAGATGACGTGGCATGTCAGTTTAACAATGAATTGTTTTCTGTTATCTTATAAAATGAAAATTTTCTTATTTTCTCTATCACATCGATAGTGTCACTGTGTTTGGCTTAGGATTTTTCTTAGTGTCATCTTAAAAAAAATGGCTTCGCTTTCTTTACTCAGCGGTGGTGGTGCTCTCCGTTCAAGAAATGCTCATGTTAGCCCACGCGCGTCGCATCCTAACAAACCCGCGCATCCGTCGTTCTCACCACCCGGCGCCTCTCGCAGGGACCTGCTGTTTTCTCTGACGGCAGCGACGGTGATGACAGGTCTGCAGCCTGCATCAATGGCGGAGGATATTCCGTTCTTCGGGATCAGAAAGAAGCTGAAGAAGGCAGAAGAAGAAGCGGTGGAGATCGTGAAGGAAGGCTTCGAGACGGCGGAGAAAGGCGTTGTTGCGGCGGAGAGAGGACTAGAGGCGGCGGAGAAAGGATTAAAGGCGGCGGAGATAGGAGTAGAGACGGCGGAGAAAGAAATCGAGACGGCGGTTAGTTACAACGGAGTGACGCAGGCCGGAGCAGTCGTGGCGGCTGAGTTGGTCGGAGTTCTTGTCGGAACTTCAGTCGTCAACGGGATTTTAGGACCTGAAGCTTAGAGATTTCTAATTATTTATGTGTAAGTCTAAATTTGTGTTAATTAAGCGTTTAACGTGTTATAAACCATACCCGAGCGTAAGAGATCAGATTTTTGTGGTCTATTTTGATTATTTATTTTTTTCGGAAATAACTAAATTGTGTGGCTCTTATAGTTTAGATAGACAACAAAGAAGCGACATCTAGTTTTTGGTTGCACAACAAAGAAGCGACATTTAGTGTTTTGGCCTCAAAGATATCTTAACAAGTGTGTATTTTAAAGTAGAGTAGTAAACCATTGCACTGCAAAGCTCAAATGTTCGACTGAAATTTCATCGTGTTGCTGATCCTAGAAGTCATGGATAGAGATTAGTTGAAGACAAAGACACAAATTGCCTCTCAAAAGTTGATCAATAAGATCTAGTATGTTCTTCAAGGTTTTATGACTCATTATCATCATCTTTATCATAGTTGTCTTTGAAGGCCAGATCTCGCATATGGTTGCTTAAAGGCTTATGTTTTTGTGTTCTGTAGTGTTGAGACAAAGATAAGTTGAAACTTGAAAGGGAAAGGAAAAACTGAGAGAATTATTGGTAAAGATATTATTGTCACATAAAAAGAGTTGTAAAGCTACATTTGGTTTACCAAAAAGGCAAAAACTACATTTACTGATATTATTATTTGTGTGTGTGTGTGTGTGTGAAAATTATATAGATTTTTTTTATATACATTTTGAAGTGCTATTTTCCATTATTATTTATTTGTGAACAATTAATCCATGTAATATTCAAGTGGATATCCTTTAACCTAACAAAAATTCTTTAGATCTTTTTTGATGTATTTGTGATCCCGCTCAAGTTAAATTCAAATCACAATCTACTTAATTCTGTTATTATCAGTTATACAAACGTTCACATTGTAACAAACAAACGTTCATATTTTTTGTGTGACTTTCATTCATTGCAAATGCTATTTTCTCATTATTGATTTGTGAAAGGAACTCAAAAGAACGAAGCTTTACTGAAATTTTCATTTTATTTCCGATAACGTTCATTTACAGAGGACAAACATATTTATAGACTTTACATAAGATAAGATCCTAACTATACGGTGCCTTAGCTGTCTCTTTTATCCAAATCCTTAGCTGTCATTAGGTAACGACAGCAGAGCTTCAAAGCGATTATCTTTGAGCATCTTTTCTTCCTTCTTTCTCTCATTCAAAGTATCCGTTGCAGAGTTTGTCGTCACTTGAGGTTTCAAACTGAGCTTGGGATTTTCTCCATCTTGGGCTTTACCAACATCATGACCCAAGCTTACACACTCACCAACATTCCCCCTCAAACTCTGCGTAGGTGGACCAGCTACACCGAGTTTGTCTCTCAACTCCAAGAAGGCTTTTCGTGGCAGCGACTTTGTGAAGATGTCTGCAAGTTGTTGTACCGCAGGAACATGTTGAGTCTCAATCATCCCCAAAGCCACCTGCTCTCTGATGTAGTGAAAATCTGTATCGAAGTGCTTTGAGCGACTATGCAGAGCAGGATTTGTGCTCAAGTAGACAGCTGAGAGGTTATCACACTTCAAAATTGTAGCCTCCGGTTGTTCCACTCGAAGATCCCTCAATAGATACGAGAGCCACATTATTTCTTGAGCTGTTGCCGTCAAAGCTCTGTACTCTGCCTCCGTTGATGACTTGGAGACAGTTTGTTGTCTTTTGGCAGACCAAGAGATGAGATTAGACCCCAACATTGTACAGAACCCTGTCGTTGAGCGTCTTGTGTCTTTGCAACCTGCATAGTCACTATCACAGAAGGCATGGAGACGCATCTCTCTATCTTTCTTGATGTGCAAACCCATGTGTAATGTGCCTTTGACGTATCTCAGAATGCGTTTCACTAGAAGAAAGTCAGAGACAGTAGGCAAATGCATCCGTTGACACACAAAGTTGACTGCATATTGAATGTCAGGTCTTGTAATGGTGAGGTATTGTAGTTTGCCCGCGAGACTTCTGAAGTATGTTGGTTCCGGAAACGGCTCTTGACTGAGAGTGTCCAGCTCCAGAGGGAGAGGTGTGGGCATTAGTTTGCAATCAGACATAGCAGCGTGGTGTAGTATATCTTTTGCATACGCGGTCTGATGAAGAAACATGCCTCCATCATACGACTCAATCTCTACACCAAGAAAGTAATGTGGCTTACCAAGATCCTTCATTGAGAATCGTTTGTTGAGACAGTCAAGAAGATCTTGGAGCAGTGCTGAGTCACTTCCCGTCAGGAGCATATCATCCACATACAGTAGAAGAGCCATTGATCTACCATCTTTGTAGTACGTGAACAGAGATGGATCAGCCTTGCTGCAGACAAAACCATAATCGATGATGTAGTTACTGAAAGTGTCAAACCAAGCCCTCGGTGCTTGTTTGAGACCATACAACGCTTTGGTTAGTTTGCAAACGTGATCTGGTTTTTTGGATCCTCAAAACCAGCAGGTTGAAACATGAAAACAGGTTCTTTCAACTCGCCATGTAGGAAAGCACTTGAGACATCTAGCTGTTTGATGGGCCAGTCTTTGGCTGTGGCGACATCTAGAATCATCCTTATAGTGGCAGTGCGGATAACATGACTGTATGTCTCTAAGTAGTCTAACCCCTCTTCTTGTTCAAATCCTTTGGCCACAAGTCTAGCTTTCAGCTTGTTGAGTTCACCGTTGGGTTTCATCTTTGGAGTGAAGACCCACTTACTGCTTAAGACATTCATGTCTTCCGTTCTCGGAACCAAACTCCACGTATGCAACATGTGAATGCGACCCATCTCATCCATTACTGCAATGTTCCACCCAGGTGTTTCATCGCTTCTGCAATGTTTCGTGGTGTTGCCGGTACAAACTTTGAGGCCAGAAGAACATATCTTGTATTTGGCTTGTGAATGCCTGCTTTAGCCCTTGTGGTCATAGGATGAATGTTCTCCACAACAACGTTTTCCAACTGGTCTGAGTTTGCTTCAGAAGCAGCTGGAGACCCAATGTTACCCAGAGTATCCTCTGTTTCGACTGGTTCAGGTTCTCGTGGCAGTGTAGGAAGAGCTCGTGGTATTTGTTCTTGATTTACTGAGGCTGGAACATTCTCTGTGGAGACTGAAGATTGCCACGCCTTTAAGAGTTTGCTGTGATATCTCGGCACCAGAGACTCATATTGCGTTCTGAACGGGAAGCTTTCTTCATCAAAAATCACGTGTCTGCAAATGTAAACTTTTCCTGTAGGTGGATAGAGACACCGATAACCTTTATGCTGCGCACTATAACCAATGAACACACATTGTAGAGACCGTGGTTCAAGTTTATGATCGGCCAGAGGACGCAGGTATGGGTAGCACGCTGATCCAAAGACTCTTAGCATAGTGTAACTCGGCTTTTCTTTGAACAACACCTCATGAGGACTGCAATTTCCCAAGATAGCCATTGGGAGAAGGTTGCAAATAAAATTCGCAGAGAAGAACGCCTCAACCCAATAGCTTAGTGGTGTACTGCTGTGAAACAACATTGATAGACCCAGTTCGACAACATGTCTATGCTTTCTCTCTGCCAAGCCATTCTGCTGTGGTGTGTATGGACATGAGAGAAGATGGCTAATGCCACAGTTTAACAGATGTTGTTTCAACTCTTTGTTTACAAACTCGCCTCCTCCATCACTTTGAAACACCTTTATCTTAGTACCAAACTGATTTTCAACAAGCTTCTGAAATACAGTAAACACAGAGAAGAATTCTGATTTGGCTCTTAATGGATAGAACCAAAAGAATCTTGAGAAGTCATCAATGAAAACTGCATAGTATTTAAACTCCAGGTTTGATACAATCGGAGAAGGACCCCAAAGATCACAGTGAACTTTGTCTAAGGGACCTAATACACGAGAAGACAAAGAAGGAAAAAATTGCAAACGACTACATTTCCCCATTTGGCAAGGCTCACAAATGAGTTTAGTTCTGCTCTTATTGATACTAATCTCCTTGCTGCTTTGTAACTGCTGGAGAACTTTGATATTGGAGTGTCCCAAACGATGATGCCACATATCCTCAGTTGCTGCACACTGCCTACTCGAGTAGAGAACCTCCAATCTCTGATTCTCCAACGTGTAGAGATCTTTAACTCGAGGTTCCTTTGCTACCACTTTCTGAGCATTCACATCAATCACACAGACTTTATTAGCATCAAACCAGACCCCACATGGATAATCATCACACAGTTTGGATACAGAGAGAAGTGACTTTCGTATCTCAGGGCAAACCAAGACATCTTTGAGAGGCAAGTTACCTGTAGCAGAGGTTATGTTGGTGGAACCAACATGAGTGATTGGGAGGAAGGCTCCATCCGCAACCATAATCGTATCATTACCTTCGTAAGGGGTAGATGTCTGAAGATTCTCTTGGGAAGCGGTGACATGTGTGGATGCATCGGAGTCCGGATACCACTCCTTCCCTGTGACATCAGACGACTGGAGAGTGGAGAACACCTGAGCTGGATCTTGACCCTGGTAGTTATTGTCAAAGCGGTTGTAACACTTTGCAGCTGTGTGTCCAGTCCTGCCACAGATTTGACACACAGGGCGTTCTCCAGATGGATTGGGGTTCGTCTGATGTTGAGAGAATCCACGACCACGGGACATATAGCCACCTCTGCCACCACGCTGACCATAACGACCTCTGCCACCTCTGTAATTTTGATTGTTGTTCTGAGGGCCTTGCTTATAACTCCCATTGTACTGTGGCTGCTCGGTGTTGAAGGCAAGATGTGTGTTGCTTGCTTCAGCTGCTGCATACGCCTGAAGTTTGATGTCATAAGCTTGAATCTCCGTAACCACATCGTTGTAGGATGGTGGATTTGGCTTGGAGAGATCCCTTTGTATACCAGAGGAAACTGGATCGTATTCCTTGCCAAGGCCATTGAGAAATCCAAATATCTTCAATTCCTCTTCAACTGGTTTCCCAATAGCTGCTAAAGCATCACAGATTGATTTCAGTTCTCTGCAATAAGCCGTTAAAGTTTTCCCCTTTTTGGTGAGAAACTGAAATTGACGCTTAAGAGCAAACTGTCGAGCGAGGGAGCTCTGATTGAAGTGATCCGCGAGAGATAACCAGACCTCACGGGACGTCGCGAGATTGTGAACCACGCCGAGGACTTCCTCAGACAAGGTACCAAATAACCAAGATCTGACCAACTGGTCAGTACAGAACCACGCGTCAACATCGGGTTTGGCTCCAGTGTGGGGACACCACCAACGACGACCGTATGAGTGGTCGGAGGAGCAGCAATCGAACCATTGACGAAGCCGACAAGCTTCTGGCTGGACAGGAGGGACTCGAACTGCGTCTTCCAAAGCAAGTAGTTGCTATCGGAGAGCTTGAGCGTCACTGAGCTCAGGACATGAACATTGCTCGGAAACGGGTAAGGGGACAATGGATCTGCCATTCTTTCGCCTGTTAGAGCTTGGAAGAACGAAGCTTTACTGAAATTTTCACTTTATTTCCGATAACGTTCATTTACAGAGGACAAACATATTTATAGACTTTACATAAGATAAGATCTTAACTATACGGTGCCTTAGCTGTCTCTTTTATCCAAATCCTTAGCTGTCATTAGTAACGACAGCAGAGCTTCAAAGCGATTATCTTTGAGCATCTTTTCTTCCTTCTTTCTCTCATTCAAAGTATCCGTTGCAGAGTTTGTCGTCACTTGAGGTTTCAAACTGAGCTTGGACTTTTCTCCATCTTGAGCTTTACCAACATCATGACCCAAGCTTACACACTCACCAACAATTTGCACAGTTAATGTAGAATACTAAAAAACTCTATTTTAAGTATTTAGCTTGTGATTTGTAACCCGTTCAAGTGAAATGCAAGTCTATTTTAAGAATGAAAAAAGCCAATATCTAAAAATATAGCTTTCGATGTGTAATTTTTTAATTTTCTGTTAAAAATTGAATCAGTCATCTACTAATTCTGTAGATTTTACCAAAGAGTTAAATTGTCAAATTATCACTTCTATCATTTTTATAAATCACAAAAGAAATAATAGTTTGCATGAACGGTTAAGATTGAAATTTCAACACACGTGTTTAGTTATAACTTATCACACGATGCATCCATTTCTCTCTTCTTGTTCTGTTTTAAGGTTTCTAAATCTCATTTTTTTTTCTTCCTTAAAATTTTCTCAGAAACATCTCCGTCATTTGTTCCTCAGTTTCTATCAATCCGCACGGTTCCTCAGGCACTGTACTGGGAAAATCTCTGTCTCTTTTTTTTTTTTCTCCACCATTCTCTCACTCCCCAAAATCCAGTAACTCTTTTTCTTATTTTATTTTAGGTTTTCTTTCTGATTTCAATTGTATTTTTTCGTTTTTTTCTTCTAAATAGTTATGTAATTCCAGGTAAGATCATCAAAGATTCATCAGGAAAAGGGTCTCGAACGATCAGGTTATATTTCTTAATCATTTCTGAAATTTCTCGTTTTTATATTTCTGAATTTTCTTAATGAGATTGATTTAGCTGAAAATTGATATAATTTTCAGTTTTGAAAAAAATAGTTAAAAATAAATGATGTCATAATCATGGTTTCTTTGAGGATGTTGATCTGATCTGTTCAATTCTAGGATGATCTGAAATACTAAATGCCGCAACTTTTGTTTCTTGTGTTCAAAGCTAAAACCATGTTCGTGTTTCTTGTGCTGCAAGATTCGAGTAATTGTTAGTCTTGTATACCATTTGTCTTTGTTCTGACAATATGTATCAATTCCATTTTTCAATTTTGACAGTATTGATCTCGAGAGAGAATGGCTTCAACACCTTGTGCAGCTTGCAAGCTCTTGAGGAGAAAATGCACCCAAGAATGTGTCTTTGCGCCATATTTCCCACCAACACAGCCTCAAAAGTTTATCTCTGTGCACAAAGTCTTTGGAGCAAGTAACGTAACCAAGATCCTCAACGATCTCCCACCCGCAAGCCGTGAAGACGCTGTTAATTCCCTCTTCTATGAAGCCGAGGCCCGTATCCGTGACCCAATCTACGGATGCGTTGGTCTCATCTCTTTCTTACAACAATGTCTAAAGAAAATCCAACAAGATCTTGTCACTGCTAAAGAAGAGCTTGCAGGTTACATAGGACCCGATGCTATGATTTCGCAACCAGCTTATCTTCCTCCTTTAGGCAACAATCCTCCACCTAATTTCATGATGGCTATGGAAGGAATGCCACATGGAGTGATCCCTCAAGGAGAACCATTGATCATGTCTCAGCATCAACAACAACATCAACAACACCAAACGCAACAACAAGATGAGCAGTTACAGCTCATGGCTTCTGATGCACAGAGAATGGCTGCAATGATTTTGGACAGAGGAGATCATCAACAAGGGATGTTCAATGGCTATGGAATAGACAACAATGGTTCGGTCACAGCCACGGGTTATAACCAGATGGATGTGAATGATCACGCTGGTGGTGGTTCGTTTTCTGGACCATCTCTTGCTTTAGGAAGCTTTGGTGAGGCTTATCAAATGGGTCAAGAGACAGAGAATCATCATATAAACCATGATCATCAGCTTCAGACACAGCTTATGCTTCAGCCTCCTTTACAAGAGGGTCAAGAGCAAAATGAAGGACAGTTTCTCATGCAACCAATGGGAGAAGAGAATCTTAATGAAGAGGAGGAGGAAGAAGAGCTTGAGCCTCCGGTTAAATGGAGGAAATCTGAAAACAAGGAAGCTAGTTATTAAAAGACCAATTTGCATTGAGAAGACATTTTCATTTGTTAGATGGTTACTCTTGAGCATCTTAATTTATTTTTTAATTAATAACACAAGTCAGAAGAGATTGATGAATGATTTACCGGTTGAGATTGGATATTTATTTGACTTCGAGATCCATTAACTAGGGTTAAAGAATAAATAAGGATCGAAAACTAGGAGAATTCTTGAATGACGATGATCTGTAACGTATAAATATAAATATTGCTACACAAGTAACAACATATCAGAGTGGCGCAGCGGAAGCGTGGTGGGCCCATAACCCACAGGTCCCAGGATCGGAACCTGGCTCTGATAAGGAGTGGCTTCCGATTCATTTTATTTTTTTATTCGTTTATTTTACTCTGGGCTGGATTCGGCCTACAAACACATTTACACATCAACTTGCTCGGCCCATCAACTTTTACGAATATGTACCCCACTGAGGAATTATAAATTTAGAAACTGTAAATTTAAAAAATTTAAGTCACAGTGTCTACTTTTTCTTGTAAAAGGTAAGCGACAGGTAGAAGAAATCTACTCAAATTTGTTTACATTTACACATGGAACACATTTACTTTTGTAGATTTAAAAGACAGGTGAAATCTACCGTGTTTTTTTCACTTGCTCGCACATTTACTTTTATGGATTACAATTACAAAGACAGGTAAAAATCTACTGTGTTTTCTTTACTTTCTCCTCTGTACCATGCTGTAACTTATTCTTCATCATTAAAATCTTCTCACGAGTGTTACCATACGCTCCTTTCGATCTCTCTTTAAGATTAGTTGATAGGCTCTGTATTCGATCTCCATTTCTCTCCCACAACTTTGGAAGTGTTAAGCCGATCACCAAACCTGTAATCACCATAGAACCAAGCAAGCAAGCAAAACACTGAATCACATCTACTTGATACCATCTTTATAAAGATCACTTTCGATTAGCATATATGATATATACATCTACTAGTTACGTACCGATGAAGAGGAAAGTATGAAAATCGAGAAGGTTCCCAATTCTTGACAAGACCCAAAGACCCAAAACGGTTCTCGCGAACACAAACCATTCATTTTCAGCACCGACTCGGAACATCCATCTAACCATTTCTTCCATTAACTTCCGAAAAGACCTCACCGTTTCCACTACAAACTCCTCCGACACCTCTAACCCCGACAAATCCGGTTCGACCCTGTCCGAAAATTGTTAAACACAAAAAACATTTGAATTAGTATCTTTTTTTTTTATAGTCATATTTTAATACTCCAAAACATATGAATATCTTTAAGATAAGGCTCTACCCAAAACATAGACCTTTTTTTTTAGCATGTGCAACAACTGGTGGATATTCGAATAAACATTATACAATTAAAGGTTTTTTTTTTTCCTAGAAGAAAATCTTTAAAATTTCCTTTTTAAAAAAAATAAAAGATTTGCATAGAGATTTCAAATATTTTAAGACATGAAATTAATTACTTGCTGAGAAGGCGAAGTAAATTCCCCCAAAGGAAGAACAAAGAGATGATGGCGATGGCTGTCCAAGAAACAATGGTTACAGAACTGAAACCGTAAATATTGAGCAAAGCCCATGTCGCCGTTGAGAGAGAGAGTATAGAGAAGGCGAGTTTCTTCCTCCTCCATAAGTAAATATCCTCCACAACATCTTCGATGCAATTCATGAAACATAACAAGAAAAATCATATTTAAGGAAAACATAAAATCAGATATAATTTGCAGAGAATTTTGTTCTTTCTTTCCATTTGTTTCTTAATTTTCCTTACCAGATTCGAGTGATGGATTTTTGGTCACGTCGTTGGCCATGGCTGTTAGGATAATTCCTGGTAGACGGAAACGATCGAAAATAGAAAATTATAGCTTACGACGAAATATATTAGATATAACTGTGTATATGAGAAAAAATGTTCATTACATTAGTCCTTGATGTAACACGTCGTGGTGAAATTTGGTGACGTGTAAGCCATGCATGCATGGTTGATATGTGTTGCTTTGAATGGAAACTATGTTGGACGATTCGATAAGGAGAAAATGAGATGATGGCTTAAATAAGCCATCAGACATGTTGATCGGATAGTAAATTTGATTACCGATAGAGTTTTTGAAAAATTATGTAGAATCTTTTTGCCCTTTTGGATTCTAAACTAGTTCATCCCTAGCAAAGTAGCTATAATTTGCCAAATTAAAAATAAATGTTTTTGCAATATGGTGTAAGAAATTAAGGAAAAAATGGAAAATATCTCAACTGATAAACAAATATAAAATTAATTTTAGCATTCGGCATAAACATATAGAAGACTAGTATAAAATAAAAATTTAAGTGACAAAAAGTGCAAGATAAACTTTGATCCAACAAACTCTAATTAAAAAGTCTAAAAATCAAAAGGAAAATTTGGAAAAAACAATTATGTTAGTTACGTTAGTGATAGTAGTGATAATAACGATGATAATAGTGGTGACAGTGATATTATATTTATTTTGTACAGTGTAAATATAAATGTATAATTAAAAATTTCCAAATTTATTTACGAGAGCAACATGGAATAACCGAGCTTACTGGTGACGCATATATGTATGATACTGATTGATTAAAAACTTTGCTTTCCCCATGTGATCTTTTAGTGGTGTCTCGTGACAGTTATTGTATGCAGAAGCAAGTCGTTTTTTTAGTAGTTTCTATGTATTTTAAGCAACTAATATCCTGGTCTCATTAATTGTAAATACATAACTTACCAAATTTTGTTTTGCAAACGAAGTTATATTACTGGCAATTTAGCTTGTTAAGAAGTCAATGAACGGAGAGGAATTTTCCTATTCTTAAATTAAGATGGAGATCAAGAATAGTTCGAGTTCAACAGTTCATACATTTTGGTACTAAAATTAAAAGAGTATAACAAAATATATTGCTGAAAAATGCAACAGAAAACAAATATTTTTTTCTTACTTTACCGAAATGGCATGAAGTACGGCGCAAAAGAGCATTGCTGGCTTTGTGTACATGGGGATTCACAACCACTCTGGCATATGAACTTACTTCCTCACTTCCATTGATTCCTTACTCACTTAGTCACTTGTATTTAAGATTAACAACCTTATGGTTACATCTCAAGAACAGTATCAAACTCTCTCTTCATCTCAAAAGCACTTAAATTGTTCAAATTCCAAACAATGAAGCAGAGAAATCTTTTGCTTCTAGGCATCTTATTTGCTTATTGCCTAGGTTCTGCTTTGGTGATAAATGCAGAGGACCCTTATCTTTTCTTCACTTGGACTGTTACTTATGGAACCAGATCTCCCTTAGGTGTTCCTCAACAGGTTAATACACTGTTCTGACTCCTTTTCTCTCTTTATTTTATTTAAATACCTGTTAATTAATTATTATAATTCAATGTTTGGATATTGTATTTCAGGTTATTCTTATCAATGACCAGTTCCCTGGTCCTCCAATTGAAGGTACAACAAACAATAACATTATTGTTAATCTAATTAACAAGCTCGACGAACCTTTCCTCATTACCTGGTACGTACAATTCATCCTATATTCACATGATAAAATGGGTAATACCGCATATTTTGGAATATGGAAGAAAGTTGCGATATGATCAAACGTATCCACACAATTGTGTAGGAACGGAATTAAACAGAGGAGGATGTCGTGGCAAGACGGAGTTTTAGGAACAAACTGTCCGATCCAACCAAACTCGAACTGGACTTACCATTTTCAACTCAAGGACCAAATCGGTACTTATACATACTTTGCTTCGACGTCGATGCACAGAGCAAGTGGTGCTTTTGGTGCACTCAATGTTTACCAGAGATCGGTCATATTCCTTCCTTACCCTAAACCAGACGCTGACTTCACTCTCCTCGTCAGTGATTGGTACAAGATGGGCCAAAAGGTAAAAAACAAAACCTAAAAACACGAGTTAACTTGTTCCTCAAGCAATCAATATACTTTTAGGGTTTAACATTTCTGCCTCTCCCTATTTCCCTTGACAGGAAATGCGAAAGAGGCTCGACTCGGGTCGTAATCTTCCTCTTCCAGACGGTCTTCTCATCAATGGAGTTTCTAAAGGTTTAATATTTACCGGTCAACATGGTAAATCCTCATCACCAAGAACCAGTTTTTTTTTCCACAAACTATACTCTCAGTTCTTGGATCTCTTTATTGATGTTATGTTTTTATTTTCTCTAAAGGCAAGATATACAGGTTTCGGATATCGAATGTCGGTATATCAACATCGATTAACTTTAGGATACAAGGACATATGATGACTCTCGTCGAAGTAGAAGGCTCTCACACTCTGGAAGAAGTCTATGAATCGCTTGACGTGCATGTTGGCCAGTCCCTGACCGTTCTGGTTACTTTGAAAGCGCCAGTGAAGAACTACTTCATCGTGGCTTCAACTCGGTTTACCAAACCGGTATTGACCACCACAGCAACCCTCCGTTACCAAGGCTCCAAAATTGGACCATCTCGTCCTCTCCCTATTGGTCCAACTTACCATGTCCACTGGTCCATGAAACAAGCAAGAACCATCAGGTAATTTTTACAATTTGATCACACTGAACAAACCAAACCGAACTATTTGGTACGTTCTTTTGAAGCAATTCATATTCGGTTCGATTTATATGTCAACACCTAATTTGAAAGGTGAATTTAGGTTAAATTTGACGGCGAATGCAGCAAGGCCTAATCCTCAAGGAGCGTTTCACTTCGGTACTATACCGATTAGTCGAACTTTAATTCTAGCTAACGGAAGAGCGACGATCAACGGGAAACTCCGGTACACGGTGAACCGTGTGTCGTACGTTAACCCGATAACTCCTTTGAAATTAGCCGATTGGTACAATATTCCCGGTGTGTTCAATTTCACGACCATTAAGAACATTTCTACACCTGGACCCTCCGTTCTTGGAACTTCAGTCTTCGACGTTGCTCTTCATGAGTACGTTGAGTTCGTGTTCCAGAACAACGAGAGATCTATCCAATCTTGGCACATTGACGGCAGTAACGCCTACGTTGTTGGGTAACAGGCCATGATTCTTTGATCTCTTTCTCTATTGCTATCTATCGACCAAGATTTAGATCTTTCATTTCATTTATTGATCAGTTTTTGACATATAATCAGATACGGGACAGGCACATGGAACATAGCCATGAGGAAACGTTACAACTTGGTTGATGCTGTTTCAAGGCACACTTTTCAGGTCAAATCTAAAAACCAACATAGATAGATACTTTTGATTTTCAAGCACAAGAAAATTGAGCTAGTTTGCCTAAAGCCCAAAACATTTCTCTTGAGTCTAACCTAACATGCCGAAAGAAAACCAAAATGTTACCCCTTAATTACCATTTTCGTAAATTTTCTATTGCTATTTGGAGATTGAAACAACACTTGGAATCTATAACACATCTAGTAAATATATAAACGGTGTCTATTGACTATTATGTACATATAGGTGTATCCAATGTCGTGGACGAGCGTATTGGCATCACTAGACAATAAGGGAATGTGGAATGTGAGGTCACAAATATGGTCAAGGAGATACTTAGGACAAGAACTCTATGTTCGTGTTTGGAACAATGAGAGGTCTATCTACACCGAAGCCGAGCCTCCTCTTAATGCTCTCTTCTGCGGAAAAGCCAAACGTCCCGTTTGATCTAGATTAATAATATCTTATCATATCGTTGTATTTCACTATTGTGTTTGTTTGTTCCCTTATATATTTGAGGTTATTGTTAATTAGGTCACGAGGGTGTGACGTGACGTCTAAGATAAAGACACTTCTGTAAGTTAGAGTGATCGCTTTTCAATTCACGATGGTAACGACTTGTAAGTTGTAACCCAAATCAAGATAAGAAAATATGACTTTTCTCTTTTGACGATTTGGAATTCAACTAACAAGAAAAAAATATCTTTTTCATCGATGACGACTTTGTTAACAAGAATTTGCTCTACGTGGGCTCCATTATACGAATTATTGGCGTCCAAATATGACATCTTAAATGTAGTCTTGTTTGATTTGATGACTCACATTGAGCATCTTCAGAATAGTTGATATGTTTATCGAGGCTCTAGACAATTTTTAAGAAAAAAAAAATAACTACCCACTTGTCTTTTAGATTTATAGTCTAAATGTACATTTTATTTTGATTATAGTTTTGGAAAACAATCTCATAGATTGAAGCAACATTTGTATTTAGAGCTAAAAAACGACCAAAATTGAAGCGAAATTTATATAAAACGTTTTTGATTACGAAAAATACACACTAATTTTCTATGTATATTTTCAATGAGAAATCTTGTTGCAAAACTGAATCTAAAGAAAGCGAAAAGCAAACGTATTTTGTATAGACAATGAAACTGATGATGATCATATCCTACCTCACCAGTTGTTCAGCTGCCTATATATAAATCACATGTCAATTTGTATCGTTGACGTTGAGTCGAGTAGGTCCCCACTCGACATTTGTTTGGACTTATAAATCTTCTTTTTTCTTTAAACAAACTTTTCTTGCCTTTATTGTTCCATTTATACAAGTTTCGATCGCATTCAAAACCAACATTTATTTCGAACAAATTTTCGTCAGTCCTGTTTTTTCTTCTTTTGAACGGTCCTCCAAAATATGGCTGTAATTTATTAAATTTTATATCAACAAAATGATTTAATTGTTAACATATACAGTATTGATTTTTTTTTTAATTATCAAATAGTATTGGCTAATCAGTTAAAACACATATAATCATATATACTCTTAAACACATGTTTTTTAATTTGACACCGTTCATACGTTTCTGTTTTATCAAGCTAACGGTCTGTTAAGATACAGGTGTAAGGCTTTCATGATATGTTGTTTGTTTACACTACTAAATAGGAATAGTTAAATAGTAGTACATTATTATTCAGATCGAGAATCAAAAAGTCTGTATATTTTTTTTGAAAAATATTACTTAGTTGGTGTATTTTAAGTTAAATGATTAATGACCAAGTCTGTTAGTTAGCTGGATGATAATGACAACTCAATAAAATATCAGGGTTAACAGTTCCATACAGTTATAAAATATCAGGAGTATATTACTAGCTCATAAGTCATAAGTATTATTGAGCTTTTTGGATCGGCAACATATAATGTGTATTTGTTATATTGGTTGATGATAAACGCTAAGTTAATTAAGAGGAAACATTGTAATCGTGATTAGCACTCACCATAATCCTTCATACCGAAGCGACATTAAAGAAAAATAGAAAACATTTCCACACACTATAATTCTTCCTATTTATATTGTCTGCGTATGAGTGAGGAGAGTAAGAAAAACAAAAATCAAAAGTCAGAAGAATGAGTGAAACTAAAAGAAAACAACACTTTGTGTTAGTACATGGTTCCTGCCATGGCGCGTGGTGCTGGCATAAGGTTAAGCCGCTGCTTGAGGCGGCAGGGCACCGTGTAACCGCCTTAAACTTATCTGCCTGCGGGATAGATATGACTAAGTCGATCACTGAAATCTCCACATGCGAACAATACACCGAGCCATTGTTGAAGCTCCTAAACTCATTGCCAAGTGATGAGAAGGTTGTGCTCATTGGTCATAGCTTTGGAGGCTTGAGCTTAGCGATGGCCATGGATAAGTTTCCTGACAAGATCTCTGTCTCTATCTTCTTGACTGCTTTCATGCCCGACACCAAAAACTCACCATCCTTCGTCTTGGACAAGGTATTTCGTTTTTTTTTTTAATACTTTGTTTTTATTGGTATATCAAGAAAAAGGTTCATGTCGATCGTGAACGTCTCTTTCTTTAGGGACCAACACTTCCTTGATTTGTCTTCTCCAGTGTCCATGGCCCGTAATTTTGAGCAAATGTTAGACAGATTTCCTTTTTGGAGCTTTCGTTTGAACATCTTTTTCTTACTTTGGAATCTACTATTAGAAATCTTTATGTGGTCTGTATGCGATAACCATAGTTCATGTATTGCCAATCTAATGTTCATATTGACTCTTCTTTCTTTTTATTGAAAAAGCAGACGTCCAATGACTTTTCATATCTAGCCAAAATCAAATTTTATCTCATAGTTCTTATAACTTTCTAATCAAAAGACTTTTCATATATAGCCAAAATCAAAATTTATCTCATAGTTCTTATACTTTCTAATCAAAATTAACTATTTTTTTTTGTTCACATCTTATTTTCGATATGAAATTTCTAAGGTAATCTCTTTACAATGGTTTTTCCGAGTTTTAACCCATCTTAAACTAAATCTCAGTCTAAGAGTAGGATCAATGATATATTTAATATATTCTTGTATATTTTATTGCATTAAACTCAGGAAAACATAACTCTGAGTTTAAATTTTCTTTAATTACGTAAAAGTTTGGAAGCACCATGCCACTAGAAGCATGGATGGGCACCGAATTCGAACCATATGGTTCAGACAATTCCGGGCTGAGTATGTTCTTCAGCAATGAGTTCATGAAGCATGCTCTCTACCAACTTTCTGCTGTTGAGGTGATTTCATTATCTTCAACAATGAGTCCTAGGGAACGGATACAAAAATTTGATGTTTATTTATGCTCTTGTAATCTTGTTTTAGGATCTTGAACTTGGATTGATTTTAAAGAGGCCTGGTTCGTTGTTTATGAGCAACTTATCGAAAGAGAAGAACTTCTCAGATAAAGGATATGGATCTGTTCCTCGAGCTTACATAGTGTGCAAAGAGGACAAAGGCATTCCGGAGGAATTCCAAAGATGGATGATTGATAATTTTCCGGTGAATTTAGTGGTGGAAATGGAGGAGGTAGATCATATGCCAATGTTCTGCAAGCCTCAGCAACTCTGCGATCACTTCATGGAAATCGCAGACAAATTCGTTTAAATATCTTGATGAAAACGTTTTGGACTTGATTAATAAGTGCTTATTGCAAATGAATAATAATGTATCTTTTTAAAGTTTCACACATTGTTTCTTTTCTTTTCTTTGAACAAACTTTGTTCCTTTTTGTGTTGTAACCACTACACACAAAAAACAAGTTATTTGCAATAGAAAATTCTATGGTAATATCAAAATCTACAAAAAAATATTTTATCTACGGTTTTCCTCTAAAATAAACAAGTTATGTAACTGTTAACCTGCTTTAACTCGTGACGAGTCCTAATATAATGACATTTCAAAATTATACTTTCGCTTTTAAAAGGTGTCTTATCCAAATGTGCTGTTTCTGGCCAAACAAAATCCAGAAAATAATTATTATAAGTACTGAATAGACGAAACCGACATCTACGGAATTAAAATAATCTAAAGTTCTCTTTATTATATATATGTTGTATGTGGTGTGGTGTGGTAACTGGTATGGGTGTGAACATTAAACAGCACAAAATCAAAAGCTTTTTCGTTGAAACACAAAATCAAAAGTAAAACAAGAAAATGAGAGAGGAGAAGAAGCAGCAGCACTTCGTGCTAGTACATGGTGCGTGCCACGGCGCATGGTGCTGGTACAAGCTTAAGCCACTGCTCGAGGAAGCAGGCCACCGCGTGTCCGTCTTTGACCTAGCTGCTTCCGGTATAGACACAACCAGGTCGATCACTGAGATCTCCACATGCGAACAGTACTCTGAGCCATTGATGAGGCTCCTAAACTCATTGCCAAGCGATGAGAAGGTTGTGCTCGTTGGTCATAGCTTTGGAGGTTTGAGTTTAGCCATGGCCATGGATAAGTTTCCTGACAAAATCTCTGTCTCTGTCTTTGTGACTGCTTTCATGCCTGATACCAAACACTCACCATCGTTCGTCATGGATAAGGTATCTAGTTTTCAACCACCAAATACTCTTTTGTTGTTGTTGTTTAGAACAAAATCCTCGTGAATTGAAGTTTAAACCGAGTTAATTATAGTGTATTTTAGTAATTAAGGACATTCAATTGAAAATTAATTAGCAACAAGTGAATGGACTTAACTATGTCATTATATGGTTGTTTTTGAACAAGATTCTATAACACTAGCAACTTTATTATTTTGTTCTTTGATTATAATTATTTTAGGGTTAATTTGGTGAATAATCATATTGGGAAAATATTAAGAATATAGCCATTACAAATGTTTGGCTATGATACATAAATATATTCACAAAAAACTTACCTATATTAACCCTAAAAAATACTATACTATTTATTGTTGTTGTAGAACAAAACTTCTACTAGATATTTAGAGATTTAGAGTAATTTTTGAGTTTAGGGTTTACATATTGGTTTTATGATTTATATTTTAGGTTTTAGGTTTAGGGTGTAGAATCTAAAACCAAATAAAACCCAAATCCCAAAAATAATCTAAACACTAAAAAAAAATATAAACCCTAAACCCAAAATCTAAATCCTAAACTGAAAAAAAACTAAACCCTAAAACTATAATATAAACCCTGTTTTAAGAAAAAAAACTCTTAATCCTAAAACCCAAAATTTAAACCCTAAACCAAAAAAACTAAAATCCTAAACTGAAACCAAAATCCTAAACTAAAAATATAAACACAAACCTAAAATCAAAATACTAAACACAAAATGGAAATCCTGAATCTAAAAAAACTAAACCCTAAATGAGAAAAAGAAAACATGGTTCTATCCCATACACACACAAAAAATAGTATGGAATTGATTTTTATGTATAAAAGAAGAAGGACAAAATTGGTATTATTGTATAAAATATACTTTGTACTCTAGCCAAGAGTTTGATATGGTTAGTTTGTTAATTTTGGTTGCCAATATGATTATTGATTATAATTTTCCATTATTTTACGTCTATGAAAACTAAAGATTTTTTCTTTTTAGAGAATGTTTGTCCAAACCACAAATCTACGTCCTACACCTATAAGCAAGCTATAGTAGTGTGACCCATGATGTATACATTTCCATTTTTTTATCTTTATTATTTGTGGTCACAATTTATATTTCCAATTTTGGAGTCTTTATAATTTGTGTTGTATATACTATAACGTAACGTATATGTGGGCACAAATGAGTTTATTACTTTAATTTCATATATTTTATTGAATGTCCAAGTAGTGTACTATCACAGTGGTTAGAGTTTTACCAACCATATCATTCTAAGATTTGATTTTGTTCTCTTCTTGATTAATTTGCATCTAACTAAAAAAATAACTCCGAATTCTAACACTTTTAATCACTTTAAAAGTTTGGACGAGACATGCCACCAGAAGCATGGTTAGGCAGCAAGCTCGAACCGTACGGCTCAGACAACTCCGGTGTGTCTATGTCCTTCAGCAATGAGTTCATGAAGCATGCTCTCTACCAACTCTCTCCTATTGAGGTAAATTTAATTCATCATCATCATCATCATCATCATCATCACAAAATGATAATACTCATGTATATGGTAATCTTGATTGTAGGATCTTGAACTTGCATTGCTTCTAAAGAGACCCGGATCATTGTTTATGAACGAGTTATCAAGGGTAAAGAACTTCTCGGACAAAGGGTATGGATCTGTTCCTCGAGCCTTCATTGTTTGCAAAGAGGACAAAATAATCACAAAAGAACATCAACGATGGATGATTGAGAATTATCCGGCGAATATAGTGAAAGAGATGGAGGAGACTGATCATATGCCAATGTTTTGCAAGCCTCAACTACTAAGTGATCATCTCGTCGAAATCGCAGAAAAAATCGCTTAAACTATCCTTTGATGAAAAATGTTTTATGTATTTGATACAAATAAGTGTTTGTTACAAATGAATCTTTCTATAAGTTTAAGGCTCTATCGCTTTCTTATGGTTAAAATAAAAGAAAACAAACAGTCAATGAAGTGTTGGTTTAGAGAATGACTAAAAACTAACAGTCAATATACAAAATGAGTATATGGGTGAAACTTACTGTCTATATAAGTGTTGAACCAAGATTTTCACAAAGTAAAGAAGGCGATGGAGGAAGAGAACAAGAAGCGGTTTGTGCTCGTCCATGGGCTCTGCCACGGTGCGTGGTGTTGGTACAAAGTGAAAACGCAGCTAGAGGCTGCAGGGCACTCTGTGACCGCGGTGGATCTAGCAGCATCGGGTATAGACATGACAAGATTGGAAGAGATTGAGACTTTGAAGGATTACTGCAAACCGTTGCTTGAGTTTCTGAGCTCGCTTGGCTCAGATGACGAGAAAGTGATTCTTGTTGCTCATAGCATGGGAGGGATATCAGCTGCTCTTGCTGCTGACATCTTCCCTTGGAAGATAGCTGCGATTATCTTCTTGACTGCTTTCATGCCTGACACAAGAAACCCACCTTCTTATGTTTTTGAAAAGGTACATACATAAACATGATGATTTGGTTGCAGGGGAGATGATCTCTTACCGAGTGATTCTGATATAGTTTACTGAAATCTGCAGTGGTACAGTAGCATTCCACCAGAAGTATGGTTGGATACTCTGTTTGGGAGGTACGGTGAACCTGATTATTCTCTAGAGTTTGCTCTTTTGGGACAAAAGTTCTTGGCCAATTATGCATATCAACTCTCTCCAGTCCAAGTAAGACTCCAAACCTCTACTTTCAAAACCTTAACTCAATGTTTTATTGATTGTTGTTGTGGCGTGTTTAGGATCTTGTATTGGCGAAGATGATGATGAGGGTAAACCCGATAGTTACGATCAATCTGGCAGGGACAAGAAGCTTCAGTGAGGAAGGATATGGATCCGTTAAACGTATATATATTGTATGTGGACAGGATCTTGTGGAACCTGAAGATTACCAGCGTTGGATGATCAAGAACTTTCCAGTGAACGAAGTGATGGAGATCAAAGATGCAGATCATATGGCAATGTTCTCCAAGCCTCGAGAACTCGGTGATCTTCTCTTGGAAATTTCAGATAGATATGCATAAACAAACGTGAAATCGTCGTCACTGCAACAATAAGCCATATGAACAATGTATGCCTTAAGAAACCTGCAATAGTCTCTACAATATTGGTTCTGAAGTTCAGCTTCAACCACAACAATAAATATGAACAATGTATGCCTTAAGAACCCTGCAATAGTCTCTACAATATTGGTTCTGAAGTTCAGCTTCAACCACAACAATAAGCAATATGATAATACATTCATAAGAGTGGTTATAAACAAGATTCCTTGGAGAATGAAGTGAATTGCAATCTATTTAACTGAACACAGAGGTAACATGAAACATCACTGAAACCAGTTTGGCAGAGAACAGAGGAGAATCATTAATTAAGCCTCTCTCTTTACTCCATAAAAAATAAACCAGAAAGATTCATTACACAATCATACTAATGGAAATTTCTTGAATCTTGAGAAGAAACAACTATTCAGCATCTTTAAGAGAATAAAAAAACAAAAGCCTTAATCTTTCCAGCATCTAGCAACTATCACCTGACAAGTACACGCCCCAAAGGCAAAAATAATCTAGGGAATATAGTCTAAGTCACAGCCAAATTTATCTCTTTTCTCATAAATTTACAGTCTTTTAGCCGTGTGGATCTCTGCTTTACTTTTCTCTCTCACACTATTGAGAAGAAAAGAAAAGTCTCCAATGTTAAAGATCGAAAAAGAAGAAGAAGACAAAATTGGATTATGCAATACCTGATTCAGAGTTAAGGGAGTAAAAGAAGAATGTTTGTACCTAGAGCTTTGTCAGTTTATAGACAACAAGAACTACTTTAAAATGAATAAAAAAGGAAGAATTTTCAATATACTAACCGTTTATATATGAGTTGAACCAAGATTCTGAAAGCAAGACAATGGAGAAGGAGAAACAGAAGCAGTTTGTGCTTGTCCATGGGCTCTGCAACGGAGCGTGGTGTTGGTACAAAGTGAAAGTGATGCTGGAGGCTGCAGGTCACTGCGTGACCGCAGTGGATCTGGCTGCATCAGGTATAAACATGACCAGACTGGAAGAGATTCAGACTTTGAAGGATTACTCCAAACCGTTGCTTGACGTTCTGAGCTCGCTTGGGTCGGATGAAGATAAGGTGATTCTTGTTGCTCATAGCATGGGAGGAATACCTGCTGCTCTTGCTGCTGACATCTTCCCTCGTAAGATCGCTGCTATTGTCTTCGTGACATCTTTCATGCCCGACACAAGAAACCCACCGGCTTATGTTATAGACAAGGTACAGAAAAACCGATGATTTCAGTTGCACGGTATGATGATCCCTTCTGAGTGTTTCTGATATCTGAATGAAAGTTACAGCTGAGAAGCACTTCACAAACGGATCGGTTGGACACCGTGTTAGGAGTCTACGGGAGACCTGATCGTCTTTTAAGGTTTGCTCTTGCCGGACCAAAGTCCATGGCTAAGAATGCCTATCAACTCTCTCCAGTTGAAGTATGACTCCACGCTTTAACTAAGATCTCTTTTTTCTAACCGGAAATGGGTTTGCTAGTACTCTTTTGGTTGATTCTTGACTTGTGGCCTTTTAGGATCTTGTATTGGCGACAATGTTGGTGAGGGTAAACCCGGTGATCACGGACAATCTGGCAGGGACAAGAAGCTTCAGTGAGGAAGGGTACGGATCTGTTAATCGTGTGTACATCGTATGCGGAGAGGATAGAAGGATACCTGAGGATTACCAGCGTTGGATGATCAGCAACTTTCCGGTGAATGAAGTGATGGCGATCAAAGATGCAGATCATATGGCAATGTTCTCCAAGCCCCAAGAACTCTGTGGTCTTCTCTTGGAAATTGCAGATAGATATGCATAAACAAACGTGAAATCGTCTTCACTGCAACAATAAGCCATATGAACAATATATGCCAAAAGAAACCTGCAATAGTCTCTACAATATTGGTTACGAAGTTCAGCTTCAACCACAACAATAAGCAATATGATAATACATTCATAAGAGTGGTTATAAACAAGATTCCTTGGAGAATGTAGTGAATTGCAATCTATTTAACTGAACACAGAGGAAACCAGAAACATCACTGAAACCATTAAGCCTCTCTCTTTACTCTATAAAAAATAAACCAGAAAGATTCATTACACAATCATACTAATGGAAATTTCTTGAATCTTGAGAAGAAACAACTATTCAGCATCTTTAAGAGAGAAAAAAAAAAGCCTAAATCTTTTCAGCATCTACCATCTATCACCTGACAAGTGCAAGTCTCAAAGGAAAAAAAATAATCTAGGGAATATAGTCTTAGTCAGTGAGTCACAGCCAAATTTATCTTTTTTTTCTCAAAAATTTACAGTTATAGGTGGCTTATACTTCATCTAAGAAAAATATAAAGGAAAAAAAAGACTCTGAAATTTATCATGCACATTGTCTAATCGCAGCCAAATTTATCTCTTTCTCAGAAATTTACAGTCTTTTAGCCGTGTGGATCTCTGCTTTACTCTTCTCTCTCACGCTATTGAGAAGAAAAGTCTCTAATGTTAAAGAATAAAAGGAAGAAGAAGACAAAATTGGATTATGCAATACCTGATTCAGAGTTAATGAAGTAATACCAATAGCCTTGTCAGTTTCTAGACAACAAAAACTACTTTAAAGTGAATACAAAAAAAGCAGGACTTTTCAGCAGACTAACCGTTTATATATGTGTTGAACCAAGACTCTGAAATCAAAGAAGGCAATGGAGAAGGAGAACCAGAAGCAGTTTGTGCTTGTCCATGGGCTCTGCCACGGCGCGTGGTGTTGGTACAAAGTGAAAACGATGCTGGAGGCTGCAGGGCACTGTGTGACCGCAGTGGATCTGGCTGCATCGGGTATAAACATGACCAGACTGGAAGAGATTCAGACTTTGAAGGATTACACCAAACCGTTGCTTGACGTTCTGAGCTCGCTTGGCTCGGATGAAGATAAGGTGCTTCTTGTTGCTCATAGCATGGGAGGAATACCTGCTGCTCTTGCTGCTGACATCTTCCCTCGTAAGATCGCTGCTATTGTCTTCGTGACAGCTTTCATGCCGGACACAAGAAACCCACCTGCTTATGTTATAGACAAGGTACACAAAAACCGATGAAATGATCCCTTCTGAGTGTTTCTGATATCTGAATGAAATTTACAGCTGAGAAGCACTTCACAAATGGAATGGTTGGACACCGTGTTTGGAGTCTACGGGAGACCTGATCATCCTTTAAGGTTTGCTCTTTCCGGAACAAAGTCCTTGGCTAAGAATGCCTATCAACTCTCTCCAGTTGAAGTATGACTCCAAGCTTTAGTTAAAATCTCTTCTTTCTAACCTGAAATGGGATTGCTAGTAATCTTTTTGTTGATTCTTGACTTGTGACCTGTTAGGATCTTGTATTGGCGACAATGTTAATGAGGGTAAACCCGGTGATTACGGACAATCTGGCAGGGACAAGAAGCTTCAGTGAGGAAGGCTATGGATCCGTTACTCGTGTATATATCGTATGCGGAGAGGACATGACGATACCTGAAGATTACCAGCGTTGGATGATCAGCAACTTTCCAGTGAATGAAGTGATGGAGATCAAAGATGCGGATCATATGGCAATGTTCTCCAAGCCTCAAGAACTTTGTGCTCTTCTCTTGGAGGTTGCAGAAAAATATGCCTAAATAAACCTGAGATCTTCACTGCATATTAGTTACGAAATTCAGCTTCCACCACAATAATATGCCATATGTAAAAGATCTGGGAGACTTCATTATATACATGTACAAGATATAAGCAAATGATAGTACTCATGAATCATGATATGAATAAGAATGTAGGAAGAGGATAAGAAAAAATGATTTCTCAAATACATATGATACTGATACCAATTTGAGAGCATTTTCTATATGCAAAAAAACCTGAACATTGAATAGAGAAGAGGAAGATACCTCTCTACTCCATAAGATAACAGAGAAACCAGAAAGATCCATTATACAATCATAGTTTCTCAGTCTATCATCAGACACGTGCAAGAACAGAGGCTAACGAGACGATGTAACTAAACATACTCAGTCAGAAGTAGGTGAATTTGAGAATCTGGGTGAAGATGGTCCATTAGATAAGCACTCTACTTACATTGTGCAAAGAGAACAAAGCCATATAAAAAAAATATCAACAATGGATGATCAATAATTATTCTTTGATGAAAATGTAATTGTATTTGATACAGTTAAGTGTGTGCTCTAAACTGCATCTATTCAAAGGTTCATACGTTATTAGTTTCTAGGTTTTGAAAAAGAAAAAAACTAACAGTCAGTGTTGTGTTGGTTTAGCATTCTCCGGATCTCAGAGAGCGACCAAAAACTAACAGTCAAATATATAATATATGGTGGGAAACTAACCGTCTATATAAGTGTTGAGCCGGGAAGCTGAGAGTAAAGAAGGCAATGGAGAAGGAGAATCAGAAAAGGTTTGTGTTTGTCCATGGGCTCTGCCACGGTGCATGGACTTGGTACAAAGTGAAAGCACAGCTGGAGATGGCAGGTCACTGTGTGACCGCAGTGGACCTGGCTGCATCGGGTATAAACATGACCAGACTGGAAGAGATTCAGACTTTGAAGGATTACACCAAACCGTTGCTTGACGTTCTGAGCTCGCTTGGCTCAGATGAAGGTAAGGTGATTCTTGTTTCTCATAGCATGGGAGGAATACCGGCTGCACTTGCAGCTGACATGTTCCCTCGAAAGATCGCTGCTATGGTCTTCGTAACATCTTTCATGCCCGACACAAAAAACCCGCCGGCTTATGTTATAGACAAGGTACATAAAAACTTCAGTTGCACTGTATGATGATCCCTTCTGAGTGTTTCTGATATCTGAATGAATTTTACAGCTGGAAAGCACTTCACAACTGGACTGGTTGGACACGGTGTTTGGAGTCTACGGGAGACCTGATCGTCCTCTAGAGTTTGCTCTTGCCGGACCAAAGTCCATGGCTAAGAATGCTTATCAACTCTCTCCGGTTGAAGTATGACTCCAAGCTTTAAATAAAATTTCTTCTTTCTAATCGGAAATTGGTTTGCTAGTAAGCTTTTGGTTGATTCTTGACTTGTGGCCTGTTAGGATCTTGTATTGGCGAAGATGTTGGTGAGGGTAAACCCGGTAGTAACGGACAATCTGGCAGGGACAAGAAGCTTCAGTGAGGAAGGCTATGGATCTGTTAATCGTGTATACATTGTATGCGGAGAGGACATGATGATACCCGAGGATGACCAGCGCTGGATGATCAGTAACTTTCCACCAAAAGAAGTGATGGAGATCAAAGATGCAGATCATATGGCAATGTTCTCCAAGCCTCAAGAACTCTGTGCTCTTCTCTTGAAGACTGCAGATAAATATGCCTAAATAAACCTGAGACTGCATATTAGCTTCCATCACAATAATGAGTGATTTGGGTGACTACATTATACATGTACAAGAAACAAGCAAATGATATTATCGATTATATGTATAAGAATGTACGAAGAGGATAACAAACTACCTCAAAATTTCCTGTCAAATTATCAAATGATATTATTGATCAAACGCCAAAATATTACTATGGACTCGGCTTAGATCAACATATGTAATTTTTAAGAAGATTCCACGAGTTTACGAACTAAACAAAACTGATTTCTCCAAATCATATTTGATGACCGAAACCAATTTGAGTCTATATTCAACAAACCTGAACATTGGATAGAGAAGAGACACAAAATCTCTCTGCTCCATGCTATTCATTTCACAACCATAGCTTTTCAGCATCTATCCATAAGACAAATGCAAGAACTGAGGCCATTAATCTAGGCTAACGAGACACTGTATACTAAACATACTGTAATCTGAAGCAGGTGAATGGTCCATTTGATACTGTAATGTAGTGTCGTCTTATCATGATATCATCTGTGAACAAATATACCTATTCTACTTACATTTTTTCCACGAGCTTACACTGTGGGCAAAGAGAACAAAGCCATATCAAAGAAACATCAACGATGGATGATAGATATGGAAGATACAGATCATATGCCAATGTTCTGCAAGCCTCAACTACTATAAGATCATATCTTGGAAATAGCAAACAAATTCGTGTGAACAAATATGATGAAAATGTAGTTGTATTTGATACAATTAAGTGTGGGATCTAAAATGGATCTATCTAAGAGTCCAGACTCTATTGTTTTCTAGGCTGAAAAAAAAAACAAAAAAAACTAACAGTCAATGTTGTGTTGTTTTAGCATTCTCAAGATCTCAGAGAGCGACCAAAAACTAACAGTCAATATATACAAAGAGTACACGCGGGAAACTAACCGTTTATATAAGTGTTGAGCCAAGACGCTGAGAGTAAAGAAGGGCAATGGAGAAGGAGAACAAGAAGCGGTTTGTGCTCGTCCATGGACTCTGCCAAGGCGCATGGATTTGGTACAAAGTGAAAACGCTGTTGGAGGCCGCAGGACACAGTGTTACCGCAGTGGATCTGGCTGCATCGGGTATAAACATGACCAGGTTGGAAGATATTCAGACTTTGAAAGATTACAGCAAACCGCTGCTTGACGTTTTCAGCTCGCTTGGCTCAAAAGACGAAAAGGTGATTCTTGTTGCTCACAGCATGGGAGGAATATCCGCTGCACTTGCTGCCGAATGCTTCCCTGGTAATATCGCCGCCCTTGTCTTCTTGAATGCTGCCATGCCCGACACAACAAACCCACCTGCTTACGTTGTAGAAAAGGTACATCAATATTATGATTTGATTTCTTCCAAGTGATTCTGAAATCTCCCTGAAATATGCAGTTTGTCAGTAGCACTCCACGAGAGAAATGGTTGGACACCGTGTTTGGGACCTACGGGAGACCCGAATGCCCTCTAGAGTTTGCTCTTCTGGGACCAAAGTGCCTGGCCAAGATCTTTTATCAACTCTCTCCGCTCGAAGTATGACTTCAAGCCTAATAAAACTACCTACTTTCCAAACCAAAATGGTATTTGCAAGTAATCTTTTGTTGATTGTTGTGTGGCTTGTTAGGATCTTGTATTGGCGAAGATGTTGGTGAGGGTAAATCCGTTAGTCACCAACAATCTGGCAGGGACAAGAAGCTTCAGTGAGGAAGGATATGGATCCGTTACACGTATATTTATTGTAAGCGAAAAGGATCTTTTGGTATCTGAAGATTACCAGCGTTGGATGATCAACCTACTTTCCAAACCAAAATGGTATTTGCAAGTAATCTTTTGTTGATTGTTGTGTGGCTTGTTAGGATCTTGTATTGGCGAAGATGTTGGTGAGGGTAAATCCGTTAGTCACCAACAATCTGGCAGGGACAAGAAGCTTCAGTGAGGAAGGATATGGATCCGTTACACGTATATTTATTGTAAGCGAAAAGGATCTTTTGGTATCTGAAGATTACCAGCGTTGGATGATCAAGAACTTTCCGCCAAAAGAAGTTATGGAGATCAAAGATGCAGATCATATGCCAATGTTCTCAAAGACTCAAGAGCTCTATTGTCTTCTCGTGGAGATCGCAGCTAAATATGCCTAAATAAACGTGAGATCGTCACTGCAAATGAGTTGCTAACTTCAGCTCCTAGCACAATAATTATTAATAAGCCATATGATATAAGAATACATTTGTATGAGAACTAAGCAAGTGATGATATTTAAAAGAATGGTTATAGAAATAAGATTCATCACAGAACTTATTACATTGGGATCTCTTTGTATCTATCTATTGCAATATTTATCCCAACCAGCTCCTACCAAAGTAACACACACTGAAACCAATTTGGTAGAGCATTTTAACAAAACTGAACACTGGATAGAGAAAAGACTTAAAGCTTCTCAAGTCCATGATATTCTCTACAGATTAAAGAGAAACCAGAAAGATGAATTACACAATCATACTAACTTCAGAGCAATTTCTCGAACCTAGATAATAAACGAACAACTTTTCAAAGCTTTATGAGAAAGATAAAAAGTCAATAAATAAACCAGTTTAGTTTTTTTGTCAACAACATGCAATATGTTTGGTTGGAATTGGGACGGACAGGTTTGAACCAAAATAAAGTATAGTTTGTTGAATGCTGAGAGCCGATAAACCCAATTTTTGTTTCCATCTTAAGGCAGAACTTCTAAAGTCTAAATGGAGTGACAGATGTTCAATAAACTGTACAAATAATTGCTTACCGATATGGATCTTTCTAAAGTTTCAGACTTTATTGCTTTCTGTGATTAAATGCCACAGCTAACAGTCAATGTAGTGTTGGTTTAAAGTTCTCTGAATCTCAGAGAACGACAAAAAACTAACAGTCAATATACAAACAGTATGCGGGAAACTAACCGTCGATATAAGTGTTGAACCAAGATGTTGCACTTTAAGAAGGCAATGGAGAAGAAGAGCCAGAAGCGCTTTGTGCTCATCCATGGGCTCTGCCATGGCGCATGGACTTGGTACAAAACGAAAACGCAGCTGGAAGCTGCAGGTCACAGTGTTACCGCAGTGGACCTGGCCTCATCAGGTATCAACATAACCAGACTGGAAGATATTCAAACACTGAAGGACTACTGCAAACCGCTGCTTGAGTTTCTGAGCTCGCTTGGCTCAGATGAAGACGAAAAGGTGATTCTTGTTTCTCATAGCATGGGGGGAATTTGCGCTGCGCTTGCTGCTGACACCTTCCCTCGTAAGATCTCTGCTTCAGTCTTCTTGACAGCTTTCATGCCTGACACAAGAAACGAACCTGCTTACGTTTACGAAAAGGTAACATAAACATTGATGATTTGGTTGTAATCTCTTCCGAGTGACTCTGATATATCTACCTGAAAATCTGCAGCTGATCAGAAGCGTTCCACAAGAGGACTGGTTGGACACAGTGTTCGGGACCTATGGGAAGCCTGATCGTCCTCTAGAGTATGTTCTTTTCGGACCAAAGTTTCTAGCCAAGAGCTTATATCAACTCTCTCCGGTCGAAGTATGACTCCAAACTTTATATAAAAATCTCAACTTTCCAAACCCAAATGGGATTTGCAAGTGACCTCACTCTTGATTCTTGACTTGTGGCGTGTTAGGATCTTGTATTGGCAAAGATGTTGGTGAGAGTAAACCCATTAGCCACAAAGAATCTGGTAGGGACAAGAAGCTTTAGCAAGGAAGGATACGGATCCGTTACACGTGTTTACATCGTATGCGGAGAGGATCTTGCGATATCTGAGGAGTACCAGCGTTGGATGATCGAGAACTTTCCACCAAAAGAAGTAATGGAGATCAAAGACGCAGATCATATGCCAATGTTCTCAAAGCCTCAAGAACTCTATGCTCTTCTCCTGAAGATTGCAGAGAAATATGCCTAAACAAAGCAGAAATCATCATCATTGCAGATAAATTACTAAATGTTAGAAACGCATCATAAAGGAGCGAACTTCAATCTCAGTATTGTTCAGCAACAACAGTTGAGCTACTCTGGTAGAAAAATTACAATTTTTTAATTGTCATATGTCAATGTCACTGATTATCTCAACCATAGTAACATACATAAACATGCCTAAGATAAACATGAACATTGGTCATAAAAGCAATGTTAACTGCACTGATTTAACTTCTCTCCTCCATAATCTTCTATAAGATTCATTATACACTAACGGGAGCAGACTTGAGAGTCAATCTCTTGAATCTAAGGAAGAAAACAAAGAAAAGGCTAAACCTTTTCAGCATCTATCGAATATAGTTAGAGAAAGTACAATCACCGAAAGAAAATGAGAGAAAAAATCTAGCTAGATATACTCAATCTGACGCAAATGAAATATTGAATCGATTTGGTATTGCAAGTCACTAATTTTTGTTGCAGTTTAAGGAAATGATAATTTACTGACCCTTTTTCTCCTGAAGTTTTGAGCAGTAACGAATCTCTGCATCTTAAATTTGGCAATTTCCGACATGATTTGGGAAAACAAGGAGACTACAGTAATTCGTCAGAACTCGGAACGATGAGAGCAGAGAAACCCAGAAAAAAATGTAGAAGAAACAGAGTTGTCTTAAGGCAAAACCGGGTTTTTGTTAGATTTAGACCGGACCAAAAAAAAAGGATTAAACCGGTTTGTTATCGGATCGCAGATTTACCGGTTCGAGCATTGGTCTTGTAAACCCGACACTAAGTTTAACAGAAACAATTTTGGCGGTTTTTTTTCATTCTCAAGTGTAATACAATACCATACATTAATACATGTTTTAGAAATTATAATTTTGTTGGAGCATGATCGAGTGGCTTCACATGAATGGTCTTACCAGCTCCATCATGTTGCACATATTTATATAAAGTTATAACATAAATCCAAGTTCGTGTCAATTTTATGTATGTCACATTATTCGTGTCCATTAGGAATTTGTCTAGTAATTGATAAAGTTTGAGTCGGTAACCTAACACTAATCTCACGAGTTATAATAAGGAATAAATGGATCCCATTATTAAAACCATTGATAAAGTTTGATAGTAACTAGTTTGCTCACAAAAGCATGTTTTACAAATTATATAAAAGAGAGAGTCCAAGTGAAGAGATTATTGTTCTCTCACTCTCGCACTTACTTCCCTCAACAATGGCCAATAACGTGATCAAAACCTCTCGAGTCGGTCCTGCAACAAGTTTGGTCGACCCTCTCATTCTCCCACTCACTTTCTTCGACTTAGTTTGGCTACCAGACAAACCTACGAACCGAGTCATCTTTTACAAACTCACCGAGTCATCTAGCGACTCCTTCTACTCCGTGATCCTCCCCAAGCTCGAGCAATCTCTCTCCCTCGTCCTCACACACTTCCTCCCTCTCTCCGGTCACGTCAAATGGGACCCACAAGATCCTAAACCCTACATCGCCGTCTTCCCGCAAGACAGTGTCTCTCTCACAGTGGCCGAGATCACCGACGCTGACTTCTCTCGTGTTTCCGGCAAAGGGCTTCGTCACCAGACTGAGTTACACCCTCTAGTGTCCGAGTTACCAGTTTCTTCCTCTGACTCAGCCTCTGCTTTCACTTTGCAAATCACTTTGTTCCCGAAGCAAGGCTTTTGCATCGGACTCACAATCAACCATCTTGTCATGGACGGCAAAACTGTGGTGAAGTTTCTCAAATCATGGGCTCACATATGCAAGTACGGAACAACACCGCAAGATCTTGATTTACCTATGCTTTTAGATCGTAAGGTCATCAATATTCTACCGGAACTCGAATCAGATTTCTTCAAACGCACGCCATATCTCTCAGGCAACGTAAGAACCCTAAAGTTTCCTTCCACCAAAAGAGTGAAGATCTCGTTAGGGTAACGCTCGAGCTTACTCAAGAGAACGTGAAGAAACTAAGAGAGCGAGCCAAAAGCGAGTCAACTCCTCTGATGATCTTCACCTGTCAACTTTTGTACTCGCTTACGCCTATGTATGACATGTGTGGTGAAGGCACGTGGAGACGACGGAGATACAGTTCCTTTCACGTTCGTTGCTGATTTCAGAGACCGGTTAGACCCGCCGGTTCCAGTGAACTACTTTGGGAACTGTGTTTACCTATCAGCTTCTCTGGAGACAAAGCCAAGACGTTTTTGGAGAAGATGGATTTGTAAATGCTGTCAAGATTCTAAGCGATTCGGTGAAGGTTTGATTCACGAGGAGCTGAGTCAATATGGGAGTTGTACGAGGAAGGAATAAAAAAGATGGAACTAGGTAGTGCACAGAAGCTTGTCTGTCTCTGGATCTAACAAGTTTGGGATATATGGATGTGATTTTGGGTGGGGAAGACCTCTTAGTACTGAGAATATATTCTTCAACAAAAACCTTCTCTTCTCTATGACGGAGAGGAGATGAGATTGGTGGGGTGGAGATTGGCATGTGTTTGGAGAAATGTGTGATGGATGGATTTGTTTCTGTGTTTCAAAATGGATTAATGTAAAACCCAAACAAAAGAAAATAAATTATGAGTTAACCATTTCAAGATAACGTAAAAATATACTATATATCTCTGTTTTAATGTGTCCACCTAAAAAATCCCATTTTGATTGTCATGTGGCTATCGTAATAACACAAGTGGTCCATACATAGCAAACCAAAATTCAATCCGGTTTGGATTTTCTAAGTTATTGGAGCCGTGTGATTGCTCTCTTCTATCTATTTCCAACCACAACTTTCTTCTTAAAAGGTGACCGACCTATGTCATATTATTTCTTCATTGTTTCCTTATGTCATATGGTCGGATTTCAAAATATTGTTTTCCAAACATATTAAATTCATTTGATCCACTAACAATGATTTAGAAACAAACAAAAGGAAGCGGAAAACGTTTCAAGAATGAACAAGACAAAATTGAAAGGATATATAGTGAGTAGTGACTAAGATGTAGTCCGAGTTTAGAATTAGTGGCTACGAAAGACTTTCAAACTTGCTCGCTTCGAGATATCGGAAAGACATTCTTAGGTCATAACTTGATCAACACTAATATATCAATTCTTAGGTCATAACATTTCAGGTCAAAAATCGATTTCACTTGTATTGACATACTTGTACATTAGTAATAGTATTTTTGTTTTTGTATGTAAGAAGTTGATCCCCACCTTCTAAAGTTATTGCAGCCATGTGTGATACCATGTGATTGCGCTCTGTTCTTTCTATTTCTAACCACAAATTTTTTTTCTTTATGAAAGTAACCGACACCGACCTGTCGAAAACCAATGTCATATATTTTCTTTGTTTCATGTCATATGATTCATGGTTTGATTTTAAGTTATTATTTTTGTTACAAATTAAATTTATTAATCAACAAAATAAACAGTAAAGTTTCAAAATAAATAGTAATGAGAGAGACGTTGAAGCATGCATATCACATGCACATAGCCACGTTTGTAATAACACATCAAACCTTGTGACCATATACATACAGTCGGTGAGGGAGTTAAAGCAAGCACGTAATCGTGTGAACCAAAAGTAGTCTACGTCGCCTTTTTTTTTATATAGTTTTTCTCCGGAATAAAATATTTTTATTTAGTGTCGTCGTGTGTGGTGTAAAAAATAGTCTACGCTTACTGCTGATAATACACGTTATCTTTTTAAATCTCTTATAAAAAAATACACGTTATCTTTTTTCTTCTTATTCGTCAAGAAAATCTCCTAATATAAGTGTTGTGCTTAAGAGTAGGAACAACATACAAAATCAAAAGTTAGAGAAGAAAATGAGTGTGGACACGAAGAAGAAGCAACATTTCGTGCTAGTCCATGGTCCCTGCCACGGCGCCTGGTATTGGTACAAGGTTAAGCCGTTGCTTGAGGCTGCGGGCCATCGTGTGACAGCCATAGACCTAGCTGCTTCCGGTATAAACACGAACCCCAGCTCGATCACCGAGGTCTTCTCATGTGATCAATACACTGAGCCATTGTTGAAGCTCCTGAGCTCACTACAAAGCGATGAAAAGGTTGTGCTCGTTGCTCAGAGCACTGGAGGTGTGAGCTTAGCCATAGCGATGGATAAGTTTCCCGAAAAAATCTCTGTCGCTGTCTTCGCCACTGCTTTCATGCCCGATACCAAAAACTCGCCAGCGTTTGTCGTGGATAAGGTATCTCGTTTTTTAGCGGCCAATATTATTATTTATTTACGTTTTGTCAACAAGCGACCAATTATTATAGTGTCGCTTTTATAGTGGTTAGAGTTTTTAGTTTATACAGATTTAATTTGTACCTTTAACTTGAAAATTTAAAACTTTTTTTAATCATGTAAAAATAGTTTTTTCAATCGGCGCCACCAGAAGCATGGATGGGCACCGAGTTCGTACCTTACGGCGAAGACGGTGTATCGATGTCCTTTAGTCCTGAGTTCGTGAAGAATGCTGTGTACACATCATCTTCTAAAGAGGTAATTTTATTTTTATTTTCTTAATTACCATCATTTTCAGTCACCATGACTATAAGTTGATAAAATGTACTAATGTATATGGTAATCTTGATTTAGGATATTGAGCTTGTATTGCTTCTAAAGAGACCCGGATCGTTGTTTATCAACGAATTATTGAAGCGGGAAAAGTTTACGGAGAAAGGGTATGGATCTGTTCCTCGAGCTTTCATTGTGAGCAAAGATGACAAAGCCTTAACAGAGGAATATCAACGGTGGATGATCGATAATTATCCACCGGATTTCGTGACGGAGATGGAAGGGACAGATCATATTCCAATGATTAGCAATCCTCAACTGCTAACTAAGCGTCTCTTGGAAATCGGGAAAAAATTCGCTTAAATAATATTTTCCTGAAAATGTATAATATGTATTTGGATCTGTGATGTTATCGTTCATCTTCTCCTTCAGGATTTGTTTTTCTTTTTAATGTTTTTTTTTTTCAGTTTCTCCTTGTGTGTTTTGGATTCACTTGTTGTTATCGTTATCCATCATCTTATGAAAAGATTAATGAAAAATAAAGAGAGAAAACTCTAGTTTCAATAACTCCCACCATTTTTTGAGAGAATTCAGCAGATTTTGAAGGCTTGGTTAACATGCATTGGTCTCATGAGGTCACGATTGTTTCAGATCATAAAATTGGCTCAACTTATCATTTGATGGAAATGTATTTGGTTTTCTTGTACAAATACGTTTTTGTTGTAAATGAAATTGTGGTCTCTTTTTTTTTTTTTTTTGGTCAACGAAATTGTGGTCTCTTAATGTAAGTCTTGTTCATATCATTCAAGCATTTTCTTATTCATATTACCATTATGATATGAATGATATTATTTCTCATGCATGTATATTTGGTATTATTTTTGGATGGTGCTAATAATGTCTTTTTCCTATTTTTTTGGAGAAAAGGTCGATGCTAATAATGTCTTGATTACTTTAGTCCATATTAATCTCATAACTTATAAACATAAACTCAAACTATATGCGGAATGTGACGCACGTAGCATGATTGTTAAAGCAATAATTTTGGTTCAAATGTAATGGTGATGTTTAGACTTTTTAATAGTTTTATATTAATAAATCATACAAAATTATAAAAGGAAGGTTCTAGAGGGTTAGAATGAAGCACGATTGCAAGATTGAACTCCAAAACATTTTATATTTTTAAATGGAGAGAATATAACATTCAGTAAAACATTTTCTGTGGGGAAGGAGGCTCTCGTTGGCGTCGGCTATTTCGTTCCCACCAAAGCTGAGAGAGTGTTGTTTGAAAGGCATATCTTATAATGTAATAATGAACATCTTTATGAGTGTTGAAGGATTCGATTGTTTGCGAGGCCACCGAAATGCTTTGTGAAAAAAACTAAAAAAAATGCTTCTCCAAAATGTTGAGAGTTATGGAAACTAGAGTTTTCTCTTATTTTTTTGTTCTCTCTTTTATTCAAATTGTCGAAAGATGACGGATAACGAAAACAACAAGTGAATTCAAACCAAACAAGGAGAAATTGAAAAAACAAACAAAAACAACATAAAAAGGAAATAATACAAATCCTGAGAGAACATGAACGATGAAATCAGAAATTGCAAATACATTTTCAGGAGAAGATTATTATTGTTATTATTTTTAGTTTTGGAGAAGATAATTCAAGCGAACTTTTGACCGATTTCCAAGATACGCTCACTTAGGAGCTCAGGCTGACTGATCATTGGAATATGATCTGCCCCTTCAATATCCGACACGAAATCCACTGAATAGTTACCAATCATCCAACGTTGATATTCTTCTGTAAGGGCTTTGTCATCTTTGCACACAATGTAAGCTCGAGGAACAGATCCATACCTTTCCTCGGAAAACTTTTCACGCCTCTTTAATTCGTTGATAAACAATGATCCCGGTCGCTTTACAAGCAATGTAAGCTCAGCATCCTAAATCAAGATTACCATATACAGTACGTGAGCATATATTATCAACTTATTAAGGTTACCCAAACAAGATAATTAATAAAAAAAAAAAAGTAAATAAAACTACCTCTTTAGTAGATGATGTGTACAAGGCTTGCTTCACGAACTCAGGACTGAAGGACATAGACACACCGTCTTTGCCGTATGGTACGAACTCTGTGCCCAACCATGCTTCTGGTGGCGCCGATTGGAAAAACTAATTTTATGATCAAAAAGTTTAACATTAGATTTTATGTTCCAGCAAAAAATACGTACAAATTAAATTTTAATTTTAATTCTCTAAAATGGATCAATTTTTGTTTTCTTCCAAAAATAGACTGATAAACTTTTCCCCATAATAGACCAAAATTCAAAATAAAAATGGTTCAAAACTTAAAACATTGTTTAGGAGATACCTTATCCACGACGTACGCTGGTGAGTTTGTGGTATCGGGCAAGAAAGAAGTGGCGAAGACCGCGACAGAGATTTTTTGGGGAAACGTATCCATAGCGATGGCTACACTCAAACCTCCAGTGCTCTGACTAACGAGCACAACTTTCTCTTCACATGGTAATGAGCTCAGGAACTTCAACAATGGCTCAGTGTATTGATCACATGAGAAGACCTCGGTGATCGAGCTAAGGTTTGTGTTTACACCGGAAGCAGCTAGGTCTATGGCTGTCACACGGTGGCCCGCAGCCTCAAGCAACGGCTTAACCTTGTACCAGCACCATGCGCCGTGGCACGGACCATGGACTAGCACGAAGTGACTCTTCTTCTCCTCGCTCATTTTCTTGTCTAACTTTTGGTTTTGTATATGGTTCGTACTCTTACACACAACAGTTTATATAGAGAGATTTTATTGACGGATAAGAAGGGAAAAAAAAACGTATCTTAACGTGCATCAAATTAGTCAACTAACTCAGGGTTCCATATTTTACGTATATAGGAGTAATAATTTAAGGGACCCCATTTCCAGAATTAATTGGCTCAGATCTCAATGGTCAGAATTAATTGGCTCTGATTGGCAGGAGTATGTGACTTTCCACTTCAAATTTCGAGCAAATAGTAATACTCCGTTTCTTCTTATAAATTTGGTTGTGTTATAAATTCAGCGACCAGGTGTTATTAAATTTGTGATGTTAAATAATGTATCTTTTCCTTGACAAAAAAATATGTATTTTAAAATCTATTGTTATTGAAAATATAGTAAGTATTGGATTTTAAGAGTTTCGTTATGATTTTAATATAAGTATTGTGGTGGAGTTTTGTAACTAAGAATATGAAAATACAAATTCCATTGGTTTAGATTCTAAAGTGTTTTAACCAAAGTCAAAGCAAATTCTCTAATTCACACAAAACCATAAAAAAACTCATTAACAACCAAATCCTTCCAAAAAATCTTCCCAAATACTAGTTTGAATACTCCCTTGTTATACCTAGTCTCTTTTTCATAACACGATTAGATATGTATTAACATACAGTTTGATTAAGCTTTTTGTATAGTTTATATAATAATTAGAAGGAAAAATCACATTTTAATTTTGTTTTTGCTTCGGATCTCTAGAGAGCTTAGCACGCCGTATTAATCGCAAGATAATTTTTGATAAGTGACACGGATACAACACACAACACTAAACAGAGAGATTTTATTGCGGAGAAAATAAAATAATTAAACTCGTCGTAATTCTAGTTCACACATGGTTTACGTGCACGTAAGTGCCTCACAAAGAATGCATATGAACGTGGTTGCCAAAAAGAATGCACATGGATTGGAGTCAATGTTACGGTTTATAGTCGATGATATGTTTTTTATTATCCCGAAGACCTAAAAATACACATGGGTAATATGCTTTATATTATTCCGAAGTCCCTAAGAAGTTCGTGCTTAGATAACCAGAATACACATACATACTTTAATGAAAATATATAATAGTATAGTCTTTCGTGCCAATCGAGCTAAGATGCTCCTCCCATAAATGATCTTAATAATAGTTTTACAATTCGATAAATTACATTTAAGCAAGAAAAAGATCGCAAGATATTTAATAATCTACTATTAACTATTTATTCTTTCGTTTATGTAGATAGTAAATCGTACAGTTGATGATGTGCCATGATTTGAAGGTGTGAGTTGATGAGGTAATAAAAGAGATTATTCTACTTATTTTTATCTATACTGTTTTAGCTAAAAGCAGCAAAATTACAGCAACTATTTTTTTTATTTATTAAAAAGACTGCATAGTATAATTGATTCATGTTAATCAAGCCTTCATAAATCGGTTGTAGTCTCAAAAGAATGTTGGGAGTTATGGAAACTAGAGTTTTCTCATATTTTTTCTCTCTTTTTTTTATCGAAAATGTCGAAACGAACAACAAAAGCAACAACAAGTGAATTCAAAACAAATAAGGAAAAACAGAGAGAGAGAAAAAAAACAAACATAAAAAGTCAGGAAAAGATGTACGATACATCACAAATTGCAAATACATTTTCAGGAAATTATATTTGAGAGTACATGTCCCCTATTTCCAAAATACTAATAGGTCCCCGATTTCTAAGATACGTTCACTTAGGAGCTGAGGCTGACTGATCATCGGAATATGATCTGACCCTTCCATCTCCGTCATGAAATCCACCGGATAATTCTCAATCATCCATTGTTGATATTCTTCTGTAAGCGCTTTGTCATCTTTGCACACAATGTAAGCTCGAGGAACAGATCCATACCTCTCATCGGAAAACTTTTCACGCCTCGCTAATTCGTTGATAAACAATGATCCGGGTCTCTTTAGAAGCAATGCAAGCTCAATATCCTAAATCAAGATAACCATATACATGATGAGTATTATCAATTTATTATGGTGACTGAAACATGATGATAAAATAAAAAAGAGTAGATAAAACTACCTCTTTAGAAGATGATGTGTACATAGACGACACACCTTCTTTGTCATAAGGTACAAACTCGGTGCCCAACCATGGCTCTAGTGTCGTCGATTGAAAAAACTAATTTTACATGATTAAAAAGCGTAAAAATAACATTTAATAATGTGTACTAGTTTTGGGGAAAAATACCTATAAATCTATTTTTGGAATATAATTTGATTTTAGTCTATTTTAACTATATCTCATATTAGAATGATATGGTGGTACAAACTGTAACCACAATGAAAGTGATCCACTATAATTATTGGATTTTAAGAAACGAGATACCTTATCCACGACGTACGCTGGCGAGTTTTTGGTATCGGGCATGAAAGCAGTTACGAAGACAGCGACAGATATTTTGTGGGGAAACGTATCCATTGCGATGGCTACACTCAAACCTCCAGTGCTATGACTAACAAGCACAACTTTCTCTTCACGTGGTAATGAGCTCAGGAACTTCAACAATGGCTCAGTGTACTGATCACAAGAGAGGACCTCGGTGATCGAGCTGGGGTTCATGTTTATACCGGAAGCAGCTAGGTCTATGGCTGTCACTCGGTGGCCCGCAGCCTCAAGCAACGGCTTAACCTTGTACCAATACCATGCACCGTGGCACGGACCATGGACTAGCACGAAGTGCTGCTGACTCTTCTTCTCCTCGGTCATTTTCTTGTCTAACTTTTGATTTTGTATTGTAACCAACTCTTACAACAGTTTATATAAAGAGATTTTATTGACGGATAACGTGTCTTCACGGCCGAGCTTAACGTACATATTTTGCTAGAGTTATAAATATGAATATCCAAATATTATGGTTTAATTTTAGATGAGATTTTGGAATATTTTAGTCAATCATCTAAAAACTCACCAAAATCCAAATATATAATTCCATCTAAACCTTCCCAAATACTAGATTGAATACACCTCTTTTATATCTAGTTTTTGTTCATAATACTAATAGTTATATTTTAACAACACTACATATGTTTTATAATGCAATCACATTACTAACATAAAGTTTAACTAATTTTTTGGTACAGTTTGTATAATAATTAGAAGAAAAATAACATTTTTTTATTTTGCCTTACGAGAGCTTAGCACGCCGTATTAATCGCAAGATTATTTTTGACACGAACGAGATTTTACTGTGGAGAAAATGAATTAAGTCTTCGTACGTACACTACTTCTAGTTAACACATCGTTTACGTGCACGTAACTGCCTTATAAAGAATGCATATGAACGTGGTTGCCATAAATAATGCACATGGATTGGAGTTAATGTTACGGTTTAAAACAAACCAAACCACACTGAGACCAAGGGTGAGACCACGGTAATTCTAGCAAATATAATGAACCCAAATTATTGATTTTTGACAAAAAAAACAAAAAAAAAACTTTGGTTTCGTATTCATTTAGCCATTTTAAAGATAGTGCTCTAAAAGATAACTATGTGCTCTATGATTCTATCCAATCTAGAGGTCAACCAAACTACATGAACTCTACTGAATTAAAACTAACATTCAATGTAAACTTGGTGTACCATTCTCTTGATCTTAGAGAACGACCGGAAACTAACAGTCAATGGAACTTAGAATAAGAGGGAAACCTAGAAGCCGAAAAAAAAAAACAGAGAAGGCAATGGAGAAGAAGAACCGGAAGCAGTTTGTCCTTGTCCATGCGGGATGCCACGGTGCATGGTGTTGGTACAAGGTGAAAACACATCTAGAGGCTTCAGGGCACTGTGTCACCGCAGTGGATCTGGCTGCATCAGGTATCAACACGACCAGAGTGGAAGAGATTCGTACGTTGAAGGACTATGCCAAACCATTGCTAGAGATCATGAGCTCGCTTGGCTCAGACGAGAAGGTGGTTCTTGTCGCTCATAGCATGGGAGCAGTACCCGCTGCTCTCGCTGCCGACATCTACCCAAGTAACATCGCTGCTATTGTGTTCTTAACGTCTTCAATGCCGGACACCAAAAACCCGCCTGCTTACGCTTTCCAAAAGGTACATAGAATGATTCCTCCAGTGATTAGGTATGATCTCTTGAGAGTGATGCTGATAACTGAGTGAAAAATATGCAGATGTTTGAAAGCATTCCACAAGAAGAGTTCTTAGACACTGTCATTGGAAGCTATGGGACACCTGATTGTCCTCTACAGAGTATTCTCTTTGGACCAAAGTTCTTGGCCGAAAAGTTTTATCAACTCTCTCCTGTCGAAGTAAGAGTCCAAGCTTAATCAAACCTCTCTTGGGATTCCTACTTTCCTAGTAACCTCACTCGCATTCGTTTGTTGATTCTTGTTAGGATCTTGTATTGGCAAAAATGTTGGTGAGAGTAAACCCTATAGTTACAAACAATCTGGCAGGGACAAGAAGCTTTAGCGAGGAAGGATACGGATCGGTCACACGTATTTATATCATATGCGGAGAGGATAATATAATACCTAAGGAATACCAGAGTTGGATAATCAGAAACTTTCCACCAAAAGAAGTAATAGAGATCAAAGATGCAGATCATATGCCAATGTGCTCTAAGCCTCAAGAACTCTGTGCACATCTCTTGGAAATTGCAAAGAAGTATGCATAGATCAAGTTGACATAATCATACACAAAATATTTAATAACTTCAGCTTCGACCACAATAGTTAAGCCATATGAGAATACATCTAATATGTATGAGAGTTAAGCAAGTGTTATAATGAATAAAGATTTATGAGAGAACTGTATTGTAATGCATGTTGGTTTTATCACATATTTGACAGAAAACAAAAGCATTCTCACCAAATTTATAACACGACAACGCATATACATACGAAAGACCAAACTTAACTTTGTGTAGTATAACCAACGTAAATGCAAGAAATTATGTTTATAAAATCTCCAAGGAGACACTTTGTTTGTTCAACAAACAACAATCATATCACATATCTCTAAGTTTACTGAGATTAACCGGAGATATAACTTTAATATCACCGTATAACAATTGCTTCGCGATGATAACATTTGCTGCTTCACTCGGATGATAAGGATCCCAAAACACATATTTGTCCCTATCTTCACACATACTTGAAGTTGGTCCGCATGGAATTATACCCGCGAATTGTCCTCCATTACCGCAACAAGCCTTTGTCGCCGTTATAAACCCTACAATTTTTTACCAATCCAAAAATATTTAAATCATCATATATATTCACAATAGTCAAAACTTGAAAAAGCTACATACCATACTAGTCAAGATATTTAAGTTTAAAACGTGTATGTATTTGGTAGTATGCGTGTGTAAGTTGTAGAAGACTGAAAAAATATGTTTACCGTATTTTTTGTAGTTGGTAATGAGTTCCATGACGAGATCGTAGACGTTGGCATGGACGAACATTGCTCCGGGAAGTTTCGTGTTTAGGTCCTCTAATAAACTCTTTAGTCGAATATTGTATTGATTTGCTAGTTTATTAGCCAAATCCACACACTCGTCTTCGGCTAATTGATTAATCGTTTTCTGGTACGGTATGCACCCGATTGGTCCAACGTTCCCGATCACAAACTTCCTCGCATCCAGTTGATACAGCCTCTGCGTTACAATCATAAAACACCATCATAAGCTTATACCATATGATATAAAACTATCAAAACCTTTCTAATTATAACATATATATGTTATACTTTCATGAATTTTTTTATTGTTGCTTACGGTTAGTTGGTCGCGTAGATGATCAAGCATGTCGTCGATGAAATTATCAGGAGTTTGAGTGAACCTTGTTCCAACGGAGAGAAGTGGAAAGAGATAATTGTTGAGGAAATCATTTGCTCCTATAGTGATTGAGAATATCGATTTCTTGCTTATATAATCTTTTGCTTTATCTTTTCCAAGAAGATCGTCGAATTGTTTCCTTGTAGTGTTGAAGAAATCGACTTGTACATCCATACCCAGCCTATTCACCTATACCAAATATTTACATTTTCACAACAAAAACACATAATTCATGAGAACTCTAAAAACGAATATAAAGACATTTTTAAATCCTAGTGATTAAAATTAGATTATTACGTACAAAGATTCTTCCGGTGGCATTCATGATTCCTCCTCCACCTGATGCGTAATTCACACCGGCTAATAAAGCTTTTCCGGTTGCGTTTGGTGCTAAGAATGGGATCGCGTAGTTCGCTGATCCAAGTTCTTCCCCTAAAATATTGTAAATTAAACGTAACTGACGTTTTAATAACACTTAAATTAAAATGAGACCAAAAGTTAAACATAACTAAATCAAATTAATCAACGTTAACAGAAATGTGTAGGTGTGTTAGTTGAACAACATACCTTGACTAATAATATATTCCACCTATCATTTACTATGGTTTATAGAATATAGATGGAATTTTGCGATTTTTGTACGTACCAACGATGTCACCGATGGTCCGGCCATTGGTGAACCGCCCGGTAGGATTTCCTCCGGAGGCTTTGAAATCAATACCATTAGGCTTCATGTTGGCTCTAGACAACGTCGGTAGATAATTGTTATTTCCCGCATCGACTAGAGAATCTCCAAATATAAACGAAGCTCCTAATGCGCCATTTTTATTGTTGTTGTTCACTCCACGACCAGCAGCTTCCACTAAAGCAGTGAGAGTTAAGAGGAAGAAGAAGAAGAAGAGAGTCACGTCCATGGGTGTGAAAGAAGCTGGAGAGACTCTTCTTGAACTAGAAGCTCTAGTTGCCATAGCTCTCGGTTTTTGAGAAATTTGGGTGTTTTTATTTGGGACTTATATAAGAGAGAAGGGTTTGGGATAGAAGGGAAACTTGTGAGATTGAGTTTAATTAGCTGAATCGAATATTGAATTGGCTTGACTGATTTAGGAATAAATGGAGGCTTCAAGGTTTTTCAAGTGGTTGTTCATCAACGTTGGACTAGTTTTTCCTTTTCCTTAATGACTTGGAACTATTGAATTCGTTGGACGCTTGAACACTCCGAAGTTATTAGAGTCGTAATTAACTCAAGTAGTTCAAATTTGTTGGAGTAATTTATAATATCAATTTTCAAGAAGAAAAGTAATTACTGGTAGCATTTACTTAAGCAAAAGTGATTTTATTACAGTTTACAACGAAAATACAATTACAGTATGTTTGATAAGAAAGAGACTTTGTGTCAAATCACATGCAGTACTGTATGTTATTTTTTTCTTCTTTACATTTTGCTTATAATTTAATTTGTTTTGTGGATTACAGAACAATATAAGGACTTTTTTTGTTTGAACAACTACAGAATAATATAAGGACAAAATACCCAAATTTTACGTAAATCTGTAAATGAAAATGTTTCTTGAAAGAGATTGAGATTAGGTGTACTTGGTCAAGAAGGTGAGACTAAATTTTTATTGTTTTGGCAACCTTGCTGAAAAGTTGCGACTTTTGAAAACATCCAACTTGGAAATTAGCTGGAATTTGATATTCCTATTCATCATTTTCAGAAATTATGGATACTAATTTGGGTTTCCTCTAAAGACGATATTTTCAAATCGTAAATTGGTAAAAAATCCTTACAGCTTTCCATATTCCCACTTACTGAATTCAGCTTTATTGCTGCAATTAGCAAAACAAAAAGTATATTTAAACTCCCATCAAATCAGTCAGTATTGATTACAGAACCTACAACCCTAAACCCATTTCGTGCTTATTTTTTCAAATAAAAAAATCCGACCGTTGCTGTAACACCCACTAAAAACCTCACCTTTAAAATAAATCATTTCTCATTTCTCATTTCTCAACAACAGTGAGAGACAGAGAGAGAGAGATCTGAAATCTGAAACCAGTGAGAATCGTTTATCAACATGGTCACCATGGAAGCTTCAATCCCCAAATCAAACCCTAACCCAGTGGCTAACGAAGGAACCGCAAAGGCCTCTCTCTACGAACAATCCAGAGAAGAGAGGATCAAAGAGAATCTCCAGCGGATGCAAAATCTCGGCCTCTTGAATCTCGCCCAGAATCTCAAATCCGAGACCCAACCCGTCAAAAGGAGATACACTCGTCGCACCGATTCCGCCCAGAAATCGCCTGCTCCCCTTCAGCCTTCCCGGCGATCTTCTCGGTAAGTAATCTCTTCCGTCTCTAGATTCTCAATTTCTCTGTTTGAATGATTAGGGTTTTGAATTGCCAGAGTAATTGGGGATTTTCGGGTTGAAATTAGGGTTTGCGATTGCTCTGATTGAAAAGAGGGAAAGTAATTAATGAGTCGAAATTAGGGTTTATGATTTCATCTCTCATGTCATTTCCGTCAGATTGGAGAACGCGACTCCAGTTAACTACAACGATGGAGTCAATGAGAAGAGTAAAGCCTCGAAACGAGAGTGTGTGGTGGTGATTGGTGAAGGCGCAAGGCCTGAGATTTACACTGAGGAACATGAGAAGCTGCTTGGTAACACAGAACGAGTCTGGACTTGCTTCGTTGATGGTTACGCTAAGGATGGTAAACGGATGCATGATCCTTTCAAGGGCAAAACTTGTCACCAATGCAGGTTAGTCTTCTCTCTTTGACACATAAATAAAAAATCAAAGATTTTGGAAAAAAGTGAATCAATTTCTCTCTTGTGTGTGGTTTATAGGCAGAAGACGCTTGGTCATCGCACACATTGCAGCGGTTGCGAGATGGTCCAAGGACAGTTCTGTGGAGACTGCTTGTATATGAGGTGTGTTAAGACTTAAGATCACTACCAATTGAGTTTTTTGTTGTTGTTGGTATTGAGGTATTGATGATTGAATGTGTTTGATGAGTATAGATATGGTGAACATGTGATGGAAGCTCTGGAGAATCCGGACTGGAAATGCCCTGTTTGTAGAGGGATTTGCAATTGCAGTTTGTGCAGGAATCATAAAGGATGGGTTCCTACTGGTGCGATCTACAGAAGGGTTCGTCGTTGTTCTTTTTCAAATCTTTCATTTGCATGTTTTTTTCAATGAGCTGAAGATTGAAAGATTTGTTTCTTTCTTGGGATTGGATTTGCAGATAGCTAAGCTAGGGTACAAGTCTGTTGCGCATTATCTGATTCAAACCAAACGGGCTCAAACCGATGATGACGATGATGATAGTACTCCGAGTCAAGCTTCTGCAAAGAGATCACTTTCCTTCAAAGAAGCCAAACCACTTTCTGAGATTGCTGCTGGTGATGATAATGATCTCAGTGAAGAAGTAGTGCTAATGCTTCAGAATGGTGATTCCTTGAAGAAAGAGGAAGATGAGAATCCGAACTCGGCGAAAAGGTCGCTGAGCTTCGTCGTGCCTTCTTCTGTGGATGATCAAGCTCCATTGGTCGATGATCTCGAGGCGCCAAAGGAGGATAACCAAGAACGTTCATGTGCCCACATTGGTGATCATTCAAGAAGTGAAGAATTGCTTCCTGAGGAAACTCAGACTCTTCTTGGGGCCGATGTTAAGGTTCTCAGCGATGAGACAGAGATTGGTGATGATGATCTCACTGAAGAAGTAGAACCAAAGCTTCAGAATGATGATGAAAGTACGGATGAGAATCCGAATTCAGCTAAAAGCTCGCTGAGCTTCGTCTTGCCTTCTGCTGTGGAGGATCAAGCCCTAATTGTTGATGTTGTTCAGGTCATAAGTGATCTCGAGGCGCCAAAGGAGGATAATCAAGAACGTTCATGTGGCGACATTGGTGATGGTCTTTCAAGAAGTGAAGAAAAGACAGGAGAAGGCTCGAGCTACTTGCTTCCTGAGGAGAATCAGACTCTTCTTGTGGTCGATGTTAAGGTCCTCAGCGATGAGACAAAGACCGTAGGTAACGCAGTGAAGACTCGAGGCACGAGGAATAAGAGGAAAGCTCCTCCGCCTCCTAGTCCAGATAGCATTGGTGCAAGACTAAGGCAGCGTCGAAGGTGCTAAAGTGGGCTTTAGAAACCTTGGTACTCTGTCTCTGAGTCTTTGACACATCTCTCTCTCTTTTGTTTTTTGGTTGGCTTGTTGTGTTCATCAAGCACTTTGAAAACTTTTAACTTCTTTTGTTTCTAACGGATAAAGTTAGAAACTTAGAATCCTTGCAAGACTTATTTTTAATGCGAAATCTTTTTTTACAACTTTTAATGCGGGTTTATTTAAACTCTTTCATCAATATATATGCAACAATAATTAAGCAAAGTTTATTAAGGATCCTTATAATTAGGAGTAGAATTTATGATTTAGGGCCTAAAAAAAATTAAAATTTAACATAACAGGTTTAAAATTTTGAGTTTGGAGTTTGTGTTTAGACTAGTAACTTTCCTCCGTCATATTTTCAAACTAATATCCTCAGTCTTGTTTACAATATTTTCTGGTTGCTTGATGTGTTCATCATTGTCTACATGTTATTTTTTGTTTTTGAAGACTCTAGGCCTAGCTTTAAATCCCACATTTGAAAGTAGAACAAAACCTAAAATAATTGCCAATTTGTTCCGAATTCAAAGCTTAATGATGATAACATGTAGAATTCTTTTTAGCCATTTGAATAATATTCTGCAAATCTTTTTCTTAAATGTGGAGTCTAAAAGGAGCAAGAATCTTCCCACTCTTCTCAACCTAACATATTTAATACCCATATATAAGTGGTCTGCTCACCCAACACTCCCAACATATCTAATCAGAACTATTTTACTTTCTTAAATTAACTATAACAAAATATTTCTAGGAGTTAAAAACATATCGAATTCAAATCCAAAGTCACCAAGAATAATTATAATCTAAATGTGACACAAACGAACAAGTTTTCTCCTTTTTTCCCTTTACTGCTGGCAGAGTTGACTAATTCCTACGTTTTTTCAGCTCACAAAATAAGACAAAATTATGTTTTAAATAAGTTTTAAAATACATTTCTGTTTTGTTTTTCTCTGATTAGAATAAGCTCAAATTTGTTATAGTTATATTCAACTACATTCTATGCATACAAACTGCATAAAATGAGCTTAAACAGATCTTTCATTGAAGATAAATATGATTACAGAAATTAAAATATTTAGCTTTGAAAACCCTAATCAAGAAGTAGCCAAAAGCCACCACTACTCTGCTTCTGTGAAATAAAAAGTCAATGCCTTTTTTGACCAAAATGTAAAGGAAACAATAGAGAAGAGAATAGCCCACTGAGTAGAGAGAGAGAGAGTGTAGTAAATGAAACGAGAGATTGGTGGTGAAAGGAGTCAGCTTTGCATTTATTATCTAATCTTCCAAAAAAACAAAAGAGCTTCTTTCTTCTCAAAATTCATCTTTTTTTTTTTCTTCTGATTCTTCATACAAAATTGTGGGATCTGTTTTTTTCCTTCTTCCATCTTCTTTTCGTTAGATTCCTTCTCATTTTGGAATTTTCCTTTGAAATTCTGCTCCGTACGTTTGATTAAACCCATTTTATTTATTTTCTGATTTTTTCTGGGTTCACTGAAAGTTTCCGTTTTTAGAGGCTTCTCTTGATCTGTTTCAAGATCTTCTCATTTCTTCTCAATTCCGTTCACCTTTTTTAGGGTTTTTCTCATGGGCTAGAAGAAGAAAAAAACCCTTTTTTTGTTGCTAAATCTCGGAAAGCATTAATGCATTTTCCTCTGTGGAAGCAAATTCACCACTGTGCTGCTCTGATCTTAGATAAGAGCAAGAGCAGGAGGAGAGACAACAGCAACACCAACAATGCCTCCGATTCACCAATCGACGTCAGAAGAAAAGCTTCAATCCTTCGTCGACTATACGAAGACAAGCTCAGAGAAGCTCTCGAGGAAGCATCCGAGAACGGGTCACTCTTCAAATCGCAAGACATCGAGAAAGAGAATCAACAAGACGAAACCTTGGGCCGCTCCAGATCTCTTGCCAGACTCCACGCGCAACGCGAATTCCTCCGAGCGACCGCTCTGGCCGCGGAACGCGATTTCGAGACGGAAGACGCAATCCCTCAGCTCCTCGAAGCTTTCAACAAGTTCCTCACAATGTACCCAAAGTACGAAGCTTCAGAGAAAGTCGATCAATTGAGATCTGACGAGTACGCTCACTTATCAGATTCAAAGGTATGTCTCGATTACTGTGGATTTGGACTCTTCTCGTATGTTCAGACTCTGCATTACTGGGATTCTTGTACGTTTAGCTTATCTGAGATCACTGCGAATCTGAGTAACCATGCGCTTTACGGTGGAGCTGAGATTGGCACTGTAGAGCATGATCTCAAGACTAGGATAATGGATTACCTCAACATACCTGAGAGTGAGTATGGTCTTGTGTTCACTGCAAGTAGAGGCTCTGCGTTTAGGTTGCTAGCGGAATCTTACCCTTTCCACACGAACAAGCGTCTCTTGACCATGTTCGATCACGAGAGCCAGTCTGTGAACTGGATGGCTCAGACGGCGAGAGAGAAAGGCGCTAAAGCTTACAATGCGTGGTTTAAGTGGCCAACGTTGAAGCTGTGTTCGACGGATTTGAAGAAGCGTTTAGCTCATAAGAAGAGGAAGAAGAAAGATTCGGCTGTTGGTTTGTTTGTGTTTCCTGCTCAGTCTAGAGTGACTGGCTCTAAGTACTCTTACCAGTGGATGGCTTTGGCTCAGCAGAACAACTGGCACGTGTTGCTTGACGCTGGCTCGTTAGGTCCCAAAGACATGGACTCGCTGGGGTTATCGTTGTTTAGGCCGGAGTTTATTATAACCTCGTTCTACAAGGTGTTTGGGCATGATCCTTCAGGTTTTGGTTGCTTGTTGATTAAGAAGTCAGTGATGGGTAATCTTCAGAGCCAGTCTGGGAAGACAGGGTCAGGGATGGTGAAGATCACACCTGAGTATCCGTTGTATCTCAGCGATTCGATTGATGGTTTGGACGGATTGGCTGGTCTTGAAGATCATCATGACATTGGTATGATGAATGGTGGTGGTGATAAAGCTCCCATGGAAGCTCGGAAAGTAGCTCAGATGCCGGTTTTCTCTGGTGCGTATACTTCAGCTCAAGTGAGAGATGTGTTTGAGACAGAGCTTTTGGAAGATAGTGTCTCTGATAGAGATGGGACTAGTAGCACCATATTTGAGGAGAACGAAAGCGTTTCGGTTGGTGAGTTGATGAAAAGTCCGGCGTTTAGTGAGGATGAGTCGTCTGATAACTCGTTTTGGATTGATTTGGGGCAGAGTCCGCTTGGTTCTGACCGTGGGAACCACCATAAGATTGCTTCTCCGTTGCCACCGTTTTGGTTTACAAGCAAACGGCAGTCGCCGAAACCGTTGGGAGCAAAGAGTTACAGTAGTCCTATGTATGATGGTAAAGATGTTCTCTCGTTTGATGCTGCGGTTATGTCAGTTACTACTCAGGAGACAAACTCAACGCCGTCAAGGAACTTGAGGAGCTCTAGTAATCTCCAGATTCAAGAGATACAGGAAGAAAACGGCGGTGTGTTTCACGCAGGGTCTGGTTTTGGATCAAATGGCTCAAGCTCAAAGATTTCTTCAGATATGAAAGAGAATGCGATTAGACGAGAGACGGAAGGAGAGTTTAGGTTATTGGGGAGAAGAGGTACTAGTAGTACTGGTGGGAGGCTTTATGGTGTGGAAGATGAACAACCGAGCAGAGGGACACGAGTTTCGTTTAACATGGACCGTGTGAGTCAGAGTCTTGACCAAGGTGAAGCTTCTTTGGCCTGTGTGTATGACGAAAGCGATGGCGAAAACCAGAATGAGGAGGAGGATGATTGGGAGAGAAGAAGAGAACCTGAGATTGTTTGCAGCCATATTGACCATGTGAATATGTTAGGACTTAACAAAACCACAAGTAGGCTCAGGTTTCTGATTAACTGGCTTGTGATCTCTTTGCTGCAACTGAAAGTTCCTGAATCTTCAGGCGGTGACGGAAGACACATGAATCTTGTGCAGATTTATGGTCCAAAGATCAAATACGAGAGAGGAGCAGCGGTTGCTTTCAATGTGAAAGACAAAAGCAAAGGCTTTGTGAGTCCTGAAGTTGTTCTGAAACTTGCTGAAAGAGAAGGTGTGTCTCTTGGTATTGGTATCTTGAGTCACATTCGGATTATGGATAGCCCTAGGAGTCATCGTGGTGGCGCTAGGATCAAGGAAGATAGCTCTTTGCATCTACAGAGAGATGGTGGTGGTAAGCGAGGTGGGAAGAATGGGTTTGTGAGGTTTGAAGTTGTCACAGCTTCTCTTAGCTTCTTGTCGAATTTTGAAGATGTTTATAAGCTATGGGCGTTTGTGGCCAAGTTCTTAAACCCTGGTTTCAGCAGAGAAGGTTCGCTTCCTACTGTGATTGAAGAAGAAGCAGAAGAAGATTCAGAGACTTGATGATTGGCTTCTTTTGAAAACAAAAGGCAGAAACTTTTTGAGCCTTTGACAATTGAAGGAGGGTTAGAAGTAGAACTGTGAATTGAGAGTTGCTATATAGTTTTTTAGTTATTTTTGCTGCTCTGTTTCAGTTGTTCAGGAATGTCAGATAGGAGAGAACAATTCTTGTAATTTGGAAAGCAGAACATGTTTTGGCCAAAGATTCCATCTTTAGTGAAGAGAACACAGTTATGCATTTGTTCTCACAGTAATCCTCGTTAAGCTCAGCTTTGTTTTCTTTCTCTCTGAATCCTTTTTCCATGTATATATATATCTTGAGAAGTTATTTGGAGCTTTACAAAATATTTTTAAAACCAAAAAAATATTCAACTTATGACTCTTGGCAAATTGCATAGACACAAAAAACGGACAAATCACAAACCTTCCTATATTGCGAGCTTGGTGCATTTTGTTATACTCTTCTAGATCAACCTCAATGTTCTTTATCCGTTTCTTATAATTTATAAGCAGAAATCTTATATTATTTGTATTGTTGGGATATCAAGAAAAGAAATGTCTAATATATAAGAAAAATCCAACTCCAACCAATATAAGACATAATATGAGATATTTTTGGGAAGAAGTACAAAGATATGTCACTAGGATCCAAAGTGAATAATATCATACTATTGGAGAAGTAGACATAGCCTTAATAGTCCAACAATTGGTATAAGAAGGAAATGGGAGTGTGCTACATGTTTGTTGTGGGAAAAAACCCTCAAATATGATCTTGCGATTAGAGATGCCAGTACGATGATTGTTATTGTTCCTTAAGGGTCTGACTGGTTTAACCGCTGCGGTTGCGGTTGCGGGTGCGGGAGTTTGCGGAAGCGGGCGGTTGTGATTAGTAGCGTTATTAAGCGGTTTGTACGACTGGCATAACAATTGAAAATGGATGCGTTTGCGGGATACTTATGACTGGTTCACTTGCGGATGCAATAGCGGTTAAACAATAAATTAATAATATAAACACATTATATAATTATAAAAATATCAAAACTATATTATAATGAAAATTTTAAATTTATGGTTCAACATAATTAAAAATAATTTTTTTATAAAGAATAATATGTGTATAATACTTACGTCTATTTTTTAATTTCTATAATTTAAATAAAAAATGTGATTTTATTTTCAAAATATATATTTAATGTGAAAATTAAATTTATTTTACAATTTTATTTATTAGATATATATGTATTAGTATGAAAAGAATATTTATGAAGAGAATTTTGATTTGTAGAACTTATAAATATATAAGTATTATATGATTTTAATGAATATTGACTAAAAGTACTAATTTTTTATTTATATTGTGATTTTATTATCCAAATCTTATTTTTTAATAAATATTATTATTTATTTTCGGATTTTATATAAGTTTGTGTTTTTTTTTTTTTTTAATTATCCACCCGCAACCGCCCGCAACCGCAAACGCTTGCGGAAAGGAGCTTTTGATTTTCAGCGATATAGAGCGGTACAGAGTGGTATAGAGCGATTCAAAGCGGTTGTCGTGATTGTTATAAACCGCCGAAAACCGCTACGAACCGCAAACGCTGCGTTTGCGGGTGGTAGCGGGAGAACCAATCAGGCCCTAAGTCGAGGTAACTATTCTTACACTATCCGTAGTAAAAAGAAATACCAGTACGATGATTGTTATTGTTCCTTAATTGTTGCTTTATAGGATCCTATAAAGATTGCTCTCAATCCAAATCGGACCGGATGAACGAAACCAAATCGAACTAAATTTGATTTTTTATTTATTTATCAGTGAAACCATTCAAAACCTACCTAAACCAGCAGTTTATGATTCTCGTTAATATTTTGCTTGACCGGTTTGTCAAATGAATAGCATGAAGAAACTGAATTGAAAAACATAAATAAAAAAGCATAAGTTAAATAACACTAAAAATAGAACGGTAAAAACAGTCGGATCAAAAAGTAAACGGGCAAAATAAATAGAAAAATGACTTGTATTTGTTACGTTTTGTCATTCCATTCAGAATATTGTAAATTTGGCATGGAAAACAGAAAACGATACATGCCATAAGGCCCATAACCCTCACATTTTGCACCTCTACTTGGTTTTGCCTCTCTAACGATCTTTATTTTTTTAACATGTGAAGGGTGATCGCAAGTATTTCGTAAACTTTATTGATAATCATGGTGGAGAATCTCAAGATCAGGCGACGACAATAATGTGTATCAGCTTCATGTTACATGTTTTACCTCGCAAACCGATCATATGACAGATGGAATTATGTTTTCAAGTATTTATATGAGTCTCCCTCGCTACTTGCAAGGCTTGCATCGTTATTTTCCCCTTTTTATGTGTTGTTCAAGAAACCGGTTATGTTTGTAACGATATACACTACAAATAAATGGATTTTAATGTTCTTTGTTGAGGTCTTACATAGTGAAATCCGTAACAGACTAGTAATTAATTATTATATAGATGTGGAAGCGATTTAAGGATAAAACATTAATAATTTATAAATTGATGAACCAAAAAAAACAACATAAATAATTTTATAATCTGGAGCATCTGTACTGTGTGGGAGACCAAATTAAAGACCGTTTGATCAATTGGCTAAATTTGTTTTAAGAGAACGCAAATTAATCTGAAATTTTTATTCGCCAGGTGAGGACTGACATGCACGACAGTATGGCACACTGAAGAGTTTAAACATTCGAGAATTGAAGCAGCAAATGGATTTGAGGACAAGACTCATCGTGCTATACCACTAAGATAACTAGACTAGACATAGTATTTTGTTGTTTTGACTGTTTAAATTCTGCAGATTAAAATTTTATTGGTTGAATTTTCTTGTAAATATGATAAAACATGTTTTGTTTTGAAAAAAATAGAAAATTAAATAATTTCTTAATAGGTGTGTATAATTTCAAAATTCCACTTATTTCAGAACAGATGACAATATATTATTTAGTTCTCTTGTTAATATGTTAAGCAAATAAAGTTAAAACTGGAAATTTGGCTTAAAATATGTAATGTAAAATGATATTTATATTGTAAAAAAAAAGAGCTAAAATTTCCAGTATATGCCAAATAGATATTTTCTGGATAAATTTTAGTTATTATGAAATTGATGAAGTATATGCAGATAGATAAGGCAAAAATATCATCGATACCATCATTATTTTACATAGTCGATACCATCATTATTTTATGACATTTTGTTAGATAAGGCAAAAAATAATTCACCAGTCTCAATCGATCCATCCCTACAAATTAAAGACTGATACAGAAGCCCGAAATGCATGTAGATGCAAAATTATGAGTTGTTCACAAAATTGGGTTAAACGTGGGAAAAAATAACAAAATGAACAAGTATGAAATTACAAAAGTCAATAAATACTCTAATTTTTACAACCACCAAAATTGATGGAAGCACTGCACATTTTGATTTGTGGATTCTTGAAGGTCCCAAGAGAAAGGAATGGTAGAAGGATATCCACATATTGTCTCCTTTGTAGAAGAAGATAGTTTGAGGAACGGATTTCAAAAATACCACCTTCTTGTCAAAATTACACAAACTTATATAATACTCTCTCTATTTCCTTTTACTTGTCTTTTACTTGTCTTGGTAGGCTGTTTTGTGTATAAGAAACTAACTAGATTTATTGGATTTACTCCAATTTAATACATTGGAAAATAATAATATAGGAAACGAAAATTCAAAAAGACATATGCCAAGACCTTTCTATAAAAGACAAGAGGGTTCTTAGTTAGAGCTGTACTCATCAAAACAATTTAATCTAAAACATGCCAACCCAAGTGAGCTCATCGATCCCTTTAATGGTCGAGAAGAAACTTTCCGAAATGGTGAAACCCTCAAAATCCATACCTTATCAAATCCTTTCCCTCTCAACACTTGACAATGATCCTTTCGATGAAGTTACTTACAAGATGTGTTACGTTTTCAAACCCAAGAACGTTGATGATGATGACCGACCGGAATCTCTGCTTAGGGAGGCTTTGTCCGATCTTCTCGGCTACTACTACCCGCTTTCAGGGAGTTTGAAGCGTAAGGAGAGTGATCGGAAGCTTCAGGTAAGCTGTGGCGGCGATGAGGGCGGCGTGGCGTTCACGCAGGCTACTGCAAATGTGGAACTCTCTTCTTTGGAGAATCTAGAGAACATTGACTTAGATACGGCCTTGAAGTTCTTGCCTGAGCTTCAAGAGGACAAAGATGGTTATCGACCTTTTGCTTTGCAGGTAAACACATCATTGATATGTTTCATATAAGTTTTTGCCTGAGCTTCACTGTCGCTGGTAATTGTAAAATGAACATGATTTTTTTTTTGGTTTTAACATGATTTTGTTAATGGATTGCTATCGTAATCGCTACGGTAATTAAACGACTACAAAAACAAACACGCATGCATGGCATATTCATTTTTTTTTTTTTTTTTGGCGACATGCATGGCATATTCATTAAAAGAGAGAAAGTGATATATTATATAAATTTGATCATGTCGGAATTTTTTTAGAGAATTTAAGAACGATAAAAGATTAGAAACTTAATTAAAAATCAAGAACTTTAGTATATTATATAAAGAATTTCATCAGGGCACTTCTCTTCTTTTTTTTTTTTTTTTTTTATGCATTAGGGAACTTCTTCGTAAAAATTAATGGACTTGTGTTTCTTTAAATTAATTTGTATGTCGTGATTGAGAATAATATTACACATTAATTTAAGAATAGTGTAGACAGCATATTTGGACTAGCTAGATCTTGTAATTTCTTACGAACTTTTCCGACTTTAGTTTTAGTGATATTAATAAAATGATATACTCGTCAAAGGCATTAATTAGTTTAAGTAGTACATTCGATGTTCTGTTATCTTGGTCCAAACCTGATTACATGTGTATAGTATATTTTCTCCAAGACAGGTGACCAAATTCGTGTGTGGAGGATTCGTGTTAGGAATAGCTTCATCGCATGCAATGTTTGATGGATATGGCCTGGGTCATACCATGTGTGCCTTGGCGGAGTTGGCTGGCGAGCACAAAAAACTGACGGTGACACCGATTTGGGAAAGAGAGAGACTTGTGGGGAAGCCTGAAATCGATCGACCTCCCTTTGTTCCCGGTGGAGCCACGGCTGCTTCGCCCTACTTACCTACCGATGATTGGGTATGTGTGCACAAAACAAGACTATCATGCATGATTACTACTATCTATTAAAAGGTTAAGCATGGTTGACAAATAACTAAGGTGTAGCATTTTAGAGAATAGTCTTTACAATATATTTCAAAAGATTATCATATTTTTTTAAGGTTTTTTCCAAATATATCACCACTAGCTAGATTAATTCAACAATTAAATTATATAACCAAAATATTATACTAGATCTTCAAGTTTATCCTATCCGTATTTATATTTTGTTACCAGGTAACTGAAAAAATAAATATCAGAGCCGGGAGCATAAGAAGATTGAAAGAAGCTGCATTGGAAGTGTATGACTTCTCTAACGAGACACCCACTACTTTCGAAGTTTTAAGTGCTTATTTATGGAAGTCAAGAGTCAAAGCTCTAAATCTTAATAAAGATGGAGTCACAGTTTTGGTTTTTTGCGTGGGAATCCGAAACGCTGTGGATCCTCCTTTGCCCGACGGATATTACGGCAATGCGCACAAATTAATTTGGAACAGAGCAATTCTTCTCTGTATCCCAATTATTTCCTTCAAGATACGCTCACACATAGTTATCGCCAAAATAGTATTCTATGGATTGTGAGCCACTTGATGTTTTTCTATACAATCACTCGAGTAATGCAGAAACATAAGTTTTACATACATAGCTGAAAGTTAAAAATACATATATAAGATGATTTCTAAACCACAATCAATGAGTTCAGTTTATTGCAAGAACGGTTTGTTTTATTTGTCAATCATATCTGTTCAAATTCATAAGAATCTAAAGATAAAGAAAAGTTTAGAACATAAAAAAGCATATGGATCCCTAGTCATGACTGATTGATTCTAAAGCACACTATCTCAGGAGTTGGAAACTTTGAACAAGTCAAGACAGCTCTCTGTTGCAAGTGCTCTGTCCCAAAACTTTTCATAATACTCAGCATAAGTAAAGCTTCTGTACACAGCAGGAGATCCCTCTTCCTCATTGATCAGCTCTTGTGGTGGACCAACCACAGCATCAGCAGAAGGACAGTAAAATGTCGGTATCGATATCCGCTCCTTGTCGTTGTTCACAACCGCTCTGTGTAGAACACTCTTGTATTTGTCATTGCTTATAACCTAAGAGGAGAAACAACCACAGAAATTTAGCACAAAGAGAGTGAAGAAACAGAGGAATTTTCTCTAATTTTGTCATTGCTTATTTACCTGCATTTGGTCGCCGATGTTGACTATAAAAGTGTTGGGAACAGGATGGACAGCGACCCATTTACCATCTTTAAAGACTTGCAAACCAGAGACTTCGTCTTGGAGAAGAACAGTTATCAAGTTTGGATCTTTATGGCACGGAAGTCCGAACGTTAGATCCGGTTGAGGACACGGAGGATAGTAGTTTAACGCCATGTGTTGACCGTGTTTGCCTAACGTATTGCTTACACGGTCTTTCTCAACGCCTAAGCTCTCCGATATTGCTTCAAGAAGTGTCAAGACCAAGGCTCTGACGCTTGTGGCGTATTCGGCTGTGATGTCTCTGAAAGAGACAGGATTTGAGGGCCATTCGTCGATGAAATCTTGGATCGGAAAGCAATGGAGTCGGAGGAAGTCTCTCCAGTTAGAGACTTTCTCTGTGCCGACGTTGAAACTTGTGGAGAGTCTTGTCGTCTTTTTCGGATCTGCGGAGTAATGCTTTACTCTTTCGCTCTCTGGCTGCCGGAAAAACTCTCTCGCCACCGTCATCATTCTTTGGATCGTTTTTTCTGGTACACCATGGTTCTTGATCTGGAACAAGAAAGGATAATTTTTTGATCCATATAGTTAGAATCCAGAGCGTATCTTGTAACAAAACAGAGTAAACATAGTGCCTTGCAATAGAAACAGAGTAAAATCAAAAGAACAAGAGTCTATTGCAGTAAAACAGAGTAAACTCAAGAGGAAACAGGGTATATTCGAGTGAAAACAGAGTGTATTGCTCTAAAACAGAGGAAATTCAAGAGGAAGCATGCTAAATTCGAGTGAAAACAGAGTGTATTGCAGCAAAACAGAGGAAATTCCAAAAAACAAGAGTGTATGGAGTAAAACAGAGGAAATTCGCGTGAGACCAGGTCAGCAGAGTGTATTACACTAAACAAACTAAATTTGCTCAAAACAGAGTAAACTCGAGAGCAAGCAAAGTGTTCTGCCAGAAATAAAAAATTGGCTGAAAGCAGAGTGTATATCAGAAAACAGAGTAGATTGGAAACAAGATTTGGGTCCATAAGTGGAGCGTGGAAAATGCATGAGCAAACTGATGTATGAATCGAGGAGTTACCTGGAAGAAGCCGTAAGAGGAGCATGCGTGAGAAAACTGAAGAATAATGTCGACTCGATTGGGTCCATTAAGCTCCTGCAGATCGATCAGAGGGATGGAATCGCCGGAAGTTTCAACCTCAGACAGATTTGGACGGTCAGAGATTGGTCGGACGTAGTTTGAAGGGACGTGATCAACGGAGGAGGCGATGTCGGAGACAAGGAGCTTGGATGTTGCAGAAGCTTCCATGGTTGGTGTGATCGCGTCGAGATGTGAAATCTGAAATGTGAAGAGAGAGAGAGAGAGATGATATCATTATTATATAATAATCACACATGTCATAGATGATAGAAACTTGTGACATGCACCGCACGTTGTTCACCACGTCGACTCATCTACATTTGATTTGGATTTTTATGAGATCCTCAGCGTTTTAAGCATATAATTTTAACGAGGTAGTTGGTTCGCGCCTTGCACGGGCATGAGCTGTTTTGAAAAATAATTATTTATAAAATAAAAACATTTTTTCATAATTCAAATATCACGATAATTTAAAAAAAAAACTGAAACAAAAAAGAAAACTATTAAAATGTGGACATAAAAATAATATAATATTCAAATCAAATCAAATATTTTAGAAAACTTTATTATACTATACAATAATCAGTTTCATATACTTTTGTTTCTCAAATAACAATTTAAACCTATCTATTTTATCTTTTTCTTTATCGTTTACGTTTTTTTCTGATTTATTTTGTTTTCTTTTTATTATTGGTTTTTCATCTTCTTCTCCATTTCTTTCTGATTTCTTCATCAACTTTGTGTTCTTCTTCTTTTCCTTTCTGATCTTTCAATTTTTCTCTTCTTCTTTATCTTCTACATTTTTTACTTTCGGTTTTTCTTCTGCTTCCCCTCCTTCTTTACTCCTATCTTCTCTTTGCTTCGTGATTCTTAGATGATATAATCAATGTATCCGTTTGATAGTTTAAGTTTTTAAGGATTCTCTAAATATTTTATATCTTTATATTAATTATGATCTCTTAGTAAATATCTATTGGTGTTATTATCTTTTGATTCTGGATTTGCTATAATTGTTTTAGTTTTTTCTATTGTCAATGTATTTTTTAATTCAATGATTTTAAATTTGATATATTTTCATAAGAATTCATTTTTTTAAATGCACCATAAACTAAACCCTACATCCATCAATTTAAACCCTAACCCCACATTATAAACTTCATATATCGTATAGCATAACCCCACAGTACAAACCGGATTTGCTTTTATTTTTTTAGATCTTTTAAAAGTAGTTGTTGCTGTTTTTTTTGAACTCTTAACCCTACAATAAACACCTCCTCCCATCCATACATTACACCATAACCACATAATAGACAACTCTTTTCAATTTAATGATTTTTTTTTGCTTAATTTGGTGTAATTGTTGTTGTTATACAAAATTTCAAATGATATTTCAAAAATTTGCAATGTTATTAACTAATCGATATAATTTGAACAAAATATTAAATAATTTAGTTGTTTAACTATTTCCTTTATCCTTAAATTTTTCAAGAACTAAGTATTTTTAAAATACACAAAAAACTAAACCCTACACCCACCAATATAAACCCTACCTTCTAAACCTAACCCTACAACAACCTCCCTCCCCCCCCCTCACCCCACACCATAACCATATAATAGACAACTTTCTTCAATTTGAATGAAATATTTGTTTGCCTTAATATGGTGTTCTCTCCTTTTTTTGTTTTCCATCATTTGTACTATTTTTTTTATTCTTATTCAAATTCCCAATCTCTTTTTCTTCATCGTCGTCTTTTTATTTCTTGTTTCTTATTCCTTTTCTTTCTTTTATTTACAATTTCTATTTTCAGTGGGATTCTGTTCTTATTTTGAGGCTTTCTGTTTTTAGATATATTTGTTAATATACTCATGAATATTTAACTTTTTATTCCATTATTTTATTATCGTCGATGTAAGTTTGCATAAATTTTTAGTCAATAATTTTTTTCTCATATATTATAATTATCTAAATAATTCAAATTTTAATGATGAAACAAAAAACTAAACCCTACACCCACAATATCATCGCTAACTCACATTGTAAACCCCTACCCCAATAATAAATTATACATCCATAATATAAACCTACCCCACACTAAAATAATAACTAATATATTTAGAAACACTATAACATATCAAGTATCATAATCAAACATCAATACGCTAAATTCGTTTCTTTTGCAACCTATACTACATCAAAATAAGAACTAAAATCATAAAACTGTATATGAAGATGATTGAACTATAACAGTTGACGAAATCTGATTGTACATACATTATTCTAAACTCATACTGATATTTACTTCTTTTATTTGTACGGTTTTATTTATCTTCTTTGTATTATTTCCTTTGTCTTCCCGATTTTCCATTCTTATGATTTTTATATGTTTTCGTCTTTTTCCTCATATTTTCCTTTTTCTAGTTTGTCTTCTCTTACTTTTTTCAGTTTTTCTTTTCAAGACCCATCTACCCTTAACACAAAAGTATATTACACATAAATAAAATATAACTCTATAATTTTATACGTTAAACGTTAAACTGTAAAATCAAATTTGGCATAAAATAAACCAACAATAATTAGCATCAAGATAATAGAAAAACACGTTGATCATAGGCCCAAATAATTTTATCATTACATTTAATAGTTAAATAAATCTCAAATATCCAATAAAATTTAAATTATGCACTGAATACCAAATATACAACTCTTAGTTCTTAGATCAATCAAATCAAGAAAAATCAGAGCAACTAAAATTATGTAAGGAAGTGTAAAGAACGAACTGGAGATGTAGCCATACATGTTCACTCTTTGTAAACTTGGCAAACAGGTCATTGGGTATTGACCAGTCGAAAACTTCATAATTCCCTCTAATTCTTCCTTCATTGGTACTTTTAAGAAGTACACTGTTACCCAATCGGAGCTCCCAATGAAACACAACTTGAGCAGGAGACTTTCCGAATGTTTTGGGTTCTTGAAAACATAGCTCTTAAGCCACGTTGTTCCTATAGATCCCAATGGCGAGTATGCCTTGCAATAATATTCAAACAATGTATAAGGTATGGTGCATATTTATTCAAAAGGCATAGAAAAGTAAATCGTTAAAGGCATACAATGTAAAGGTATGGTGCATAATATTCCTATACTACATAGCTTATCCTCCTTTTCATCAGATAGTATAAACTCTAGTCTTTTAGCAGAAGTTGCGTAATCGTTAATCCACAAACGCAAAACTTTGACCAAAATTCCAGATTCGTGTGTCCTCGGCCCAAGTCCGGAAACGGTGTATACCTCTTCCTCAAGATCTTATCATACATAAAAAGCTTCTTGTAGGTGCTGATTCAATAAAGTCACCACTTAAAGATTTAATATGAACTATGAAACTAATAATATGGATACTGAAAAAAAAAACGTTATGAATATATTAATATGGATACTGAAAAAAACAAAAAACGTTATAGTCTCGCCATTAGAATTAGGGTTTCATGAATATTAAGTTGATATATAAAAGAAAAGATGTTCATACCCTCTATTTTTGGGGAAGAATATTTCTGGCTTGGGACCATATCTGAACTTCTCGATTCCATCAGCTTACAAATAATGAATTTTCTGTTACAAAAGTGAGAGGGGAAGAAGTTAGAAGCGGATCAATAGATGATATTGACAGAAATAACAAATAATCAGTTCATAAATAGATTTAATAGAACTAAGATCAAACTAAAACAATTAAGATACATGAAGAGAAGAAATATGAGATCTAAGAACTAAAATTACGTATAAAAAGAGGAATTGTAAATCGTAATGAGAATTGTGTTGATTTTCCTTGTTCGTATCTATTTATATAAGACATGGTTGGTTAAGAATCTTAGGGTTTACTTTTTATTTATCTTTCTAAAATTTATTAATCTTCCTAAAATTTATAATATCTGCCAAAAATAAGGCGGGGATATGGTAGTTAACATATTTATCTAAAAATATTAAAAGTCAATAATGAAATTCGTTTTTAATAAAAAAAAAAAAATTCGAAGATTTAATTGAAAGATTTTCATTAAGGGTAGTTATGTAATTCCGCGGCTGAGAGTTAACGTAGTGCCTCCATTCGAATTCTGACTTCGCAAATAATAGTATGATATGTTTGTATATGGACGCGTATGTTTTGTCGATGAAATCATGGAAAGAAAAGAAGAAAATATTTTTCAATTCAATGATAGGATTTTAAAAGTTTAAAATTGGTATAGAACATGTAACATTTACGTTTATGTATACTACAAACATAATTAGAAAAAAAAACATCATATAATTTCCTTCATTATTTTCTAAATGGAAAAACAACATTTAAGCAAAATGACTAGAACGCAATCTATTTGATTTTTTTTAAATAAGAGGTTATATAAAATGCATGAAAAATCGTTGAACTTTAAGAAAGCTTTTAAGTGCGTGGAAAATAGGCCATTTTATGGGAATAACATCATCTATAGTTCTTTACTAGTTCCATACTTCCATCGTGTACAGAAAATTATCTGTCTTCTGGTTCTTGATCATAAAAACCATATAGTCTTTTGAACAAAAAAAAAAAAAAAAAAAAAAAAAAAAAAAAACCATATAGTCTATACACTAAGTCTTCGAACTTGAGATAAAGAGTCGAAAGGCTTTTCTTTATACCTTTAGTACTAACAAGATTTGATCAAATGGACTTTTCTTGAATTGAAGAGGTGTTTTACAATTTTACATTTTGAAAACATTTTGTAAATAAAAATTTATGTGGGTCTATTAATTTAAAAGATTTTGCTAATGCGGTGGTGTAGCCGTAAGCCGTGTAGGTAAGTGGGGTTGGCTCAGATTTTGGTAGATCACCGACCGCATTTAAAGACGTGTTCTAAACATGTCATTAATTTACTTGCGACAAAATAAACAACGCGTTACCGAATAAACAAATGTGGAGTATGTGATACGGAGACAAGTGTCAAACAAATGAAGGGATGACTGTAGCAACGTGACGTCATGCTACATGACGTCAGTGCGTTTAGCAAAGTTACGCATTTTCGTATATTCGAGATTCACGTATTAAATAGGTTATTTTATGGCCTTGAACGAAAGTCCAGAACAAATACAAATTAAATACAAATCAGTTACACTGTATTAATTATGATATGTCGTAGGATGGGTTATGTGCTGCTGTAATAAATTTTTATTTGAAGATTTGTTTGAGAATAGTCGGTGAATAGATGATAGAAAGTTGAAAAGAAAAAGACCACATTATAATGCATCGAAAACCAGAAGAAAAAGAAGAAGTTATTGGTTATGTATGTAACGGTAACTCCCGATCCGAGATGCGGTGAATAGTCAGTTTGAAAAATACTTTACGGAAGAAGAAGTTAAATATGGTATTATGTGTAAGAGTACGGCCGGAAGATTACCGGAAAAACAAATGTGATGGAGTCACATAATCTAAGAGAAGACACAGCCGAATACGTCAGCTGATCTTCAACATTAACATTTTCTGTATCTTTTTCGCCAGTTGACCAACAAGGTTAACATTATCTTTTAATCTTTTTTCTCGAGCTTTATTTGACTTGAACGACACAAAGTTTTCTCAAAGCATCGAAGCACCATTAGAACAACCCCATTGGTAGTATTTAAGAGAGTATCTCAACATTATAAAGTTAAAAAAAGTTATAAAATGAAAAGAAAGAGAAGTGGATATCTCATTTGAGAACCCCAACAAAATGTTTTGAGATACCATATGTGATTTGTCCATTTACTTATTAGTCCAAACTTTTTATTTTATTTAAAATTTAATTATTTAACTAAATAAAACTAAAATTAATAGTATTATATTTATGAGATACTAATGGAGAATTGGAGATGATTGTGACGATTTTATTTATTTGTGCATGTCCATCTACTCTGTGTAATTCATTGGAAATAATATATTTTTGAGAAAAAAAATGGAAAACTAATTTTCCAATAAATCAAGAAAATAAAAAGCTCCACATAAAAGAATTACGTGCATTTTTTACTTTAAGTTTTTACGATAAATAGTTTTTTTTAACATGAATTTCTCTTTAAACGGATAATTATGATATACTATAAATTATACTAATTTAGATAAAATTGTAAGTTTAGAGAAAAAAAACAAATCATAATTCTTAATTTTTAGAAAAAAATAGAATTGTTGATGACTCAGTTGATGTAGGAGCCGACTCAGCAAGTTTGACTATACATGTTATGTCTCTCCGTTTCTTAGTTGTTATTCTATAAATGTATCTGGATATGTTTTGAATTAATAGAACCACAACTGATATGAAACAAAAAAAGTATGAGTCGGCACAACTAACTTAGTTAATAAATACATGTTAAAGAGTCATATTTGAATGGTAACCACGAACATAGTTTATATTTGAAATGGCTGGTTTCTAGGCAGATTTGTTAGACCATCTCCAATCCACCATTAAATCTTCCCTTAAACTTATTCAAGTGTGAAATTCATTTCTAATTCACCCTTATTTTTGCCATCAAAATAAGAGAATACTATTTTTCCTTCATTTATAGCGTAACTTTATTTCTCACCTTATTTTGATGTTGATCTTTTTTTTTTTCATAATAATCTATCAAATATAACTTTTTATTTCTAAATTAAAGAAATCATAAAAAAAATATTTTTCTTCCTTTTTTACTATAATTAATCATAAAACATTAATTTAGAAAATAACATGATATTTTATAAAAATATTAAAATTCTGTTTTAGTCATTACAAAGTAAATAATATAAATCTTTTAAAAAGTATGTAAATGAAAAGTATCTAAAGTTTTTGAAAATACATACAAATTATTTAAATAATTTACTTATTTTTGGAATTTTGGACAAAAAAAATAAAATATGTGGAGCTGATTTGTAAAACTTATAATTAAAAAGTTTTTTCAATAAATTTCAATTTAGAATATTCTTTTTTATTGTTAAAAATAAAGGAATACATAGGAGAAAAACACCACATTATTAAGGAAGCACTAAAATAAAGGGAAAACTGAGCGATTACATTAGAGATGGTCTTAACATTCATAAAAAAACATTTTAAAAAAAACCACTAAAATAAGGAGAAAAATGAGGAAATACATTAGAGAGGGTCTTAACACTATCACACTATCTTAGGATCGTTGGGAACTTTGAACAAGTCAAGACAATCCGCAAGTGCTCTGTCCCAAAACTTTTCATAATACTCAGCATACGTAAAGCTTCGGTAAACAGCAGGAGAGTCTTCTTTCTCATTGATCAGTTCTTGTGCTGGACCAACCACAGCATCTAAAGAAGGACAGTAGAACGTCGGTATCGATATCCGCTCCTTGTCGGTGTTCACAATCGCTCTGTGGTGAACACTCTTGTACTTGTCATTGCTTATTACTTGCATTTGATCGCCGATGTTAACTATAAAAGTGTTGGGAACAGGATGAACAGCGATCCATTTGCCATCTTTAAAGACCTGTAAACCAGGGACTTCGTCTTGAAGAAGAACAGTTATCAAGTTTGCATCTGTATGACTAGGAAGTCCATAAGTCAGGTCCGGTTGGGGACACGGAGGATAGTAGTTTAAGGCCATGTGTTGACCGTGTTTGCCTAATGTATTGCTTACACGGTCTTTCGCAAGGCCCAAGCTCTCCGAGATTGCCTCAAGAAGTGTCAAGACCAAGGCTCTAATGCTTGTGGCGTATTCGGCTGTGATCTCTTTGAAGGAGGCAGGATTTGAGGGCCATTCGCCGATGAAATCTTCGACTGGAAAGCAATGGAGTCGGAGGAAGTCTCTCCAGTTAGAGACTTTCTCTGTGCCAACGTTGAAACTTGTGGAGAGTCTTGTTGTCTTCTTTGGATCTGCAGAGTAATGCTTTACTCTTTCGCTCTCTGGCTGCCGGAAAAACTCTCTCGTCACAGTCATCATTCTCTCGATCGTTTTTTCTGGTACGCCATGGTTCTTGATCTGGAACAAGAAACAATAATGTGTTGATTCAAAGTTTATTGCACTAAATCAGAAAAATCATATTGCCTTGCAATGAAACAGTGTATATTCAATAGAACAATAGTTTATTGCACTGAAACAGAGAAAACAAAGTGTGTATATGCAATAAAACAAAATATACTTTATAAAATAAAATAAAACAAAGTATACTATAAATTAGGAAAAAATCATATTTTATTGCACTAAAACATGGGGACTAATTACCTGGAAGAAGCCATAAGCGGAGCATGCATGAGCTAGCTGATGGATAACATCGGCTCGGTTCGGTCCATTAAGCTCCTGGAGATCGATCAGAGGGATAGAATCGCCGGAGGTTTCAACCTCGGAAAGGTTTGGACGGTCAGAGATTGGTCGGACGTAGTTTGAAGGGACGTGATCAGTGACGGAGGCGATGTCGGACACGAGGAGCTTGGATGTTGCAGAAGCGTCCATGATTGGTGTCTGAGAGAGATGTGAAATCTAAAGTGATAGAGAAAGAGAGAGATCGAGATGTTCTGTGATCATTTGCAATCCCACATGTTATATATATATAAGGACATGCACCGTACGTTGTTTACCACGTCGGCTAAACGTATTTGATTTTGTGAGGTCATCTCTTACGTTTGCAAGTCACTGTTGACATGTGTGATAATCTTTAATAGAAAAATATAAGAAAAAAGAAAAAAAAATTACTAAGGATTATATTTTATTTTGTTTCCACTTTAGTTATTTCCATTTTTCAATAAAAATAATTTAATGAGATTAGATATGAATTCAGAAATCCAAAGAAACATAATGAAGAAGGTAACATTTGTCATGCAAGCGAAAAGATGACGTCAGCAGTATGACGTCATATCATATGACGTCAGAGTTTAACAAAGTTACATTTTCCGTACTATTCGAGATTACGTATAAGCTGGGTTTTAATGATTTTATATGATTGTGTTTTGCGTACAGATTTTTTTTTTTTTTTTTTTTTTTTTTTTTTTTTTTTGTGAAGCAGCGGGAGTAAGCTCCCTATTTTATTGAAAAAGTAAAATGTTACACACGAACGCGCTCTAGAGACCCATCTCATTGTCACATAAAACCGGCAACAGTTCCGGCGGAATTACATCAAAAGTGTGCAAGTCTAATGACAAAGAAAAAGCAAAATTAGTCAACCCATCTGCAAGACGGTTAGCCTCCCTGAACACGTGAATTACTCGGACTTCCCAGTCCTTTGATAAAAAGCCTCGACACATAAGTATCAGGAATGACATAAGATGAGACTTGTAGACCTCTGTCGTAAGAAACTCGACCACCATTGAAGAATCCACTTCCACTTCGAGTCTCGTGATTCTTTAAAAAGTTTTCAATATTTTTGGATTTTCTTGGAACTTTTTGCAAATGCAAACAAAATTCTAAAACAAAGTTAACATAAAAGTCTATAATAACCCTAAAAAGGGTCAGTTTAATAAAAAGTTTTACTAAATGAACATAGTATTTGATATGATAAATATAGGTTTTCTCTTTTTTTTTTTTTTTCTTTTTCATCAATCGATTTAAGTAAGATGCTCTTTCTCCAGTTGAGCTAACATCATACATCATAAAAACTCAGCAATAAGAATTTTAATTTGTGTTCTAAAAGTCGGCCGAGTTGCCGAGTACTCGGTCCTAAAACCGCCAGAAGGAGGTTGCCGTTCCGACTTTTTAAAAACCGAGTAAAGATATGGTCAACCGTTGACCGTACTTTGACATTCACATTATTATAAAAATCAGTAAGTAAATGTTAAAATCTGGTGGTTAAAGTTTGATTTTTGTTCACAATTAGCCCCAATTCGCCCAAAGTGTGTAAAACACTTTTCATTCAATATGAAACCTTAAAAATGTAGTATATGACTTTTATATTGATGTATTATATATAAAAAAAGAATGTTATTTGGTAATAATGTAGTATATGATTTTCATGTTGATGTATTATATATAAAAAATTAAAAATGTTGGAAATATATAAAAATGTACTTAAAATTAATTCCGAGTACTCTCCGATTTATTTCCGACTTTTGAGAAAATCGCTAGAAGGAGACGGAGCGCCCTAGTACCGCCTAACGAGTTTTAGAACACAGATTTTAATACAACGAGCAAACAAAAAAAAAAACTTTTAAAGAGAATTAGTGTGATAGAATCACCTAAAAGATTAAAAATCAATGCCTTCCAAAACTCATCTAGTTTGCAAATAATGTTAAGGATTAGTCATTATGTTAAATCTTAGTATAGTACTTTATCTTGTCTCTTTTTACATTCTCAACGTGTTCCTCATAAACCAAGTGGTTTTCACTTGATTGAGGAGTTGGCCTATTGGTTTTCATGAATTATTAATCTTTAGAAAGTCTGTAAGATAAGTTTGCTCGACCTTAACTAATATAAAAGGGACATGTGCCATTTTACTCACCAATTGGTAATGAATGGAATCGCCATATGACTGTGATAAAGATGGAAACAACGAGAAAGTCGTGGAGATTTGACCCAATGGGCCTCTCGATAAGACCTAATGGACTATAATTGGAAAAAGGATTTTCGAAAGCCCGTTAACCATAAATGGGCTGAATATAGGGTAAGCCCCAAGCAGTAGATTACGCCGTCTTCATATTTATTCATCGCCACTGATAAACTGAGTGAAAGCCAGAAAAAAGGGTTAGAGTTTCGCTGCGCTGTTCAAGGGTTTTCGTTATCGAAAGGAAGAAGAAGATAAGAGGTTGAAGCAGATGCCAGGCCCAGTTATTGAAGAATTGAGCGTTGAGGACCAGTTGATGGACGCCATCAAAGAGCAAATGAAGCTCGAGGTTCGTTTCCCTTTTCTTAACCGAGTCCAATATGTTTCGTCGATTACGATTTTGTTTTTCTTAAAAAATTGTTTTGTGTGTATGGAGCAGAAGGAAGACGATGTTGTTGTTGAGGATGTGAACGATGGAGAGGACGATGACGATGATGACGAGGACGATGACAACGCCGATGGTATATATCCTCTTTTCTCGATTTGATTATTTTTGTTTTATAGATTGCCTTCGTTCTCTTCTTTGATTGATTCGACTCTCTGAGATATTTCTGAAACAATTGTGGATTTTTGATTGGGAAACGTGAATCTGTTCCTCGATTGATTTGAGATGTTCCTGAAACAGTTCTGTGGATTTGGAAACGTGAATTTGCTCTTCGTTCTGTTAATAGTCTTATACAGTAATGCTGGATTAGGCTTTGTATCAGATTGCTTTAGAGTTACAGTTTAAGGGTTCTTAATTTTTGTTGTTTGTGTGTTGGTGAAGGAGCTGGTGAGGTTGATAGCTCAAAGCAAAGCAGAAGCGAGAAGAAAAGCCGCAAAGCAATGCTGAAACTCGGAATGAAACCAGTCACAGATGTTAGCAGAGTGACAATCAAGAGATCCAAGAATGTAAAAAAAAAACTCATCACTTGACCTCTTGAATCAAATTTCTATTCTTGTATATGGCTATGTTTTGATTCTGTATGTTCTTGCATGTTCCTCAGGTGTTGTTTGTCATCTCGAAGCCAGATGTTTTCAAGAGTCCCAACTCCGAGACCTATGTGATCTTCGGTGAGGCCAAGATCGATGACATGAGCTCTCAGCTACAAGCTCAAGCGGCTCAGAGGTTCAAGATGCCCGACGTTGCGTCTATGATCCCTAACACCGATGCTTCCGAAGCAGCCGCGGTTGCACAGGACGAGGACGACGATGAAGTTGTTGATGAGACTGGTGTTGAACCTAAGGACATTGATCTTGTGATGACTCAAGCTGGTGTCCCGAGGGGCAAAGCCGTCAAGGCTCTTAAGGCCGCTGATGGAGATATCGTTTCCGCCATTATGGAACTCACTACATGAACTTGTTGAGGTTCATATTCTCGCAATATTCTTGCTGCTTTTTTAATTCACTTGACATTTCGCTAGTATTTTTCTTGAAAACATTATGTGTTTCAACACTTTTAAGGCTATTTATTTTCCCTCTCCTCTTTAGCCATAAACATTGCTGCTTCAAATCTATGAAATGAGACTTTTATGTCTAATCTTCTTTAGCAAGAGAATGCAAGAAGAGTTGTGCGTTTTTAACATATCATTATCCGAACAGTAACAAAAACATCTTCAACATTTTTTTTTGTGGCAAATACAAAATTGATAACAAGGTTGAGTGTATTTAGAGTTTAAACAACACTTGAATAAGATTCAACATCTCAATTCAACCTACTACATAGCCTGTTAGTTTCAATTCTGAGGCTGTTCTTTGAGATTTCTACGTGCTAACCTGAAAAGGCGAGAAGCAAACGAACAAGAGGACCTCATTTACAAGGAGTAATCAATCTTTGACATTTGTTGCTGTGAAAATAAAACTTGGGGTGATTTGATGTCACCTTGTACATTCTCGTAAATCCGACTAATTGCTCAAGTTCCTTGTTTTGGAGAGAAATGTTTCATATTCCATCAAAGACCTATCTGCTTTAGCCTTGAGCCATAAGCTTCTATAAAACAAGGCACGTGGATTGATTTGCTCTTCTGTTTGATAATTCCCTGTAACCTGCACATTGTCAAACCAATACTATGAGGAAACGTCACAATATCAAGCCTGAAAGTATATAAGAAGTACAGAGTATTTTTACCTTGGCAAAGCCATTTTCTTGAGTCGCACCAAATTCAAAATGAGAAACTGGAACCATAGGCTCCATATTCCCTGAGACCATGGAGTACTCTTTTCTTTGAACATCAGCGTTGAGAGCCATATTTTGCGCCCTTTGTAGCTGATGGTCTCTTATCGATAGCTATAGAGAACATTTGGATTCTTAGAGATAAATTAAACACATGATCATTTCTGTATATCTACAAGAAATGATGACAAAAATTCCCACCTGCCTTTTACAGAAATATGGTAAAAGCAAACATTGTTCAAGCAAAACAGTTAGTTGGATAATTTTACTGGATAATAAAAATCCAAACTTTGGAACTGAATAGAAGTGATGAGTGCAAATATTCATTTTTTTCATGCGTTCTAGATGTTCCGTGAATTCCAATGTGCTTTAAGATTGTAACATGTTTCAATGAACTCACTCGCAAACCTATTAATGCATCAAAGCCTACATAAAAACTGTCAGAAGAACATACCTTACGCATATTATTATGCAACGGATTGAAATCACATGAAGTGTCTACGGCGCTTGCATAATTCCCAGTATGCTCCTGAACTCTGTTATTGATGTATGAGTTGAGATTCTGCACAGTACAGTTGATGAGATCAAGATCTTGCTCATTTGGTGGATCTGAAGTTTCTGAACCATGTACATGCGTTAGCAGCTCTGAGAGCCCATGTATCGTCGTAAGGATTTTCTTGACATCCATTTCTGAAGATGGTGATGACGTGGAACAGCCATGTCTATCGCCAAAGTCAGATGAAGCTTTGACATGGTTCGAAGATGAGCTAGTTTCTAAGATATGGAACGGTTCCTTTGTAGGTTTAGAAGAACTTCCACGTAATATGTTGGGATGGAGACGTCCCATCTGCTTTGTATCAACTTCATTAAAAGATGACTCTTTGTGGTTCCTGTAGCCAATTGGAGATAACAAAACGGAACTATTCACCATTGGCGGTAAACCATTCACAGCTTGATTTTCCTCACCGCCATATACTTTTTGTTTAGTATCTGCTAGCGAGAACTGACGAGCCAGAGGATTTAGCTTCTTCTGACCACGAGACTTGTTACTGGAACTATCCAGTTTCGCATTATCAGATATCTGAACTTGAGATCCAGGAGTGTTGAATGAATATGTTGCTCCAGATTCATGAACATTACTAGAGTATAGATTCCTTAAACTGTGGCTGACCTCTGAAGAATGTGTTTCAACCTTTAGATTCTCTAGCAACATATCATCTGAAGAACTTAAAGCATAAGTTGAGTCAGCATTTCTCTCAATAGCTATCATGTGATCTGCATGGACGACGGCACTTAGTTTTGCATTAGCAGGAACGAAGACAGGGGCCAAAGGATCAAGCTTTTTAGGCGTTTGGAACTGATAGCTAATATCCAACATGCTCATAGCCTCGGAAACACTATCTTGAGACACTAAACCCAAACTTTCATCTGCATCATGAATCACGAACTCTGTTCTATTATTCCTTTGGCTATAATCTTGTTCAATCCCAGCTCCAGAAGAATCGGTGAAACCGAACTCTCCCGAGGATGGTGGAAAAGTTGAAGACAAAGACCTTTTCAAAGACGAAGAACCGTTTTCTTCAAACTCCGTCTCGTTCTTGTCTAGCTTCATCTTAGCACTAGATGGTATAAACTGAGGTGCCAAAGGATTCAATCCGTAGAGAACATTTACATCATCGGTACAACGCCTGAAACTCGAAGACCTTGTTCCTCTCCAGCAAGGAGAATCCACCTCAACGTCATCTTGATCAGAAGGTAAAGAACATTTCAACATTTTTGAGAAAAGTGGACTAATATTGCTTTCACTGATATCTTTGCTAACCAGAAATTTCCCAGAACAAGCTTCTTTGCCCAACCGTCCTTCTGCTCCATCATTAGCAACATTTGAATCAAAATGATTTGTGGAAACAGCAGCTAATGAAGATGAAGGCTGAGAAGAATCCACACGCTTCCTTATTTCCAGGTTTCTCACAGTTCTTGCATTAGCAGCTAAACCGTATAGCTCTGATTCTTCAGCTACAGGCATTCCAAAGAAAAATTCACAAACGTATCCGTAAATCTCAATTCTCATTATTAATTTCTCATAGCCACAAATTGGAAAAACAAAAGAAAAAAACCCAAATTGGTTGCAATTTTATCCAATTGATTCAATTGAAACCTTTAGCATAACATTTGAGAGGGGGAAAAAAATCAATTTTCACCTTGAGGAACAGTATTCGAATCCGGACGGCGTGACAATTTTGGTAGAGAATCAACGTCGTCACCATCATCGGTACCATTCTTCTGTTCGTCGGATGTCAAGAAGGAGAAATCGAAAGTGAAATCACGCCAGAAGGAATCTTCGGGATCGGATTCAGAAGCAGCGAAAGAAGATAACGAGGAAGAAGCAATGGCGAAAGGTGGGGCGAGAGGAGACAGACCACGATCACACTGTTTCATCTCCTCGCCGAAAAAAATGGCTATGGTTTATGAGGAAAGAGATTCGAAATTTGTGGATATTGTCGAGAGATTGGATTAACGAAGAAAGGAAGAGAGGAGGAGGAGGAGAAGAAGAAGAAGAAGACCAGTTTCCACCTTCCCCTTCCCTTTTTCTTTTTTCACTGACATTTTGATTTTTACTGTTTACAAGGTAAAAAGTTAAAAACAAAAATGTTTCGCTTATCTTTTTGTTTTTACCTTTCGAATATACATATGTGACCCCTATACTATTCTTTCTTTCGAGTTTCTTCCTGTGATTATTAGAAACTCCAATTAGTGCCCTTTACAACAACATCCGTACGGCCAGAATTTACATTACCTTGATACAATAACACAAATCGTTTGTTAATACCATTTGTGTTATTGTATCAAGAATGACATCAGTTACCTTAATACCATTAGAATTGTGATAGTTACCTTGATACATTATGTTATTGTACGTCATTTTTAGTTAACTAAGCAGAATTTATATGGTTACGTTTTATTACAAATTTTACTATATCCTTTTAAATTTTAACTATAATAAAATTATATTACTTAGCTTTTTGCATCAAGTTTGGAGTCGTTATTTCTAAGCAGTTACATGAGACGGCATGCATTGACGTTGTCGTCATTAAACATATTACTAACCCTGTCGTCTCCACGACGACCTACGGGGATAGTTCCATGTTGTTCCGTGCTATTGTAGCCATGTCTGTAATAGTTATAACTCTCTTTAAACTCTTTCGAAGGATCTACGAAATAGTTTTGAGTAGATGTGAAGTAAAGTGGAGGCTCAGGGTATGGCCAAAACTCAGCTCTCTTCCCGGCTCGTCTCACGGCTTTGATCACTTTGTTTCTGTCAACGTACCCCACTACTCTCACTCTTCCCATCTCTCTTTCCACTTCTACTGAATCAACTCCTGTGGTTTCAATCAATGAATCTAAGATTCTCTTTAACAAGAGCATGCATAACTATATATAGTCTTATAGATCATGACAATTATATGTGAATTAAAGTTGTGACCTCGGAGTTTTGAGATTGCGTTCCTAACGATCCTGACGCAACCAGTGCAACACATTCTCACCTTGAGATCAACCGTCTAGGTGTGGCACGGATGTCAAACACAAAACATATATTACGTTTCTTATGAGAAATATTGGATGTATAACATGTATACATTAACATATAAAAAATTATCATTACCATTTTACATTAGGACAAAAATATATCATTACCAACCCAACCCAACCCAAACTGAAAAGATTAGCTATAAACCAACAACACGGTAATAATTATCTCTAATCCAAACTGAATCAAGCAAAATCAAACCGGAAAAATAAATGGCATTATTTCCTACGATTGCGTTTCCGGTAAGGCACAAATGGGATGAATTTGTAAAGAAAGAAAAAAAACCTGCAAAGAGAGTGGACGTTTCTTTGACATCCTGAAGTAGCTGATATGTGTGGTGGTGGTGGGTCTTGGATCAATGGACTCACGACCGCGTCGGAAGGAGAAAATTCTTGCAAGAAAAGAGGCAATCGACTCGATACTTATAAAAGGAGACATCTACGTCGATCGATTTTTTTTCTCTCTTTTTGGAATTGACGATAGAATTATTGGATTCGATTTACATGATCATGGCAATATATATAGATCTAGAGAGATGAAAGCTTGGGTGATAGGAGAAGCTGAGACACATTGCAACAAGAGTAAACAACTTACAAACTTAATTACGGAAAGGAATAATATGTAGAAATTGAGATGGAGATGTTACTATGTACGCGAAGTAAACAGCTTTTTCTTTTGTTACATCTCGTGATCTCTCAAACACACGTCGACGCTCTTACACACTTGTGTTTTTTTTATTTGTACTGTTATAAATTAATGTTACGTTATTTTAGTTAGAATCAAGGGTTTAGCCTCACAACAAGGAAAAGTATATGTACACGTTCATATATATAAACATTGTTAGCTAATCTAAGATACAACTAAAGCAAACATGTACATGTGCATGTAACAATTCTGGCATAAACCATACTGCAGTGAAACCTTGCAATATCACATAAATAAATTGAATCAGATTAAACACATTTTGCTGTGTTAACTAAAAGATCGTATCGACGATGGGCCTTAAATGACTTTTATGGACTTTAATTTATTTAAATGGGCTTTACTTGATACAAATGGGCTTTTCATAGGGCTATTTTGTATAACCAGAGAAAACAAGAAAAACCTATAAATGAAGTGACCTATTTATAATCGAATTTAGGGCTTTTTCTCTTACTCCTAAACTCCACATCCAAAAACCCTAGCCGTCGCTCTCCCTCAGAGACGAAAAAATGAAGACGATCTTGTCATCTGAGACGATGGACATCCCCGACGGCGTCGCCATCAAGGTTCACGCCAAGGTGATCGAAGTCGAAGGCCCACGCGGGAAGCTCGTTCGCGACTTCAAGCATCTCAACCTCGATTTCCAGCTGATCAAAGACGAGGTCACTGGAAAGAGACAGCTCAAGATCGATTCGTGGTTCGGCTCTCGCAAAGCCAGTGCTTCGATCCGAACCGCTCTCAGCCACGTCGACAATCTCATCGCTGGTGTCACTCAAGGGTTCCTTTACAAGATGAGGTTCGTGTATGCCCATTTTCCCATCAACGCTTCGATCTCCAGTGACAACAAGGCCATCGAGATCCGTAACTTCCTTGGCGAGAAAAAGGTTCGTTCTTTTTCATCTATGGATTTCAGATTTCTGTTTAGTCTTATGTAGAAATGTGTTTGCTTAGAGGATTTGCGTGTTGATGTGATTATATGGTGTGGAACAGGTGAGGAAGGTTGATATGTTGGACGGTGTTACCATTGTTCGATCTGAGAAGGTTAAGGATGAGATTACTCTTGAGGGAAATGATATCGAGCTTGTCTCAAGGTCATGCGCTTTGATCAACCAGGTACTTTCTTATTGCTTGTTCTGTTTTAAGTACTTGAGTTTTGCATTTAGAATGGTTAATGTGTCAAATGGGTTTCAGTAAAATGTTGTAGAAACTAAGAAAAATGCAATTTAATTGTTCTGAATCTTGTTTGTGATGGACTCTGATTATGTTTTGCATTGTAAAGCTTCAGAGTTTGATATTTTTTTTTTAATTACTCTTTTTCTGATGATTGTTTGGTATTGAGAAGAAATGGAATGATAAATGTGTCAAAATTGGGTTCTTTATAATGTCGTAGAAACTAAGATAAATGATATGTAATGATGATGATTAATCTTGTTTGTGATGGGTTTGATTATGATTTTGCGTAGTAATTTTGCAGACTTTGATAATAACTCTGTTTTGAATTATTGTTTGGTATTGCGCAGAAATGCCATGTGAAGAAGAAGGATATTAGGAAGTTTCTTGATGGTATCTATGTGAGCGAGAAGGGCAAGATCGCAGTTGAGGAATGAAGCTATTGAAATGCTATATTAGTTTTATCTTGTGGAACTGTGTTGTTATGGTAGCTTTTTGTTTACATTCTATCTCTATGGATCGAGTTTTTGTTTCCTTTGAATCATTGATGGTGCGAACTCATTATCCTTCATGTTTGGGTTTTCTATTATTGCAAAAGTTTTTGAGACATCTTCTACATTACTCTTCTCTCTTTTATTATCTGCCTGTTGTTTGAACTTTTTTGTGCTATATGCTCTATTTGATTGAACTTGAAAGAATCTCACGTTTTATTTTCTTCAATCTTGGTTTGTTATTCTTGTTTATTTGCCTCGTTAAAACCTCTTTTCACCTAATTGTTCCAAATTCTTTGAAGTCTACGATCAAATGGCACCTTTGAAATTCTCATCTAAAAAACTGTTGCCTTTGAAATCTCTACTGATAAGAATAAATATTTTTCACCTAATTCTCAAAAAAATTTGAAGTCTGCTATCAAATGTTACATTGTTTATGTTTGAAATCACTCTACTTAGGAGAATATACAAAAAATGAGAGAAAACATTTATAACCCGAAGGTAAAACAAAATGAAAGTTGCTTAATATATAACAAACAACTTATGGCCTCACAAGAGACAAGACCTTAGAGTTAATCCAATTAGAAGCCAATTTCTAAATATTATTCAACAAGATTCGTGTATCTCAGCAAAATAGAGGACGATAATTGCTTTAAGAGGATTTAGAGCATATGTAAAGTTATCTCTGTCTGAAAAAGAAGGGGCAGAGAGCCTTGTAATGACCACACAGAGAAACCTAATAAAATCGTAACTAAGGAATGAGCAACTAAAATATGTTTGGGTTTAGATGTTTTGTACACTACACTTCATTTCCATATATTCATGTGTGCAATGTAATGTAATGCGTGTGGGGTTATAAGTTAAATGAAAAATGGTTTAAGACGGCCGATAGAAACTTTTATAAGGGAATCAATATCATTAATCAGCATTCCTTTAGTGTGACAGACAAATATTTTCTCACAGTACAATTATTTTCTCTAGAAAAATGTAGCCCATTTATTACCTTCTTTCAATCACAATATGGAAAGAGTGGAAAATCTTGTGATTGTTTGAGATTCGATTTCGATACATATATGTACATATGCATATTTTTCATTTAATTCAACAATCAATGTTTGTGTTTGTGTACACACGGTAAAACGAATTTAAAGGAGGCAGTGAAGGAAAATGAGGCTGTTCTTGGTCAACCTCCTATTTTCTCTCTAATTAACTTTCCTTGGTTCTTGTTTTGCTAAAGAATAGAGACAAATCTCTCCTTTTTTTACCTTGTTTTGTTTTTGTCTTTTTCTCATTTCTCAGTAATCTTATCACAATCCTACTTTCTCTCATGGTGCTTCTTCACTTTTGACATTCCTCTTACAAACTCCACCATGCTCTTCTCCTTCTCCTTGTTCTTATTCTTTTAATCCTACTTTGTAACTTCTACCACATCTTTTTGGATTCTGTTTCGGTTTCCTCAGATAAAGTTTCAGACTTTAAGACTCAAAAATGGCGAAAGAGAACACTGGTATTCATCACCAAACAGAAGCAAGAAGAAAGAAACTAACTTTGATTCTTGGTGTAAGTGGACTCTGTATTCTGTTCTACGTTTTAGGCGCATGGCAAAACAACAATGTCCCATCTTCTTTCTCTAAGTTGGGATGCGAGACTCAATCAAATCCTTCTTCCTCTTCTTCTTCTTCCTCTTCATCATCTTCTTCTTCTACATCTTCTGAGTCAACTGAATTAGATTCCAAAAGCAATAATCAGAATGACTTCCAAGAAACAAACCAAACCATCAAATACTTGGAACCATGTGACTTATCCCTCAGTGAGTACACTCCTTGCGAAGACCGACAGAGAGGAAGAAGATTCGACAGAAACATGATGAAGTACAGAGAAAGGCATTGTCCTTCCAAAGATGAGCTTCTCTATTGCTTGATTCCTCCTCCACCAAACTACAAGATTCCATTCAAATGGCCTCAAAGCAGAGACTATGCTTGGTATGACAACATCCCTCACAAAGAGCTTAGCGTTGAGAAAGCAGTCCAAAACTGGATTCAAGTGGAAGGTGACCGGTTTAGATTCCCTGGTGGTGGAACCATGTTCCCTCGTGGAGCTGATGCTTATATTGATGACATTGCTAGACTCATTCCTCTTACTGATGGTGGAATCAGAACAGCTATTGACACTGGATGTGGTGTAAGTTTTTCTTCTTCAGTTTGAGCATTCTCTTATCCTTTGTTCTTTGTAAAGATTTTCATTTGTTGGTTAGGTTGCGAGTTTTGGTGCTTATCTCTTGAAGAGAGACATTATGGCTGTGTCTTTTGCACCAAGAGACACTCATGAAGCTCAGGTCCAGTTTGCTTTAGAACGTGGAGTTCCTGCGATAATTGGGATTATGGGATCAAGAAGACTTCCTTATCCAGCTAGAGCTTTTGATCTTGCTCATTGTTCTCGTTGTTTGATCCCTTGGTTTAAAAATGGTAATGAAACCAAGTCTTTTCTTGTTCTGTTCATAGCTGAGTAAGAAGAACATTACTCCTTTTTTTTTTTTTTTGAACAATAGAAGAAGAACATTACTCTAACACCAAGATCTTTCTGATTTTTCAGATGGTTTGTACTTGATGGAGGTTGACCGGGTTTTAAGACCGGGCGGTTACTGGATCCTCTCGGGACCGCCGATTAACTGGAAACAGTACTGGAGAGGGTGGGAGAGAACAGAGGAGGATTTGAAGCAAGAGCAAGATTCAATAGAAAATGTAGCAAAGAGTCTTTGTTGGAAGAAAGTGACTGAAAAAGGTGACTTGTCCATCTGGCAAAAGCCTCTCAATCACATTGAGTGCATTAAGCTCAAACAAAACAAGAAAACACCTCCGATTTGCAACTCCGATAACGCTGATTTCGCTTGGTAAAACCCCCATCTCATACTTCAAGATAACAGTCTAAATCTTGATCAAGAACTAGGTCAAAATCTTGATCAAGATTCAAGAACTAGGTCAAAAACTTGATCTCTCTCTCTCTCTCTCTCTCTCTCGCTGTTTTTTTAGGTACAAAGACTTGGAATCTTGCGTAACGCCGTTACCAAAAACAAACAATCCAGAGGAAGCAGCGGGCGGGGCGCTGGAGGACTGGCCAGACAGAGCGTTCGCGGTGCCTCCAAGAATCATCAGAGGAACGATACAAGACATGAACGCGGAGAAGTTCAGGGAAGACAACGAGGTTTGGAAAGATAGGATAGCGCATTACAAGAAGATAGTGCCAGAGCTTTCACACGGAAGATTCAGGAACATCATGGACATGAACGCTTACCTCGGCGGATTCGCTGCTTCCATGCTTAAATATCCGTCGTGGGTCATGAACGTTGTTCCGGTCGATGCAGAGAAACAGACGTTAAGTGTCATCTTCGAGCGTGGATTGATAGGCACGTATCAAGATTGGTGTGAAGGTTTCTCTACTTATCCAAGAACTTATGATATGATTCATGCAGGAGGATTGTTCAGCTTATACGAAAGAAGGTATGTTTCGTTTAAGTCTCATGCACTTCATACTCAAAACCATACGTTAAATAAACTAATGAGAAAAATGTAACTTAAAACCATATGTTATATTATGTTTTGTTTGGTTTTGTGTGTTGTAAGGTGTGATTTGACGTTGATATTGTTGGAGATGGATCGGATATTGAGACCAGAAGGAACGGTGGTGTTGAGAGATAATGTGGAGATGTTGACGAAAGTAGAGAGGATAGCGAAGGGAATGAAGTGGAAGACTCAGATTGTGGATCATGAGAAAGGTCCGTACAATGCTGAGAAGATTCTTGTTGCTGTTAAGACTTATTGGACTGGTCAACCTTCTAACAAAAACAACAACGACAACAACAACAACAACAACAACAACAACAACAACGGCAACAACTAGTGTTCTTCTTCCAACTCTCTTGGAACCTCCCCACCCACTCTTGTTTTGTGTTGTTTTTTTTTTCTCTCTTTACGAAAGTTCTGTTTTTATTTTGTGTTCTTTTAAAAAACTTTAATGATTGTTAGGTATAGACTCAAAATTGACGTAATTTATATACTTTTTTTTTATATTCTTTTTATTTAGGTAAAATAATTTTGAATATATTTGGAAAAATTGAAAACTGAAATGAAATGAAATCTACTAAAAAACTTTATACATATCAACATCCAGATTTGTCATTCAACACCACTTGCAATTCAAACACCATACTGTAGTATATCAGCATCCAAGTTTGATTCTATTTTTCTAAAATTAAAATAGTTTGACAAAAAAAACATCTATGATCCAGCAAGAACGAAGACAGAAAAATAAAAGTATCCTTCATACTAGATAAATTGGAGAATTTGATTAAAGGTTTCGATTGGTCTAACAGAGATAGTTCTTTTGTTCATATATACACATCATGATGGTCCAAGTTTCATCCACATTCTTGAATTAAGAATTTGTTGTTAGATCTCATTTGCAATTTTATTCTGTCCATGTTGGGTCTATTTATACAAACATGAAAATATTGAGAGAGAACCATTTCTGACCAAGCATTAAAAATGATTTGTCTGTGTGTCCTAAATGAGCCTTATCCTAAAAAACAGAAAGAATATTGTTTAGCAAAATATCAAATCTTTTATAATATGGTGCTGGTCAATGGACTCATGATTATATCGAATTAATCAACAATTAGAGAAGGCAATTATGTGTGGGTGTGAACAAGCGTGTGATCGATACTATTTTCGTAATTCGTCGTCACTCTCAGACGCAAACACTAACTTTTATAACAAAAAAATCAAAACGAAGAAAAAAAAAACAGAATCCAACAATTCATTCTCAAGAACAAACCAATTTCAATCGAATTCTTCTTCCTCCTTCTCTGCAAAATCCAGTTTCTATTGATATCCCCGATCACCTAATTCGATATCGTTTCCGCATCGATATCTATGGAAGTCGAAGAAGAAGTTCAACGGATCGTAGATGAGGTTAAGGAGCTCCACGACTCTGCCGCTTCCTTCATCTCTTCTTCTTCCCAACAAGAGCTTACCCTCAAGCAAAAAGCCTCCGCCGCTGACGCCTCCGTCCGCCGTCTCCAATCTACTCTCGTCTCCCACAAACGTCATGATCCTAAGCTTGTAGAGAAGGCATTCCTCAAAAAAATCCTTCCTTTTTTCCCTTTTTATCATTTGTTTCTCTGATTTTCTCAAATTTTTACTTCGCTTTGTATTAGCTTGAGGAAGATCTGCATCGTGCTAGATGCATGCTCGTTGATGGAGATCTCTCTTCGTTTCTCCCATCCAAACCTCAAGGTTTCTTCCGATCACTTCAAAATGTCTAATTTATGATTCAATTTGGGTTTTTTTCGGATTCAATTTTATGACCCAGTTGCATGATTGACTGAAAGTAGGACGCTTTGTGAGAATGTTCTTGGGGCCTGTGAATGTTCGAGCCTCGCGTAAAGACATTCAGCTCAAAGTTAAAGAAGAATACAATAGCTACAGAGTTAGTAGTGTTTTCTTGCTTGCATGCGTCTTCAATGTCGATTTTCTTACAATAACTTTTGGTTTTGATTTTTCTCTCAACATGGAAACAGGACAAGACTGCTCTTCTTTTTCTTTTTTTCCCAGCAGCACTTTTGATCCTTAGATCTTATTTTTGGGGTGGATGTTTGCCTGCATTTCCTGTTCAGCTCTATGAGGTATATAAGAATTTGATTTGGATTACTTGAAACGTTGTGTTTATGTGTTAAAGTTTTGACCTTTTTTTTACCAGGCTTGGCTATTGTTCCTCTATGCTGGGTTGGTTATGCGAGAGAACATTTTGAGAGCCAATGGGAGCGATATCCGTCCATGGTACTTTTTTGTGCCTTTGCATGTTCTAGTACATAACTTAATCTTGACAGTTATGTGATACTAAGAGTGATATGTCTCATGCTACATGTTATGTTAGGTCCGTATATTCACCTAGAACATGTGTTGTTCCTAAGGTCGTTTTGGTTGTTGGGTCCCTTAATCTCTCTACCGTGCTTATCTAGTCCCGATCAACCTCATGATTCTGTTGTTCCTTTTCTTTCTTGGCAACGTTATTGCTCGTCATTTTTTCCGTTGCAGTTATGTCAATGTAAAATATTCATTTGAGATAGTTACGGTGACTTCTTTTTAAAGATAATTACTAGCAAATGTTTGGTGTAGGCTTGACAACAAAATTTGCAGATTTTGCTTTTTTTTGTTGTTGTTAACTCTTCAGAGTGTATTGAATCTATGGCTGAATCATGGACATCCTAGTTAGAGAGAATAACTTTCCATGGATGTATTTGGCTTATCAAAAAATTTACATATGGCATAAACTTCTGAAGCTGATATGTTTTTGCAGGTGGCTATATCATCACTATTGTGCCATGGCTATGGCCCTTGTCAGCCTCACATGGGAAATCAAAGGTCAACCAAATTGTGTCCAGAAACAGGTAATGCTTAGAGTTCTTTAAATGCAAGACTAAAAGTTCACAAATGAAATGTTATGAAATGAGTTAAATCTTCTACAGAGAGGAGTCCATCTTTTCCTGCAATGGGCGATGATGCAAGGTGTTGCAATGCTTCTGCAAAATAGATACCAACGCCAAAGATTATACACTCGCATTGCACTAGGAAAGGTATGTTGTATATTACACCTTTTTGTTCAGTGCAAAGTGTCTATCCGGTTTTGTTGAATGGCGGTAACTTAACATATGCATTATGATTGTTTTTTCAGGCTAAGAGGATGGATGTCGTATGGGGAGAAACGGCTGGAGTCGATGGTCAGTTATGGCTGTTATGTCCTATACTGTTCATTTTACAGGTGAGCTCTAAGTCTTTGCTGTAGATTTATGAGTTAAGTTTATGCTAAAACATCTAAAATCTTTTCATTTGCTCTTCCATGCATCCAACTAGAGTCGTTTGCTGGTTGTTTTAATGCGTTCGTTCTCTTTAACTATAGATTCTGTACTGTCCCAAGCACACATTTGGAAGTCAAAATATCTTGATTTCTTCATGCTTGGCTTGTACCATTTGAACATCTTTTTGCTCTTTTCACACCAAACCAAAAGAAACTTTACACGGTTATATACTTTCCGTTTAACCTATTCTGCTTAACAGTGTTGATAAATTTTGGCAAAACTCAGGGCTTTGAAGCGTACGTTGGAATGCAGTTGCTTAGGGCAGCATTAAGCGGAGTTGTTGCTGAATGGCAGGTATAAGTTTCACACTTTTAGCAACATTTCTCATAATTCAATAGAGAACAGAGATAAAAGAGGAAGTAAAAGTAAACATAAGTTGAAGAGAAATGTTGAGAACTTTGTGTCTATAATGTCATTTTCAGGTGATGGTTTGTGGTATTCTTCTGGTAGTGATGGCTGTTGGGAACTTCAAGAACACAGTAGAGACACTGATGGCAAAGTCGAGGTTTAAGGCAAAGATGAAGAAAAGTAAAAGCAGAGCAGAGCTTAACTAGAGACTTCATAGTTCTCTCAACTTGTTGAATATCTTTTACTCTTTTTTGCAATCCACAATTTTTTTTTTGTTTTCTTTAGGTCACAAAAGTCACTTCTTGGTATCTGAAAAATATGACCATCCTTTTTCTTCTGTGTAAATTGAAGTGGCAGTTGATATTTTAATGGATTTTGTGTTGTGTTTGTACAATTTGTAGAGTTATAAATAAGTGTCAGATCCTGAAGATGATGGTAGTGAAATAAGACCGTATCCAAAATGGGCTCATGTCCAACATTTAGATCCAATATTGTTAACCTCTTTGTTTAATCTGCCACACGCACTTATATATACATTTAAGAGCAGACTGTCGGTGATTAGTTGGTATTAGGGAGTATGTTAATGGTGGGGACTGAGTCTACAATGGCATCTTTCACGTTTTCTCTCAGAAAGAAAGAAAGCGACAGAGGATCTAACTCTTCCGATTTGACGACAATAATAAGTAATGGAGCCAAAATAGTATTCTTTTCAAAGAAAAGTAATGGGGACAATGATTTCTTCGACTGTTCGTTGTGATCAATGCGTGTGTTTGTACATATATTAATACTGATATACATATGCTAAATTGATCTTTTTTTGTTCCTCAAGTGAACACTGAACATACATGAACCCATTCAAGACGAATATTTCGTATAATTTCCGTTTTTTTTTTATCAAAGTCTTTCCTCTGTTTTTCCCTAATAAACAAATGTGCAAAGCAAAAAGTAAAATGTGCGAAATGTGGTGCTTGCTTAGTCAGTTTAGTCCCAAAATGAAAGCAAACAAAAAGAGAAGAGAACAAATCATTATTTTTCTAAAAAAGTTGATTGAAGAGAGAGTAGTAGTTAGAACGTCAGAGCTGCTTCCGAGGAAGCTTTCATCATTCATCAAAAATGGCAGTTTCAAGAATCGGTGGTCAAACTCTGCCTCCTAATCCAAAGTCTTCTCCTTTATTTACAAATCCTGCAAACTCATTGTCCCCAAATCCCTAAACTCACACTTACAAAAACCCAAACAAACTCTCTCAATTTCTCACTCTCTGCAACTGTTTTTAATGGCTTGTTTCTTGAATTGTGTCCGGTTCGATGTCACGGCGAGGCTCACCGACAAACCCACAAGCAAAGAAGGATCTTTAACCGTCTCCGGCGTGACTTGTTACAGCTGGGACGACGTGGAAGCTCTCACTTCCAATTTCTCTAGACTGATAGGTTCAGGTGGTTACAGCAGTATCTACATGGCTCGCTTGTCTAGTAGCTCCGGCTCCGATAAAGCCGCTCTCAAGGTTCACGTTAGCAGCCACCGTCTCTACCAGATCTTCAGAGTCGAGCTTGATATCTTGCTCCGTCTTCAACATCCAAACATTGTCAAACTTCTCGGCTATTTCGACGATTCAGGTACTGCTTCAATGCTTCTGAAAATCAAGTTAAGATTTTTATCAAATTCATAAGTAATTAAGCCTGTGTTGTTGTTATAAGCATAATTTGGAGGTTTTGATCAGAATCACTAGTGATGTATAGTTAAATTCTGGATCTTTTGGAGGTTTTGATCAAAATCATTAGTGATCAAGCTTGTCTTAGAAGTAAAGTTTGGATCTTTGGAGGTTTTGATCAAAATCACTAGTGATTAAGCTTGTCTTAGAAGTAAAGTCTGGATCTTGTGGAGGTTTTGATCAAAATCACTAATGATTAAGCTTGTCTTAGAATCCAAAGTATGGATCTTTTGATCAAAATCACTAGTGATTAAGCTTGTGAAGTAAAGTCTGGATCTTTGGAGGTTTTGATCAAAATTACTAGTGATTAAGCCTGTATCAGAATCTGAAGTCTGGATCTTTGCATGTGAATTGATGGTCTTCTTCTTTGTGTTTCAGAGGAAAATGGTGCTCTTCTTCTTGAATATCTTCCTCAAGGTAATCTACAGGAGAAGCTTCACAAGAACAGCAAACAAGTCTTGCCATGGAGGAACCGCGTAGCCATTGCGTTACAGCTAGCTCAAGCCATTGAGCACATTCACGAGAAATGTAGCCCTCAGATCGTGCACGGAGACATCAAATCTTCCAACGTACTCCTAGACAAAAGCTTCAACTGTAAGCTCTGCGATTTCGGGTCAGCCAAAGTCGGCTTCTCATCGATGGTTCAGCCTTCTACAACGTCGCCTAGGTCAAGGCAAGTGAGGATGGTTGGATCTCCTGGTTACACAGATCCTCATTACTTAAGAACAGGGATTGCTTCCAAGAAGATGGATATGTATGGGTTTGGAGTGGTTGTTCTTGAGTTGGTTTCAGGGAAAGAAGCATTTTCCGGTGAGAAAGGGGAGATGCTTGTGCATGTTGCTGCTCCACTTATCCGTGAGGTTCTTGATTCGAGTGGAGACATTGCAGAAGAGAAGGTGAGACGGTTCTTGGACCCGAGGTTGTCAAGGGACGGTTTAGATATTAATGAGGTAAAGACAATGGTGAGAGTGGCTGCGCTCTGTCTCGGTAGCTCGCAATCTCTAAGACCCTCGGCTGCTCAAGTGGCGGAAACTCTTGTAGAGAAAGTCCCATCTTTGAGTTTTCTCGGTTGTGGTAAAGGAGTATGAGCTGTGTGAAAGGACACATGTACAGTTTGGTGTGGCTAGAGAGTTCTTGGAAAACAAGCAAGAAGAAATAACTTTGTAAATACTCTGTTTTTGGTTATGTGAATAGCATCAGTGAATAACATTTGCGTGTAATTATCATTTTAATGAGATAATTTGAACAAATTTGGGAAAAAAGGGAGAGGCTCAAAATAGTATAATACATGATATGATCAAAAAGGGAGAGGCTCAAAATAGTATAATACATGATCCAACGCCCTAGCTAGTGCTTCTTCTCCGGAAAAATACACATAACCTATGCTGCGGTACCTGGGAATATAAACATGTAGAATCTCTCCACATGAAGCGAACTCTCGTCTCAAAGCAGCCTTGAGATCATCCACAGGAAGCGAAGCGTCAAATCCCGTGACGGAGATGCCAAAGCGACGGTTTTTGTCATTAAGCACGGCCAAGAAAGCTTCAACTTCTTCACGAGTTTCCTCTTTCTTTCCAGCCTTAACCACGGAGACATTCCATCCTCCCGCGTCACTTCCATCAAGCGCCAACGCCTTCTCTTCTGCGTCTTCTCCGAGAATCACCAGAAAAGCACATGAGCTGTCTCTGGGAAACCCAACGTAATCGATTTCTCCACATGAGTTGAAATTACCAATCAACGCCTTCTTTATCTCATCCTCAGGAAGCAAAGTGTCGTATCCTTTAACGCAAATCCTAACCTGAGGTTTCCAGGAATCAGCAAAGGATTTCATAGCAGCATCATAGTCCCGCGGACTGATGAGGGGTAGCGCGCGCGCGCGGCTAACAGTGGCCATGGAGATGATATAGGATAATTTATATTAGGCGTGGGCATTTTTATCCGGACCCGAAATATAGAACCGAACCCGACCCGAAATAGACAGAACCGAACCGGACCGGAACCGACACAAATACCCGAATGGGTCCAAAATTCTTATACCCGAAAGAACCGGACCGAACCCGAACCGAACCGAGAACCGAATGAGTATCCGAAATATTGAAAATATAATTATATTTCCAAAAATATTAGTTATATTTAGACTTAAAATAACCAAAATATGTAAAATTACAATTATAAACCTAATATAATAGTTAAATTTAGAAAGAAATAATTAAAATATTCAAGAAATCCAAAAATATTTAGTTATATTTGTTAATATTCAATTAGTTTTGCTAAGTTTAATAAAATTTCATTTAAATGAAACAGTTTTTTATTTTTATTTTATTTTCTGTAATAAAATTTGGATACCCGGAACCGACCCGAACCCGACCCGAATAGTACTAAAATTTCTAGAACCGAAAAACCCGAAACCCGAAAGGAACCGACCCGAACCCGATCCGAATAACCGAATGCCCAGGCCTAATTTACATTATAGAGAGCCACGTAAATTGGCTAATTTCCTTTTCGTTTTAGTTGGTTTTTCTTAAGTCGGTTTTATTTTTCTTATATAAAGAATTGTAATCCATCTTCATAATGATATTCAGAACAATTCAGAAACCTTCTCTCCCTTTCTCTTCTTGTCACATTAGCTCATTACCAGCTAAGAATCTCTTCATCTCTCGAAGATTCTTTGCAAGTGAGTTCGGAATAGGTGTTTTAGGAACATCAATTCTGTGTTACTATCGTTACTTGGAACCCACGGTTTCCCTCTACCAAAGGTATCAGTCGTCTCTCAATTCTCGGAACTCATGACTGAATCAGCTCAAACACGTGCCCAAACCGCCATGAAGGAAGCTCTTCTTCAAGACATCGAATCAAGTTTCGGACCACGATTCGATGAAGTTTTCCAACATAACCAAGACCTAGAAGCTAGGATGGACAAGAAACTCAATAAGTTGGAAACAGACCTCTCGGATATGTTTGCTGTTATTCGCAAAATCTCCGAAACTCGCGATTCATCCTCCACCCCACCTTCCGTCACCAAAAACAACCCTCCGTTACTCCCAACCCCAACTATTCCTCATGACCCTAATCGTGGCCGCCACTCTTCTCCGCACAACTACTCCGGCATGACCAGACTTGCCAAGCTAGACTTTCCTCGGTTTAACGGTGACAAACTTAAAGAATGGCTGTTCAAAGTTGAACAATTCTTCTCCATTGACAACACACCCGATGATTTACGAGTCGGCATCGCTTCCATCCACTTCGACGGTCTTGCCTCGGCTTGGCATCAATCCCTCGTTCAATCGGACATGCAACCGTCAACACTCCTTGATTGGTCGTCCTATAAGCTTCTTTTATATGAAAGATTTGATGATCTTTTAGATGACCCTGTTGCAGAGCTGAAAAACTTACAAGAAACAGATGGTATTGTTGAATACCATGGCAGATTTGAACTTCTACGTACACGTGTGAACTTCTCGGAGGACTATTTGGTTCGCCACTACCTAGCCGGGATCCGCACCGATACACAAATGCATGTCCGTATGTTCCAACCAAGTATGGTTCGTCAATGTTTACTTCTTGGAAGGCTGTATGAAAAAGCTCATCCAAAGAAACCTTACACCTCCAATTGGTCACAAAACCGTCCCACCTCTACGAACCGAAGTCTTATACCCTTTAAGAAAGATCTCGAGCCGAAAAGTAGCTTCGCTACCCCACCAGATCGACCTAAAAACCCATTACCTTTCCTTACCAACGCACAGATGGCTCAACGCAGAGCTGATGGCCTTTGCTACTACTGTGACGAACAATAAACTCCCGAGCACTTTCTAAAGATGCATAAGAGGACTCAACTATATATGATCACCACAGAGGATGATTGCTCCGATGAAGAACCTCTTGACACACAAGTTACTGAAGAGGAGACAGGGGAAGTTGCTCAAATATCTGTGAATGATGTAGCTGGTATCTCCGATTACAAGACAATATGTGTCAAAGGAATGCATGGGAAACGAGCTTTGTTTGTTCTCATTGATTCCGGCTCAACTCACAACTTCATTAGTCCTCAAGCAGCCGCTCAGTTAGGTTGTGTGATTCAGACCTCTGGTCTTTCTCGAGTCTCCGTAGCTGATGGTCGTCGACTTCCGGTTACTGGTAAAATTGATAAGTTTCAGTGGTATTTTCAGCACACCTTGTTTCAAGCAGATTTCATGGTGATCCCACTCGGAGGCTGTAATATCGTGTTAGGCGTCCAATGGTTAGCCACGTTGGGCCCTATAACGTGGGATTTCCAGAAGCTGGAGATGGGATTTAAATATGGTCACGCCAAGGTTTTACTTCACGGTATCAAGGAAGGCTCAGTTCGTCAAATAAAGGCAGCCAAGCTCAATAAACTTCGTGAAACAGATGTCCAATTAGCAATGATCTACGTCCAAGATTATTGTCCTGGTGACGAGGTTTCTTTATATTCATTAGACGCCTCCTCCACTGTAGAGCCTCTTTGTTCTGACATACATCATCTTTTTGATGAATTCCATGATATCTTCCTGGAACCAACAACCTTGCCACCTTTTCGCCATGACCATAACCACAAGATTCCCCTGCTCGAAGGTTCCAACCCTATCAACCAAAGACCTTATCGCTACGCCATTCATCAGAAGAATGAGATCGATAAAATAGTGCAAGAGATGTTAACCGCTGGTACAATTCAAGCAAGCTCTAGCTCTTACGCTTCACCGGTGGTTTTGGTCAAGAAGAAAGACGGTTCTTGGCGTCTTTGTGTCGACTATCGTGGTCTCAACAACATGACTGTTAAAGACCGGTTCCCTATTCCGTTAATCGAAGACCTTATGGATGAATTGGGTGGATCTGTCATTTACTCCAAGATCGATTTAAGAGCAGGCTATCACCAAGTGCGAATGGACCCCGGCGATATTCATAAAACAGCTTTCAAAACTCATGCTGGCCATTATGAATATCTCGTTATGCCCTTTGGGCTTACTAATGCCCCTGCAACGTTTCAAGGCTTGATGAACTTTGTTTTTCAGAGTTTCTTACGCAATTTTGTCCTCATATTTTTTGATGACATCTTAGTCTATAGTTCTTCGCTGGAGTCTCACGTGCGCCACCTTTGCCGTGTGTTTGAATTGATGAGAACTAACAACTTATTTGCTAAGCAGAGCAAATGTATCTTTGCTACAAAATGGGTCGAGTACTTAGGTCACTACATTGAAGCAAAAGGTATCTCCACTGACCCTAGCAAGGTCAAGGCGGTTAATGAATGGCCCGTTCCCAAGGATCTTAACAACTCCGTGGATTCCTGGGGTTGGATGGTTATTATCGTCGTTTTGTTCGGAGCTTTGGAACCATAGCACGACCCTTAACAGCCTTGACAAAGAAAGACTCTTTCTCATGGTCTCCTGAAGCTCAAACTGATTTTGAGGGCCTGAAAGAGGCGTTGTGTGTCGCCCCTGTTTTGGCTTTACCAAGGTTTGACAAACCTTTTGTGGTGGAAACTGATGCGTGCAGTCAGGGAATTGGCGCGGTTTTGATGCAGGAGGGTCACCCTTTGGCCTACATCAGTCGACACTTGAAAGGGAAGCAACTGTTTCTCTCCATCTATGAAAAAGAGTTATTGGCTGTTGTCTTTGCTGTTCAAAAGTGGCGCCATTACCTTCTTACAAGCCACTTTGTGATCAAGACAGATCAAAGAAGCTTAAAATACCTTTTGGAGCAACGCTTGAATACTCCAATTCAACAACAATGGCTTCCTAAACTGCTGGAATTTGATTACGAAATTCAGTACAAACAAGGGAAAGAAAATTTGGTTGCTGATGCCTTATCGCGGGTTGAAGGAGCAGAGATACTCAACATGGCTATGTCTGTTCTTGAGTGTGATTTTATTCAACAGATTCAGGCTGGTTATGATTCGGATATCGAGCTACAAGAGTTAATTGGTGAACTAAAGCTCAAACCGCAAGCTAGAAAACACTACTCTTGGTCACAAAATATCGTAAGGCGAAAGAGCAAGATCGTTGTTCCTCATACTCCTCTTCTACGAGGTAAAATTTTGGATTGGTTACATAGTTCTGGGAGTGGTGGACATTCTGGTCGTGATGCTATGCATCAACGTGTGAAAGGGTTATTCTACTGGAAGGGAATGTCTAAAGATATCCAAGCTTTCATCCGAGCTTGTCCGGTTTGTCAGCAATGCAAGTATGATCCGGCCGCCTCTCCTGGTTTACTTCAGCCTCTACCGATTCCTGATACAATATGGTCTGACATCTCCATGGACTTTATTGATGGTTTGCCTAAATCTTTTGGCAAAACAGTGATTTTTGTGGTGGTGGATCGCTTGAGTAAGGCTGCACATTTCATTGCTCTCTCCCACCCTTATACAGCAGCTTCTGTAGCTCAAGCTTTCTTGGATAATATCTTCAAGCTTCACGGTCTTTCCCGTTCTATAATCAGTGATAGAGATGCTATTTTTCTTAGTGAATTTCGGAGAGAACTTTTCAGCCTCCAAGGCGTTGCTCTAAACTACTCTAGCGCCTATCATCCTCAGAGTGATGGCCAAACAGAAGTTGTGAATCGATGTTTGGAAACATATTTGCGTTACATGTGCAGTGATCGTCCACACTTATGGAGTAAATGGCTACCTCTCGCTGAGTATTGGTATAACACATCTTTTCATACCGCTACTCAAATGACACCTTTTGAAGCTGTTTATGGTCAACAGCCACCTCAGCACTTACCTTATCTTCCTGGAGAGTCAAAAGTTGCAGTGGTCGCTAAAGAGTTTACAAGAACGTGAAAATATGATATTGCTCCTAAAATTTCATCTTCTTCGAGCTCAGCACAGGATGAAACGTTTTGCCGATCAACCTCGCACAGAGAGAAGCTTTAACATTGGTGATTACGTTTATGTCAAACTCCAACCTTACCGCCAACAGTCAGTGGTCTTGCGTTCAAACCAGAAGCTCAGCCCAAAGTACTTTGGTCCATATAAAGTCCTCGACAAATGTGGAGCTGTGGCGTATCGACTACAACTTCCGGCATCATCACAAATTCATCCGGTGTTCCATGTTTCCCAATTAAAGCTACAAGTAGGAGCTCTTACGTTATCTACAACACTTCCCAATTTAGTCCCGGACGTGTTACTCCAAGAACCAGAACGTGTATTGGAACGCAAGATGGTCCAAAGACAAGGTCGCGCAGCAACAATGGTTCTGGTTAAATGGTCTCATTTACCTGAAGAAGAAGCTACGTGGGAATTACTTTTTGATTTGCAAAGGAGGTTTCCATCTTTTGAACCTTGAGGTCAAGGTTTTTCAAAAGGAGGAGATTTGATATAGGATAATTTACATTATAGAGAGCCACGTAAATTGGCTAATTTCCTTTTCGTTTTAGTTGGTTTTTCTTAAGTCGGTTTTATTTTTCTTATATAAAGAATTGTAATCCATCTTCATAATGATATTCAGAACAATTCAGAAACCTTCTCTCCCTTTCTCTTCTTGTCACATTAGCTCATTACCAGCTAAGAATCTCTTCATCTCTCGAAGATTCTTTGCAAGTGAGTTCGGAATAGGTGTTTTAGGAACATCAATTCTGTGTTACTATCGTTACTTGGAACCCACGGTTTCCCTCTACCAAAGGTATCAGTCGTCTCTCAATTCTCGGAACTCATGACTGAATCAGCTCAAACACGTGCCCAAACCGCCATGAAGGAAGCTCTTCTTCAAGACATCGAATCAAGTTTCGGACCACGATTCGATGAAGTTTTCCAACATAACCAAGACCTAGAAGCTAGGATGGACAAGAAACTCAATAAGTTGGAAACAGACCTCTCGGATATGTTTGCTGTTATTCGCAAAATCTCCGAAACTCGCGATTCATCCTCCACCCCACCTTCCGTCACCAAAAACAACCCTCCGTTACTCCCAACCCCAACTATTCCTCATGACCCTAATCGTGGCCGCCACTCTTCTCCGCACAACTACTCCGGCATGACCAGACTTGCCAAGCTAGACTTTCCTCGGTTTAACGGTGACAAACTTAAAGAATGGCTGTTCAAAGTTGAACAATTCTTCTCCATTGACAACACACCCGATGATTTACGAGTCGGCATCGCTTCCATCCACTTCGACGGTCTTGCCTCGGCTTGGCATCAATCCCTCGTTCAATCGGACATGCAACCGTCAACACTCCTTGATTGGTCGTCCTATAAGCTTCTTTTATATGAAAGATTTGATGATCTTTTAGATGACCCTGTTGCAGAGCTGAAAAACTTACAAGAAACAGATGGTATTGTTGAATACCATGGCAGATTTGAACTTCTACGTACACGTGTGAACTTCTCGGAGGACTATTTGGTTCGCCACTACCTAGCCGGGATCCGCACCGATACACAAATGCATGTCCGTATGTTCCAACCAAGTATGGTTCGTCAATGTTTACTTCTTGGAAGGCTGTATGAAAAAGCTCATCCAAAGAAACCTTACACCTCCAATTGGTCACAAAACCGTCCCACCTCTACGAACCGAAGTCTTATACCCTTTAAGAAAGATCTCGAGCCGAAAAGTAGCTTCGCTACCCCACCAGATCGACCTAAAAACCCATTACCTTTCCTTACCAACGCACAGATGGCTCAACGCAGAGCTGATGGCCTTTGCTACTACTGTGACGAACAATAAACTCCCGAGCACTTTCTAAAGATGCATAAGAGGACTCAACTATATATGATCACCACAGAGGATGATTGCTCCGATGAAGAACCTCTTGACACACAAGTTACTGAAGAGGAGACAGGGGAAGTTGCTCAAATATCTGTGAATGATGTAGCTGGTATCTCCGATTACAAGACAATATGTGTCAAAGGAATGCATGGGAAACGAGCTTTGTTTGTTCTCATTGATTCCGGCTCAACTCACAACTTCATTAGTCCTCAAGCAGCCGCTCAGTTAGGTTGTGTGATTCAGACCTCTGGTCTTTCTCGAGTCTCCGTAGCTGATGGTCGTCGACTTCCGGTTACTGGTAAAATTGATAAGTTTCAGTGGTATTTTCAGCACACCTTGTTTCAAGCAGATTTCATGGTGATCCCACTCGGAGGCTGTAATATCGTGTTAGGCGTCCAATGGTTAGCCACGTTGGGCCCTATAACGTGGGATTTCCAGAAGCTGGAGATGGGATTTAAATATGGTCACGCCAAGGTTTTACTTCACGGTATCAAGGAAGGCTCAGTTCGTCAAATAAAGGCAGCCAAGCTCAATAAACTTCGTGAAACAGATGTCCAATTAGCAATGATCTACGTCCAAGATTATTGTCCTGGTGACGAGGTTTCTTTATATTCATTAGACGCCTCCTCCACTGTAGAGCCTCTTTGTTCTGACATACATCATCTTTTTGATGAATTCCATGATATCTTCCTGGAACCAACAACCTTGCCACCTTTTCGCCATGACCATAACCACAAGATTCCCCTGCTCGAAGGTTCCAACCCTATCAACCAAAGACCTTATCGCTACGCCATTCATCAGAAGAATGAGATCGATAAAATAGTGCAAGAGATGTTAACCGCTGGTACAATTCAAGCAAGCTCTAGCTCTTACGCTTCACCGGTGGTTTTGGTCAAGAAGAAAGACGGTTCTTGGCGTCTTTGTGTCGACTATCGTGGTCTCAACAACATGACTGTTAAAGACCGGTTCCCTATTCCGTTAATCGAAGACCTTATGGATGAATTGGGTGGATCTGTCATTTACTCCAAGATCGATTTAAGAGCAGGCTATCACCAAGTGCGAATGGACCCCGGCGATATTCATAAAACAGCTTTCAAAACTCATGCTGGCCATTATGAATATCTCGTTATGCCCTTTGGGCTTACTAATGCCCCTGCAACGTTTCAAGGCTTGATGAACTTTGTTTTTCAGAGTTTCTTACGCAATTTTGTCCTCATATTTTTTGATGACATCTTAGTCTATAGTTCTTCGCTGGAGTCTCACGTGCGCCACCTTTGCCGTGTGTTTGAATTGATGAGAACTAACAACTTATTTGCTAAGCAGAGCAAATGTATCTTTGCTACAAAATGGGTCGAGTACTTAGGTCACTACATTGAAGCAAAAGGTATCTCCACTGACCCTAGCAAGGTCAAGGCGGTTAATGAATGGCCCGTTCCCAAGGATCTTAACAACTCCGTGGATTCCTGGGGTTGGATGGTTATTATCGTCGTTTTGTTCGGAGCTTTGGAACCATAGCACGACCCTTAACAGCCTTGACAAAGAAAGACTCTTTCTCATGGTCTCCTGAAGCTCAAACTGATTTTGAGGGCCTGAAAGAGGCGTTGTGTGTCGCCCCTGTTTTGGCTTTACCAAGGTTTGACAAACCTTTTGTGGTGGAAACTGATGCGTGCAGTCAGGGAATTGGCGCGGTTTTGATGCAGGAGGGTCACCCTTTGGCCTACATCAGTCGACACTTGAAAGGGAAGCAACTGTTTCTCTCCATCTATGAAAAAGAGTTATTGGCTGTTGTCTTTGCTGTTCAAAAGTGGCGCCATTACCTTCTTACAAGCCACTTTGTGATCAAGACAGATCAAAGAAGCTTAAAATACCTTTTGGAGCAACGCTTGAATACTCCAATTCAACAACAATGGCTTCCTAAACTGCTGGAATTTGATTACGAAATTCAGTACAAACAAGGGAAAGAAAATTTGGTTGCTGATGCCTTATCGCGGGTTGAAGGAGCAGAGATACTCAACATGGCTATGTCTGTTCTTGAGTGTGATTTTATTCAACAGATTCAGGCTGGTTATGATTCGGATATCGAGCTACAAGAGTTAATTGGTGAACTAAAGCTCAAACCGCAAGCTAGAAAACACTACTCTTGGTCACAAAATATCGTAAGGCGAAAGAGCAAGATCGTTGTTCCTCATACTCCTCTTCTACGAGGTAAAATTTTGGATTGGTTACATAGTTCTGGGAGTGGTGGACATTCTGGTCGTGATGCTATGCATCAACGTGTGAAAGGGTTATTCTACTGGAAGGGAATGTCTAAAGATATCCAAGCTTTCATCCGAGCTTGTCCGGTTTGTCAGCAATGCAAGTATGATCCGGCCGCCTCTCCTGGTTTACTTCAGCCTCTACCGATTCCTGATACAATATGGTCTGACATCTCCATGGACTTTATTGATGGTTTGCCTAAATCTTTTGGCAAAACAGTGATTTTTGTGGTGGTGGATCGCTTGAGTAAGGCTGCACATTTCATTGCTCTCTCCCACCCTTATACAGCAGCTTCTGTAGCTCAAGCTTTCTTGGATAATATCTTCAAGCTTCACGGTCTTTCCCGTTCTATAATCAGTGATAGAGATGCTATTTTTCTTAGTGAATTTCGGAGAGAACTTTTCAGCCTCCAAGGCGTTGCTCTAAACTACTCTAGCGCCTATCATCCTCAGAGTGATGGCCAAACAGAAGTTGTGAATCGATGTTTGGAAACATATTTGCGTTACATGTGCAGTGATCGTCCACACTTATGGAGTAAATGGCTACCTCTCGCTGAGTATTGGTATAACACATCTTTTCATACCGCTACTCAAATGACACCTTTTGAAGCTGTTTATGGTCAACAGCCACCTCAGCACTTACCTTATCTTCCTGGAGAGTCAAAAGTTGCAGTGGTCGCTAAAGAGTTTACAAGAACGTGAAAATATGATATTGCTCCTAAAATTTCATCTTCTTCGAGCTCAGCACAGGATGAAACGTTTTGCCGATCAACCTCGCACAGAGAGAAGCTTTAACATTGGTGATTACGTTTATGTCAAACTCCAACCTTACCGCCAACAGTCAGTGGTCTTGCGTTCAAACCAGAAGCTCAGCCCAAAGTACTTTGGTCCATATAAAGTCCTCGACAAATGTGGAGCTGTGGCGTATCGACTACAACTTCCGGCATCATCACAAATTCATCCGGTGTTCCATGTTTCCCAATTAAAGCTACAAGTAGGAGCTCTTACGTTATCTACAACACTTCCCAATTTAGTCCCGGACGTGTTACTCCAAGAACCAGAACGTGTATTGGAACGCAAGATGGTCCAAAGACAAGGTCGCGCAGCAACAATGGTTCTGGTTAAATGGTCTCATTTACCTGTAGAAGAAGCTACGTGGGAATTACTTTTTGATTTGCAAAGGAGGTTTCCATCTTTTGAACCTTGAGGTCAAGGTTTTTCAAAAGGAGGAGATTTGATATAGGATAATTTACATTATAGAGAGCCACGTAAATTGGCTAATTTCCTTTTCGTTTTAGTTGGTTTTTCTTAAGTCGGTTTTATTTTTCT